AAGACTTGTCACACTTGCTTTGTGGTTGTTGTTGTTTTTTTACTGTTTGCTATACAGTGGTACCTCGGCTTACAGACGCTTCAGGTTAAAGATTCCGCTAACCCAGAAGTAGTACCTCAGGTTAAGAACTTTACTTCAGGATGAGAACAGAAATAGTGCGGCGGCGGCAGAGCGGCAGCGGGAGGCCCCATTAGCTAAAGTGGTACCTCAGGTTAAGAACAGTTTCAGGTTAAGAATGGACCTCCAGAACGAATTAAATTCTTAACCTGAGGTACCACTGTAAAGTGCCCAGATGTCCCCCCCCCTTTTTTCCTTTTAAGTAAAAGCTGAAAACTTTGCGATGGTGAAGTTCCGTCTTGAGAAACAATACTGACCGGCTCATGAATAGATAGAAGTATTTTTAAGGCTGCCTTTCATGGCATAAAACCCTCACAAAGCAGCTCATGAGACATAAAAATACAAAACAGTTGATATATTGATATTTAAAAAGGATAAAACAACTGTTCAAAGCACCACAAGCTGACAGCAGATAAAATGATTAAAGGCTGTATTTGCAAGTACCAGTAAACCACCCACCACTGGAACATGGAAATTACAGGAGCATTTCTTATGCAAAGTTTGCAACGAGAGGCATCGCAATCCACAACATGTCAGATGCTGTTGGCACAGAATGAAGACTCCACCTGTTCTCCCGGTTTGCCTGGCCTGACAAGAGTTACTAAAAATACAGCTGAACAATGAGGAAGGTTGGACAGGACAATCGCCTAGTTTGTTTCCAGGTTATGACAGTAAGAATGCATACAGGAGGAAGTCCCAAGCCCACAAACACACCCTCTCTGTTGCCGATAACTCAACCTCAGGAGGAATGCTTCCAAAGAGGGGTCAGCAACTAGAAGCTCTCAATCCTAATCCATCCTCCCACGAGGGATGGGCACTTTACTTTACCACATTGCCAGCCCAGAAGCCAAAGAGGGTTCTGTAGTAAGTGCTGTCCTTTTGCATCAGAAGTTGTCTGCAGAAAGCTGAAGTACAGTGATAAGGTAAAGGTAAAGGGACCCCTGACCATTAGGTCCAGTTGTGACCGACTCTGGGGTTGCAGCGCTCATCTTGCTTTATTGGCCAAGGGAGCTGGCATACAGCTTCCGGGTCATGTGGCCAGCATGACTAAGCCGCTTCTGGCGAACCAGAGCAGTGCACGGAAACGCCGTTACCTTCCCGCTATAAAGCGGTACCTATTTATCTACTTTCACTTTGACGTGCTTTCGAACTGCTAGGTTGGCAGGAGCAGGGACCGAGCAACGGGAGCTCACCCCGTCGCGGGGATTCGAACCGCCGACCTTCCGATTGGTAAGTCCTAGGCTCTGTGGTTTAACCCACAGTGCCACCCGCATCCCTGTAGTACAGTGGTACCTCTGGTTACAAACTTAATCCGTTCTGGAGGTCCGTTCTTAACCTGAAACTGTTCTTAACCTGAAGCGCCACTTTAGCTAATGGGGCCTCCTGCTGTCACCGCGCTGCTGGCATGTGATTTCTGTTCTCATCCTGAAGCAAAGTTCTTAACCCGAGGTACTATTTCTGGGTTAGCGGAGTCTGCAACCTGAAGCCCATGTAACCTGAAGCGTATGTAACCCGAGGTACCACTGTACAAGGGTGTTAAGGCAAGTTCCCATGACCCACGACACAGCTACCCCCAGGTAATCTTGTTTCTGATCAGGCCACTAATATTTTGCTAGCTAAGGGCAGGGAGGCAGATTTCACATGGCTGTAAGCGAATAAGGGGTTTGGTGGGGAACAGCCTGCAAGCTGTGCTTTATTCCTACTTCATGTGTATATGCATGTGTGAACAGAGGGCAAATAAAGGTCAGAAAGCTGCTTGCATACCAGTGTCTAAGAGACTGAACTATGAGTCAGGATGTTCCTTGTTGCAAAAGGCCCGATCCTACCCTAAACCAGCGACAGTCTGAAAGCACCCCTAGACAATCACAACAGGCTAACATGAAGCTAACTTAGGAAGAGACAGGCTGCTGGATTGCTCTGGCCGGCAGCATCTCACAGCAGCCCAGGTTGGATATTTAACATTATGAGGTGGCAGAATGGACTGTACAAATCAAACTGCAAGGGAAGAGATCATTTTTATTGGTCCCTTGAGTAAGAAGAACTAGAAGCAGAAAACTAGCCATTTGGGAGAAGCAATTTGCTCTCCCTGCTGTCTCCACTCTATTTTATCTTTTACAGCATTCATAAATTTGATCCGCAACTGCATTGGAACTGTTCATTCTACCAGAACTTTGCAGCCCAAAAATGGAAATTAACCAACAACAGAGGAGTGGCAGACGAAGATGGTTGGTTATGTGGAACTAGCAAAACTGACCAGTAGGATCCAAAATCAGGAGGAAACAAAATTCCAAAAAGATTGGAGTAAATTTATGGAGTACATAAATAATAGCTGTAGAAATTTGAAGACTGGCAAGACTCTGAAAGAATTCTTATGATGTAGACAGGATTGGATACAATAAGAAGCTGTGGAGAAGTAACTGACATAAGAAAACCTGTTGAAGGGAGGGAAGGAAGTCAATGCTCAGCAGAGTGTGGGGAGAGAATGTGGGTAAATGACTGTTGAATTTTACTGTATTTTGTTTGTATTAAATGAAACACCAATAAAAAGCATTTACAAAAAAAAGGGAACTGTTCATTCTACCCTGAATCAGGACTCTACCACCCCATTCTTATGCATGTTAGATCCAGCCTCAAGCTACGTTCTCTACCTGCTACCTGATCTTTCAGTTGCCTGAGCCAGGGATTAAATCTGGGCGGTTGTCTGCCTGCAAAGGATGTGCTTGTCACTACATTGAAATGCTTTTGCCCAGTCCCTGGAAAATGTCCAAGATAACCCAAAAGGACCTCTAAGCCAGAACTCACAACAAAGATTTAATACTTCTTCCAAAATCACCTGTGCTTCCTGTTCTTCTCCAACCATTGCTTTCTTACCTCCTTTGGTAGAGATGTTTCTTTGAAGAGTGTTCTTTCCACTGTAGAAAAAGTATTCCAGATTAAATCCATGAGCCTTTCTGTCCTCTTTTCCTTTCTGTCTCCTGCACCCAAGAAGGCTGCCTTGCTGTAATGTGCGACTGAGTGTAAGGAACAGACCTGAATGAAACTGGGTGTTCTGGGAGGATTAAGCCGCAAGCATCATATTACTGCAAGGAAGTCTATGGAGCAAGACTATGGAGCTGGGGAAAACACCAGCAGGAAGGTGTACTTTCCTGGAAAGTGTCCCCAGGAAGCTGCACAATTATTGGATTAGTGACATCCCTAAATCCAGGTGCAACGTGGGGATGAACACACAAAATGATACCATGGTGGTGGCTGTTATCCCTCTGCTTGAAGAGACAATGGAGTGTGCCTCCAGGGGTGAAGACAAACCGTTGGTTTAACAGCACCAAGTGACCTCCCTGGGTTAAAAAAGGTAAAGGAACCCTGGATGGTTTAGTCCAGTCAAAGGACTATGGGGTGTGGCGTTAATCTCGCTTCAAGGCCAAGATTAGACCTGTTTAGACCACAGTACCACTCACGTCCCTGGGAGACAAGCCTGGGCAGTGGCTATGGAGGTTCTGGATTACCCAGATGAGAAGACCCTCCTCTTGGCCACGCTGATGTGGTTCAAAGAAGAAGACTTTTAGCACCAGCTTGGCCGCAGGAGTTGCCAGAAGGAAGAGAACAAGGCACCATACAATTGTTTTAGGGACTCAACTCCAAATTCGCATAGGGTTTACTGCTTAGCCTTTTCTTCTTCCAAAGATATCCCACAAGGCAGCGGAGGTTTAGCAGGGGCGAAACTAGGCTTTCTTTCACCCGGGTCAAAGACCCAGTTTGGCACACACAAACCCATGCTCATTTGAGTACACACACACACACACACACACACACACAGGTTGGTGTTAGGATATTGATGTTCCGTTCCACCTAAACAAATGTGTGGAGCTGTTGTATGTCACATGTCTGTTTACATTCCAGCACAGCTTGCTGGGAACTTCCGTTTGTGTATAGCTTTTGCCTTATGCTTCTTGCTCTTGGACATGAAAGAGCGCAGACATGTTTTCTTTGTCCTGATCTATGCTGAATAAACTGCTTGTAAATATGCTTGACATCTGCCTCTGTCTGCCCTTCTGTTGCGAAGTTTTGTTATTTCTGCTGGCTTGCATGCTCAGCTTCTGAAAGGCTTCTGAAGCTCCGAGTCACATTTTTTGATGCAGAACTGAGGACTGGAGTTCGACTGGCTGCCGGCCAGTGGGCTGGAGCCAGCTAGGGGTCTGCCAATTTAAGGAGTTTCAGTTTAAGAACGGATTTCCAGAACGGATTAGGTTTGTAAACTGAGGTACCACTGTACAATGAAATGTTTTATTTGGCCCCATGTGTTTATTATGGGGGATACGTACCCCCCCCTTCCAACAAGATCAAAGGGTTAGCGGGTGACCCTTTGCCTATCATGTATTTGTGATCTGAACCATCAGTGTTGGCTTAAAATATATTACAATGTATTAAAGTCAGGGGTTTCAAAAAGGGAACTGGAAATGTGTGCTCTGGTTGTGCAAGCCACAGCACAGGTGAACAAGATGGAGCACTGGCCTTCCGTCACATACGTGACTTCTGATGGAAGAGGAAAAAGCCATGGGCTAGGAAACTTTGACTGCTGGGAAATGGAATGTACGTGTCAGGTTTCTTTGCAGGGTGGATGAACTCTGGGGCTTTTCCATGTGTGACTGCTCTAATCTTGTGCCTCTTGATCATCTCCAAAGTTGCTCAAACTGGAGACCTTAAAGCCATTATTTCACTCTCACATACCCAATACACCATGCACACATGCTGAGAGGTGTGGATTTAATCTCTGGGCAGGGGTTCCCAAAACATGGCTCACAGGCTTCATTCACCTGGTCTGCAGTGTGTCATTGGATTTGTGACTTGAGAGGGAATATCCATCACCTTAAATACTCCTAAATTGTAACTGTATTACTTTTTATTTCTTATATTGCATTTAATATTGAATGCTATGGAATTCTAACACAATAAAATACCATTACAAATCATCCAGCAATGACTAGGACAGAAAAATCACTAGGTGGTTTGCAAAGACCCTTAGCAGTTTTCAAGTGGTCCATGGGGTGGGGAGAAAAAGTCTGGTCACCATTGCTCTAAGGCCTCATTTGCACATTACAGTGGTACCTCGGGTTAAGTACTTAATTCATTCCGGAGGTCTGTACTTAACCTGAAACTGTTCTTAACATGAAGCACCACTTTAGCTAATGGGGCCTCCTGCTGCTGCCGCGCCACCGGAGCACGATTTCTGTTCTCATCCTGAAGCAAAGTTCTTAACCCGAGGTACTATTTCTGGGTTAGCGGAGTCTGAAACCTGAAGCGTCTGTAACCCGAGGTACCGCTGTATTGGCAGAGAGCTGTTGCATGGGAGATTCCAAAGTCCTCTGGTCATGTTGTTGGGGAGTAGGGGAGACTGCTGCCTTAGAACAAGTGTGGGGAACCTGTGGCCCTGGATACATGGGTGAACTGCAATTCCCATTATCCCATGCTGGCTGGGGTTGATGGGAGTTGGAGGTCCAGCAGCACCAGGATGACAACAGGTTGCCCATCACTGCCTTGTTAGCTCCCATAGCAGCACATCCCCTGAAAGGCAGGGAGGCTAAGCAAGGAGATCTAGAATGAGCATGGCAATCATTTATGGTCAGGAAACTCACAGGTCCAGTGCCATGGCCTTCCCCTGCCTAGCGTTCTCCAGTTTTGGACTTTTTAATTCCCACCATTCCTGACCATTGGCTACAGTACCTAGGATTGATGGGAGTCGTAGCCTAAAATACCTAGAATGTATCTGGTTGGGTAAAGTCAAAATAGGAAAAAGGTTGAATTGTGGGGTGTTAAGGAATGGTAAAGGCTAGAAAGATGAGGTGGTGAAACAGGATCTGAGGGAGTATATTATCTAAGTTCTAGGAAAGGGCTGGGTGCTAAGAACTACAAGGCAGTGGAGAAGGACAGCAGCTTGGGAAGATGGGCAATTGGTTTCAAGGAGTCAAATGAACACAGCCAAGCAGGCATATTCATGTAACACAATGCTTTCATGTTTTTTATTGCACAGTGCCCTAGGGTTTATTGTCTGTACATGTGCTGCCCTCTACTGGTCCATACATTTAATGTACTGGTTCTGCTAGCTAGGAGTGATGGAAATTGCAGTCCAAAAACAGCTGGAGGCCAAAGTTTGTGAAACTGTTCTAAGAGTCAAAGGAAAAGCACCTCCTAGTCAAACAAGCCGTGTAATCCTAAATGTGCAAACTGGAGAGCCACGTCTCTCCCCCACCCTCCAGCTAAGGGCAGTTTTAGGTGCTTGAAAACATGCCAGAAAGTGTTGGATGTGATGTCTCATTGAGGGATGAAGGCAGAAGCAAAGTTTCAAGGTGCAGCAGATGCCACCAACCTGTTTGCACATACGCCTGAATACACACATAGGAAAAAATATAGCTGTGTTGAGACGTTTGTGCACCTACCTTTCCAATATGTGTTTTAGAGAAGTGGCCTGTGTGTGTTTCTTGCCAATACTTTTCTTTTCCTCTACAAGGCCAAAACATTTCTAAAAGGGGTGAGACTAGTTTTCTGGCAATGTGTTGGCAGGCAATGTGCTTCTTGGAGGCTGATGTGCCACCTAAGGTGGTTCCCTCATTGGTGAACTGTCTCCGATTGTGGACAATGAAAGGAAAAACAGGCTGTTCGAAACTTGTGGTTTTGGCCACCTGAGTAAACCCCTTTTAGAATGGGGCAGGGCTACAGTCTGGCCTGTACAAGCAACTTGTACAATGGATTAAAACTCTGATGCCCATTTTGCAGCCACCCAAACCCACCTTCCCATCCTACTATTCCAACCACCTAACCCCAAACCACATTATCAACCCCCAGGTTAGAAAGTCTGAGCAGTACGGCAAAGAGGCAAAGCAACTCTCCCACATGTGTGTTTAAGGGCAAATAGCCTTTAAAAGAAAGCTTTTGTTCTTTAATTGACAGTGTGCAATGTTTGCACTGAGTCTTAAAAGTATTACCCTAATGAAAAATCAGTATGGTTTGCAAGATTTTATTTGCCATGTACACACCTATGTCGGTTGCCAGCAGGTCACTATCGCAGCGAGCACTATGGCCACAAGACTTCTTTACATGGAACTTTTAATTCTCAATGAGATCTGTACATTCAACTCACACATACCTTTTATTAAGCCTCTGGTAAAAAATGGAACCAGAGTGCTACCACCGTTCAGTGACAAAATATGCCTTGTATAGAGAACTGTCAAAGAGTTTATGCTTCAAATGTTGCCAGGAAATTTGTGACTATTTCCTTCAGCTTGGCTTCAGTTTGTTCAGAGATCTTCCCATCAGTCCTGTCAAGGCAAAACCAACCAAATTTCAACTCTCATCCATAGCAGACTGTGTAGCAGCTACTCCTTCACTTCAACCCTTTTGCAACAACTTCTTCTGCCACCAGCTTTCTCTTTCCCCCACCCCCACCATTTCCCATAAATCGCCATATTTAACAATACTATAAAATGAACCTAAATATTAAATGCAGTGCTGTGCGCCATCCAAAGGCAGCCTCTTGAAGCAGCTCTTCCAAGTGAAACTTTGCACTGTTTTTATAAAGTCACTGCTGCTCTTTTAACAATAATGCACAGAACTATAAGAACTTTCAGTTGTTCAAAACCACAGTCATTCCATAGAAATTTATGACTGCCTCACAAGCAAGTGGAAGGTTGTACCGAAATCTTCTAGTCTATTTTACCTGATTGTGGAGAGGAGGGCCTGATGCTGGCTCAGAACATGAGCAAGGAAAGCACTCTCGAATTTCGTGATCTTGCTGGGCTCCAGCTTGTCCAGGTGGCCTCTTACCCCAGCATAGATAACTGCAACTTGTTCCTCAATAGCCATGGGAACTAGAGAGAGAAATGTGCAAACTTAGGTTAGACCACTTGGTCATTAGCGTGCCGCAAGACACAGCAAACCTGTGCCTATGCTAAGTATAGTTAAGACAGGGGCAACAGGATTTGGTACAGAAAGTTAATAACACTTCACACTCCCCTTAATAGAAAGGATCAAGCTACTGCTCAAGGCAGATACTTCTCTGCTCAGCGACCTCCAGGAGTTGCAGGGAAACCTCTTAAGACTGCCAAGATTCCCAGCCAGACACAGGAAAATCACATTTCTCTTTCCCCCTCCCCACACATGCATATGTGCAAGGAATGTCTCTTTCATGTTCAGCAAATAAGCATTCTCCCTTGATCAAATACGGTGAATTGATTCAGGAAAAGAGAAAGTTTTATATTAATTGCTCTATTTTGCCCAGACATCAGCTCTGTTCGGCAACACCCGAAGTGATAGTGATGGATTTAGGCAATGCTACAACATTAGGCCTAACAGGAGCTCAGAAAAGGAGGAAGAAAGAAGTTATATCCTCCCATAGGGGACCCAAAGATCTGCAAAGTCGGGAAAGGTTTCTGACTACCTCATTCTAAACACTGGAATACGAGCAGGCACATGCTTTATTTCTACACTTATTTGTGCTCAGCAAGATTTCAACTAAACTGAGGAGTCATTCAGCAAACCTTGACCAACTGCATCAGGCATAGGGCACCCCACAGAGACCCTGCTTTTCACAATCCTTGAATTTTTCTGCCTGGCTGGAATGTGCCCTTGAACTCTGATAATGCCTCTTGCTTGCCTGGCTGGACAACAGAGAGGGATGTGTGTAGAAGATACAAAGGATAACAATGTAATTTTGCCTCTGGCCCACTTCTGTGTCTGGCCCAGAGCCCCCCCCTCCCAAAAAAGAAGATTGTCCAGAAGGAATAAAGCAGACCTTGGACTGAAAAACGTTCCTCAGCCTTGTGTGACACGGGGAGGGTGTGTTAGAACCAGAAGTCATGCAGAATTCTTACCATATTGTCCTTGTTTAAGCAGCTCAGTCAGTCGTACACCACGATTGAGCAGCTGCTGAGTAGCAGCATCCAGATCTGACCCAAACTGGGCAAAAGCAGCTACTTCACGGTACTGAGCCAGTTCCAGCTTCATGGTTCCGGCCACCTAGAGAAAGGAGTGGACAGGCTTATTGCCTTTTCTAGGCAAATCATTCTGAACACTTTCTGCTTGCCGGCCTGTGTTTTCAGCTACCTCCTGGACCATCAGAATTGCTATGACAATATAGGAGTGGTCACAGTTAACTATCTAGATTAAATATGGCATTGTCAGGGATGGGCAGGCTTCAGGCCTGGGCAAACAACTGTGTTTTTACTAGGATGCTAAGGTCCACCAATTGGTGCTAGGTACAAATGGCAGCTCAGCGGCCTGACACAGGCCTAGAATTAAGGAACAAGCTGCCGCCAAACATTTCTCAGTACCGGAACTAAGCTCACAATATTTTCATATGGAAGTTGTCATTCGTTTCAACAGTTGTCACCCACAGCAGCTAAATTTAGTGCCTTTTTGTTATTGCCATTGTTAATCAATCAGATTAATGATATTAGTCAGAGATCATTGCCAATATATTGCAAGTCACTCAAGAGTACTCTCTTGTCCTACAGAAATTATTGCTCAAAGTCAGAGGAGCCAGGACCAGGAGGTACAACAATTTGACAAAAATGGTCTAAGCAGAATTGATATAGAAAAGGTCTGGCATATTATGCTATTGCTCAAGAAATTTCCAACCTTGGTTTTGCTAAACTAGCTTCGACTTAAACTTTTACTAAACCCATTCCTGCAGAGACAGCAGCATGGAATATGCAATTATGTATGTTAACCAGAGAATACTCACGTGAGCCTCTTTTATTCAACCGTTCTAATTGAGATAATGAAATGCTAGAACAGAACAATACTGCTGCTGTGATCCTGCATCCCAACACAACAAACTGAATGCTTAGCTAAGCCAGTGTCAATATAACTAAGATTTTACACTTACCTGCTTCATAGCCCTTGTCTGAGCAGCAGAACCAACACGAGACACAGACAAACCAACGTTGATGGCTGGGCGGATACCTTTGTAGAACAGCTCAGTTTCCAAGAAGATCTGTGGGGAAAACCAATATATAATTTTACCAGACACTAATGTGACTAAAGAAATGCAATTGGGCCCAATATGGACTTCAGGTCATCCCAAACCATTCTGTATGCGGATTCTCAATTAAGTGCTTTGGGATCCTACCTGACCATCGGTGATAGAGATTACATTGGTTGGAATGTAGGCTGACACATCACCAGCTTGAGTCTCGATGACAGGAAGGGCAGTCAGAGAGCCACCTCCAAAGGAATCGTTCATTTTGGCTGCTCTTTCCAAAAGGCGGGAGTGCAGGTAGAATACATCGCCAGGATAGGCCTCTCGGCCAGGTGGACGACGCAGCAACAGGGACATCTGGCGGTAGGCAACAGCCTGTTGATACAAGAAAGATGTTACATCTGTTTCACCGGCTCCAAGAATCTTCTTAAGGTCCAAGTTTGTGCCCCGCAAATTAAGAAGCCAATAGCACATTCAAACCTGTTTGGATAAGTCATCATAGATAATCAAAGCATGTTTGCCGTTGTCTCTGAAGTATTCGCCCATGGAGCAGCCAGAATAAGGAGCCAAATACTGAAGGGGGGCAGCGTCTGAGGCTGTAGCAGAGACCACGATAGTGTACTTCATGGCATCTGGAAAAAATGGTTTAAAACAGTTTTGTCAGTGTCAGGGAACTGCCATCAGTGCCGGAGGGAGAGAGCAAAAGCCAGAGGGCGTCCAGGGATCGGGAGAAGCAGCCCATCTTCTGGGGAAGAGAAGGGGGGCAGATGGGGGAAGCGGCGAGGCGGTCCCATGACTCCTTGCCTGGGACCAGCGGGGAGAGTAGGGGTCCTCCGTTGCCCACGCCCTCCTTGCGCAGAAGGCTTTCGCGCAGAGAGAGTAGGAGGAGACTAGGCGTCAAAGAGCTTCTTTGCTGGAAGAAGTTTAAGAAACGCCCACTGACGGATCCTGCCAGCGATTGAGTCAGCCACGGGTGAGTGGCTGTCCGGACAGAAAAGGTTCACTTTGGCAACCCAGCCAGGTGTTTGCACCCAGCCGGGGAGATAAGCACCGGCTTACGCACGAGCAACCCCTAGAACCATTACAGTCAGTTTCTAATTAAATGGAAATGGAAACAGATTGGCTAACAGCCATTCAGTTACTAAATTTTGCCCCATCACACCATACCATTTTCTCACAGTATTTCAAAGTGGGGGACTTTGCTACAGTAAATGGCAGAGTTTACAAAAGTGTGTCATTTCTCTTCGTATCTGCAGAAACTAGGGGGAATGTTTTCTCCTATTTGTCCTTACCCTGGCACACTGTAAGTTGTGCAAATTTAGCATTTAACAGAAATACAATTAAGCTGCAGTTTCAGGAAAGCAAAGCAGGTCTTTAACTAACAGAGCTTAGTACCAAGATAACGGGACATGGAACTTGACAAAAATTCTGCTGTCAATAACTTCTAAGCTGTGTACACAAAACAGTTATAGATAAATCATACACAGATAAAAGCAGTTAAAAAAACATTTATGCTATCCATTTCCACAAACTTCACTTCCATCTAGGAAGTTTGTGTAAAATACCTGCATCAGTGAGCCTCTTCACCAGTTGAGCAACAGTGGATCTTTTCTGGCCAATTGCAACATAAATACAGTACAGTTTCTTCTTTTCATCAGTCCCATCATTAAATCGTTTTTGGTTGATGATGGTATCAATAGCAATTGAAGTTTTCCTGCAAAGAGAATAGCAGGTCAGTTAGCATCATTTCCTACAGCCTGTCCAAAGCTTTTACAAAGGATTTCAAGCTATATTTTGGGGAACCTCAGGGTTCCTCATTGAGGAAATTATTATAACTATTATTTATTAAATTTATGCACCACTATTCACCTGAAGATCACAAGGCAGTTTACAACATAACTGTGTGCAAGCATAATCATCATGGACAAGCTTCTCTGTCTATATGAATCTTATTTTACAGTGAGGTGAATATAATCAGGAATTCATTGGCAGTTTGTTGTAGAGCAAGTGCACTGCCTGTACTGGATACACCTTAGAAACACGCCCTAGAGCCTTCTACAAATCCCAGGAGATTTCAAATAGGGGCATTCGGGTCCTTGGCCAAGAAATCAATGTGTTAAAGGGATCCCTGAAAAATGGGAGCTTTGAGAATAAGACACTTTTCTGAATTCACGGGGCACTTTTGCATCACAGAAAACTTAACAGCAGTTAGGACGAAGCAGTTTGAGTTAGGCGAGACACTAGCTCCTTACCCTGTCTGCCTGTCTCCAATAATCAGCTCACGCTGACCACGACCAATTGGTACCAAGCTGTCTACCGCCTTGATGCCAGTTTGCATGGGCTCTCGCACAGAGATTCTAGGAATGATCCCAGGTGCCTTCAGACCAACTCTCCTGCGAATCTTGGAAGCGATGGCACCCTTTAAAAGGAAGACAACGTTCTCATTTTTCCAAATTTGCTCACTACTGATAAGTGACATGCAAAAGTAGTAAACATCGTTAACAAACCAACCTTTCCATCAATGGCATTTCCCAGGGCGTCTACAACACGTCCCAGCAACTCTTCACCAACTGGGACATCCACAATGGCTCCTGTTCTCTTCACAACGTCCCCCTCTTTAATCAACCTGTCATTACCAAATACGACGACACCAACATTGTCAGGCTCCAAGTTCAAGGACATACCCTAGAAAGAAAGTTAATTTAAGAAGGAATTGAAAAGACGCATTCATGAGACACTCCAGTCAAGTGTTGGCAGGGCAGATTCCCACAACCAGCTGAAATCTACCAAGCTATAAGGTTTGAAAACAGTATCAGACAGTGATGATAGTTCCGTATAAGATATGCTATGGCTGAGCACATTATGTTAAGAGCTATAATCATAGCGGTAGGGGTCATATCTTTAGCGAGCAAAGCCTCTTTGTAACAAGTTGATTTTAACCCACATTTCAAGTCCCAACAATACTCATAATTAGGTACCTTTCACAATGTAACCAAAAGGGTATGAAGAGACCTTCAAACTAAGAATCGCAAGTTTTACACAGGCACTTAATACAAATACGGATGCAATGAAAACAAAACCTACCTTAAGCCCAGAAGAGAACTCAACCATTTCTTCTGCTTGAACATTCCTGAGGCCATACACACGGGCAATACCATCACCAATGGAAAGCACACGGCCAGTTTCTTGAAGCTCAGCAGAGGTGTCTGCGCCCAGAATGCGCTCTTCAAGAATTGAGGATACTTCAGCAGTGCCTGGCAGAATTTAAGTCATGACAATGAAATTTCCTGTGCCACCGGGAGACTCGTTAGAATCTTAGCTCACTTTACATCAAAAGTGACATTTCTGGTAGCCTGGATTAAACAAGATAGGTTAGGTCTGAATCTTGTTTATAGCACATCTTTCTGTGTGGTGTGGTGTGGTGACAAGACTCTAGTCTATGAAAGATCAGGTATCCATCTCTATTCTAGCCAATGGCATGCAAGAAACCATATACAGAGAAAACAGATATACAATTGTAAAAGCAAAAAACCTCCAATTTATTGTTTTATCTTCCTTTGGTGGATCTATCACACCCTCACACCCTTCAGACAAGATTTTCAAGATGTATTTGAACATTTGACTCACCTTTCTACAAATTACTCAACGAAGCTTGCATGAGTTAGGCAAGCTGGATGGAATGCTTAACAGTTTCATTTCTTGATTCTGTACACTCATGGTAAATCAATGGCAAATCAAACGGTAATCAAAGTGCTCTTCTATTTGCCCAACTGCCACTGTTTCTTAAAACTCCAACAGACAATTAAAACTTCAGTTAATATGCCTATTCCAAAACATTTATAAGCGTAACCAGTCAGGTAATTGCTATACTACATAATAGGATGTATTTCTTTTGGTTCCAAATGTTTCACCAAATCAATGCTTAGCTGCAATTAACAGTGATCACTACCGTACTTTATTACCTAAGTTGAGCTTCCAAATATTTATTTTTTACTCACCTGTTTTCTGTAGACTTGTTTTGGAGGCATGGAGGTTCCTTGTTGCAACAAATGATGCACCCAAAGCATTCCGAGAAACCTAGCATAAAGAAAAATATTTTGACTTTTACGTTCAACTTATTATCACTTTCTTGACATTTATGAAATCACACTCCTGTTTTTGCTACTCCTCACTCCATCTCCCCGCAGGGTTTACTTAATTCCAGTTATCAGCTCTTATATATCAGCTATTGATTATTTCAACCATAAAGGTATGTTACTGGTATACAGTATCTCAATGGTGGCGAACCTATGGCAAGCGTGCCAGAGGGGGCACTCAGAGCCCTCTCTGTGGGCATGCGCACCATCACCCCAGCACAGAGTTCACCACTAGAAAGCCAGAGGGAGGAGCCTGAGGACATTTCTGACGTAACCCACACCTCTGCCCAGCCCAGCTGCTCCCGCTCCATTCTGCACCCCTCTACTGAGTCAGGCAGAGCCAGCCAAGCGCATCATGCGAACTGCTGCTCATGCTCCAAGCATGTATGAGTTGTTGTTTTTCCTAAACTGAAACCTCAGTATTCAGGTTAAATTGCTGTGTTGGCACTTTGCAATAAGTAAGTGGGTTTTGGGTTGCAGTTTGGGCACTCGGTCTCTAAAACGTTCTCAATCACCGCAGTATCTGGAACAGGTAGACATATGGTACAGTCCATTTCTAGTATGCAGGTTTACTTGGGATTATACACCCACTGTAGCCAATGGGGCTTTCTCCTGGGTAGAAATGTACAAGATTGTAGCTTTAGATTCAATACTGCTGCAAGTGACTTTAACAAGTAAGGTTTTGGCACCATTAACACAGAGAGAGAAGATACAAAATCTTAATGATTTGTACAGACTACTCAGTATTAGTGGCTGGAAGGTATTGCAAGAGAAATAATCAGCCCAAATATCTTGATTTTAGTGGCATCCTCCATTCCCCTTCTGTAGAATCCCGGGAGAAGGAATGGGCCTAGCTCCCTGCCATCTGAAAAGTTTCTTTCATAGATTCACTCTTGCACAAACCTATTCACAGGACAAAAGAAATGCCTATATAAGTCACTGTACTGAAAATTGGGGAAATATGGGGCAATCCCAGACACCCTCTTGGATAGAGATGTCCAGGTTTCTTTTTAAAAAAAGCTCTCTCCCATGTAAGGCCTTGCATTTGAAATTGGATGCAAGTATTTGTTGCTCTTTTCAAGTACTATGTGGGAATTCTGAAATAATTTTATTTGAGGTGCCTTTTCTAAAGAATGACCTTCAGTACAATCTAAAAGCAATACTGCACATGGACTCTCTCAACACCAATTGGTCAAAAAGAATAACAAGGACAAATAGATCAACTCTGTAATGCAATGGCAACTGTGAAGACACAGGACTGTGAAGAGCTGATGGAACTGTCAAATATGTAGCAGCAGTCACAGCTGTGAAACCTAGGGCTGCACCACCAAAGTATATTGCTAGAATGAATGAAGATTTACACTGAAATATTTGTCAACAATGAATGATGTATTAGTGTTTTCTATTGTAAACTGCCCTGTGATCCGCTGAGGAAGGGCAACATAAATTTTAAATAAATAACAAGTAATAAAAATAAAGAAGATATAAACCACCTATCTTACAAAACAGAGGAGGAAGAACTCTAGGACTTTCCACCACTTACAGGCTTTCAAGACACGTAGATCTACAGGGGAGACCCCAAACGAGTGGTTGCATTTGCAACCCCTGAACTTATCTTTTTAAGTTCCCAAACTTGTCTGGGAGGCAGTTTTCTCAATCCCTGATTAAATGCAAAAGGTGAGCAAATACAGCTCATAAAAAAGGCAATGCCAAAGAATTCTCTTATTAGATGCCACCAAGGTCACAAATACCAAAAGACGATGCTGTGCTGACACCACCACAAGCGCTGTCATCCTGAAAGGCAAGGCAAGTATGCCTGCAACAGCAGCCACTTCTCTCCTACCCACGAGCTCATGCACACTCCCATGTATCCACAAGGATTTCCCCTTGTGCCTTCCCTTCTCTCTTTCCCCCTCTGTCCTCATCTGGGTTCTGGTCGCTGCAGGATCAGGAGCTGCAGGTCTGCCTAGCGTTCTGTCTTTACAGGCTTTCAATTCCATTTCAAAGACATTTAAACTTCTCAATATTCTAATCTGTCATGTGTGGTCCAGTTGAGATTCCTGCATTGCAGGGGACTGGACTAGATGACTCTCTCAGGGTCTTCTCCAACTCTACCATTCTGTGGCGACTGTAGATGCAGAAACTGAATTGCTTTGAAAATATAAACTTAAGAAATTGAACAGAGGCATTGCGGGCAACGGGGACTGGATAACATGTTCAGCACCCTCAAAGGGAAAAGGAGTCCAACTGCATTTCTGCCCAAGATGTTCGCAGCTCAGAGAGGAGCAAATCAGGGGTGAAAATGCCTCTCCTGCAACCTTTAAAAAAGAAACGGCGGAATATTGGAGGAGCAACCATTACTATCGCTATTTCTTTCTTACCACTGACAACCACCCATGCTTTCCAATGCCTGCGCATTATAAGTCATCGTAGAAACAGAATAAATCACAATCACGAGGCTTTATTTAAAAAGAAGAACCACCGGGCACAGGGCCTTTGCTCTCTGACCCCCACCAACGTGCAGCGGCTGAAGGGGACCCGTTTCCCTTCGCAGTGACCTTGCCAGGCCTCGAGGGGCGAAGGGAAGCGAGAGGACGGGAAGCTCCTCCAACCCCGCTCCCCTTCCCGCCGTGGAGCCCAGCGACACGCGAGGAGGGGAGGCCGCCTCGCAGGGGAGCGAGGCCTGCAAGAGCACGGAGCCTCCCCCCCTCCTCAATGTCACCCGCAGGGCCCCAAGATGGCGGCGCCGACGGCCGCCTCACACGGACCGACCTCCCTCCCTCCCTCCGCTCCCGCGTCTCTCTCACCAGGCCGGCCTGCCGGGGCAGGGCGCGGGCGAGGGCGGCGGCTACGCGCACGGACAGCATCGCGGCGGGAGAGGGCGGCGGAGAACCAAGGGAGAGGAGGAGACGCCGCTACTGCCGCTGCCTCTTCTTCTTGCTTGTCTTGCAGCCGCCGCAGCCGCCTCACGTCAGGGAACCGCGGACAAAATGGCCGCCACCCAGCGCCGCCCCCTTTTTGCCGGAAGAGGCCACGCCCCCTTTCCTTCAGCCTGGCGGAGAGGAGAAAGTCATGACCCGGAAGCGCTTCCGCTGCCTTTCCCCACCTTTTACCTCAGTTCAATTTATTATTACATTATTATTATTAGTAGTAGTAGTAGTAGTAGTATCATTAATAATATAATATAATAACAATGTCAATATAATTATTTTAATTATTATTATTATTTTAGCTAATAATGATAATGATATATCGTTCAGGTTTCTTTATCTGCAGTTATGCCTGAAATTTTTCTTCATGTGTGCGTTTAAGAGTGGGAGAGCGCTGTTGGACTCCAACTCCCAGAAGTCCCCATCCGACGCGGCCGGTTGTTAGGCATGCTGGGAGTTGGAGTCCAATCGTGTCGCCTGGCATCCCCTCGCGAGGGCAGACCACGCCCACCCAGACGCGAAGGTCCCCTTTGGTTAAACTGCCGGCGAAGGGGGCGTGTCCGACGTCCTGACCACGCCCCTTCCAAACTGCCCCGGATCCACGTGGCTCGCTGCTCAGTGCTGCGTTGTCAGCTGCTTTCGAGCAGCCGCTTGATTTGAGCCTCTGCGCAATAACCCTGGTTTCCCTCTGCCTTGCATGATCAGGGCTTTTGCCCTAGTGAGCGAATCTCCTCTAAGCACGTGCAGAGTTCTTATCGCTCCTGACACTAAAATGCGCATAATCCCAAATGCCTGAGAATAACGCCATTTCAAGTCATTGGAAGTTACTCCTGAGTAAACGCGGCCAGGACATCGGCCCTCATTGCCAGTTACCTCTTTCTTAGGGAGGACGGGTGCGTCTTGTTTATAATATTCGGAAAAACACATTAAGTAGGCACACCTCAAATATATTCTCTTCATAATAGTGTTACATACTATAGTATTTATTTTTGTGTTTTCATTCCATAAACCACCCTCGGATGGATAAAGTAGTAATAATAATAATATTGAAAAGACAGGCATCTCCAATAAATATGCTGGAAGCACGGTATATGCACGCACCTTTTCTTATTTGTTTTTCAAAAGAAACGTAAAGTTTGGGAACCTGCATCAGACAAGGGCCCCTCCTCACCCCCACCCTCTAAGCACAAGTTCCAGGTGCGAGTCCAGGAGGTGCTCAATGTACATGACGTTCTGTTGACTGTGGGATAGCGCTACAATATATTTGTTCCTGTTGTCCTTGTCCATGGAGTTTTCTTGGCAGGGATACTGGAGTGGCTTGCCGGTTCCTGCTCCAGGTGGATCACATTTGGTCAAAACTCTCCACCATGACCTGTCCATCTTGGGTGACCCTGCATGGCATAGCTCATAGCTTCTCTGAGTTATTCAAGCACCTTCGCCACGGCAAGGCAGTGATCCATGAAGAGTCTGACATGATTAAACAACTAAACAACAACATATTTGTTCCATTGTGGACCATGAAATCTTTGATGCACCAGTTCGATAGCAGCGTTTGTCTTATCCATGGGTTTGCAAATTAAGGCTTAGCCTTATCGCCTTCTAAATCTGGCCCATGGACGGTCTGGGAATCGGCATGTTTTTACAGGAGTAGAATGTGCCCTTTTATTTAAAATGCATCTCTGGGTTATTTGTGGGGCTTGCCTGGTGTATTTACATGAGTAGAATGTGTCCTTTTATTTAAAAGGCATCTCTGGGTTATTTGTGGGGCATAGGAATTCGTTCATCCCCCCCTCCCAAAATATAGTCCGGCCCCCGACAAGGTCTGAGGGACAGTGGACCGGCCCCCTGCTGAAAAAGTTTGCTGACCCCCGACTTATCTATGCAAGGGGGTGCATTTTCGCATTGACTAGCAATGCGGAAGTCTTTGCTCTTCCGCCCCCCCCCCGCTCCCGGGGCTTTTCCCGGTCCCTTCCCGGGTGAACCAAGGTCACTTGTCCTTCCCGAAGCAGCTTGCTTTCCCCCCCTTGCGCGCCCTTGAGCTCTGCAGCCGGGCGGAGGCGGGCAGGGAGTTACAGCGCCTCCCCAGCGTGGGCTGGGCTTTGATTCATAGGCTAGACCCCTCCGAACTACAACTCCCAAGAGGCACCTCGCCCGGTGACGCCATCGTTCCGCGACGGGGGAGTTGGCGTGGGATAGCGAAGCGGGAGGTTTGCAATGCAAGAGGAGCTGGCAGGGATGGAGGCGAAGCTGGAGAAGGTGAGCGGGTGTGGAAGCGACCCCCCCCTCTCTCTCCCTGGGATCTTTCCGGAGAGGAAAGCGCTTTGCAGATGGGAAGGGCGAACTGAAGAGCGAGAAGGCAGTGCTGCAGGAGAGTAAAGGGCGAGTGGTCAGGGGAAAGCCGAGCAAACGAGGAAATTTTTACTAAGCGCCCACCTGAATGGCACTGGGGTAGTGCCAGATTTACTTAGAAGCTAAACAAGCTGCAGCTTAGGGCGCCACTCTCTTGGGGCCCCCCCCAAAAAAAAATTAAAGGGAAAAAACTGGATGTACATTTCCAAACTATAAGATGAAAAACAAATAAAATAAAACCTATATACAGCAACAGTGTTTTGTGTTGTGTAGGCTCCTATGATGTAGGTAATGGGCCCTGCCTGCTAGCCTGCTCCCTAAAATATCACTGGTTTGCTCATTTCTATATATAGGGTAGGGACGCGGGTGGCGCTGTGGGTTAAACCACAGAGCCTAGGACTTGCCAATTGGAAGGTCGGTGGTTCTAATCCCCACGACGGGGTGAGCTCCCGTTGCTTGGTCTCAGCTCCTGCCAACCTAGCAGTTCGAAAGCATGTCAAAGTGCAAGTAGATAACTAGGTACCACTCCGGCGGGAAGGTGAATGGCGTTTCTGTGCGCTGCTCTGGTTCGCCAGAAGCGGCTTAGTCATGCTGGCCACATGACCCGGAAGCTGTACGCCGGCTCCCTCGGCCAATAAAGCAAGATGAGCGCCGCAACCCCAGAGTCGGCCACGACTGGACCTAATGGTCAGGGGTCCCTTTACCTTTATATATAGGGTGCCTACATTCTGCATGGACTGGCTGCATGGCAACATGTGCAAATGGTTTTAGATACCTATTAGGTCCATAAATTACCATATAGCATATATTCCACACACAAAAACAGTGACCATTTGTTGTTGACAAAGGAAAGCTGGACATATAAAGGGCCCCATTACCTGCAGTTGCTTAGGGCCTCATCAAACCTAAATCTGGCCCTGCTCATAACCCTTGTCTTTACCCTTCATTACCCCTGAGCTGTGTCTTGTATTTTTAAACTCCAGCTTATTCTAAGCCGAGTTGCGTGACCATTGGGGCACATGCTGGGAACCATAGGAAAAGCTCTTAGGAGGTATTTCCCAGTGACCTGCTGAAACAGGTAGGATTTGTAACTGGGGACACATTGGACATACCCTTTTTCGGTACCCGCAATGCACAAATAGCCCCTTTAAGGGGACTGGGGTCTCCGAAACAGAATGTGCAGTTCACGGTGAGTTGGGAGCCACAGGAAACACTAGAAAATCCAAGGGTGTTCCTTTGGAGCTCAGGAAGCTGTCAGAGACATCGGTTGCCACAATCACTGGTTTGCTCATTTCAGTGATCCGTGCGACGGTCACCTCCAGGCTTGATTATTGTAACTCGCTCTACGTGGGACTGCCCTTGAAGCTGACCCAGAAACTCCAGCGGGTGCAGAATGCCGCAGCGAGGCTCCTTATGGGGTCCTTGCCACGGGATCACATTCACCCAGTGCTTTACCAACTGCACTGGCTCCCGGTGGAGTACAGGGTCGGGTTTAAGGTGCTGGTTTTGACCTTTAAATCCCTACGCGGTCTAGGACCCACGTACCTACGGGACCGCCTCTCCTGGTATGCCCCGCGGAGGACCTTAAGGACCAAAAATGACAACACTTTGGAGGTTCCAGGTTGCAAGGTGGTTAGTTTTGTCTCAACTAGGGCCAGGGCCTTTTCAGTACTGGCCCCGACTTTGTGGAACGCTCTGTCACAAGAGACTAGGGCCCTGCGGGACTTGACATCTTTTCACAGGGCCTGCAAGACAGAGCTGTTCTGCCTGGCCTTTGGTTTGGACTCAGTCTGACCCTTATGTTTCCTTCCCCTTATGGTTTCGATCTATGGGCTACTTTCAAAATGAGGCTGCATTTTAAATTGCATTTTAACCTGTATTTTAAATTGGTTTTTTCCCCTATTTTATTTTTAATGGAATTTTACTGGTGTTAGCCGCCCTGAGCCCGGCTCTGGCTGGGGAGGGCTGGGTATAAATAAAATTTATTATTATTATTCTATATACATGGTGCCTACATTCTGCTGTTTATAATTATTAATAGTTTGCATCATTTATTTACACCTATTACTATTTCATGTTTTAGCAAGTTTCTAGAATCTAGATTATGAGTCTTTGTAAAGTGTGTTTCTAAAGGAACTTTTGTTATTGCCAAATGACAATGTGTTTGCATTATTAAGTTTGTTATAAATAAAAAATCATTTTAAGTTAGAGCTTAATAATTATTTCACTATTAATATACTTCTTAATTGTATTTGAGTTCAACAATTACTTTGATAAAAGGTATTTTTGTTATGTGCAAATGGCTTTAGATACCTATTAGGTCCATAAATTACCATGTAGCATATATTCAACACAAAAAAGCGACAGTTTTGTGGTTGACAAAGGACAGCTGGACATATAAAGGCCCCCATTGCCTTCAGTAGCTTAGGGCCTCATCAAACCTAAATCCGGCCCTGCACAGGGGGAGGGCATTTCAGAGAGTAGGGGCCACCCCAGAGAAGGCGCTGCTGCTAGATGAAACTCAGAAGGTCTTGTCTTTATCAGCAAGGCCTCCTCTGGTGATCTTGATTATCTACACGCCTGCATAAGGGAAGGTGGTCCTGTAACATCCCAGCCACCAGCAATGTTTATCCTTAGGTAAAGGTAAAGGACCTCTGACAGTTAAGTTCAGTCGCGAATGACTCTGGGATTGTGGCTCTCATCACGCTTTACAGGCTAAGGGAGCCGGCATTTGTCTGCAGACATTTTTCCGGGTCATGTGGCCAGCATGACCAAGCCGCTTCTGGTGATACCAGAGCAGCGCACAGAAACACCTTTTACCTTCCTGCCAGAGCGGTACCTATTTATCTACTTGCACTGGTGTGCTTTTGAACTACTAGGCTGGCAGGAGCTAGGACAGAGCAACGGGAGCTCATCCCGTCGCAGGGATTCGAACCACCAACCTTCCGATCGGCAAGCCCTAGGCTCAGTGGTTTAGATTACAGCACCACCCGCGTCCCATGTTTATCCTTACGGTATTATATTATAATAATTAAATAACTGCAGCATCTTTTATAATGATGCAAGGCTGTAAATAACAACAACAACAATAGTAATATGAATAAGTCATTCATCCTTGGTTTCTTTCCGCTTTTCCCGTTAGGTTGCTTCGTGGCTGAAGAAGACCTTTGGGGATCAGCCCATCCCTCCATACGAAGCCGATGCGCGGACGGTGGATATTTTGTACGAGCTGGCAGAATGCAATGAGTCCAGGGATGGGGACGTCCGCCTGTTAATCGAGGACATGAAGCAGAAGGCGGAAGAGTACGAATCTGACGGTGAGACCGAAAGCTTAAATTCGAAGTTGCGGCGGGTAGGTGTCTCTTAAAACACACACTTTAGTACAGGGGTCAGCAAACTTTTCCAGCAGGGGGCCAGTCCACTGTCCCTCAGACCTTGTGGGGGGCCGGACTATATTTTTAAGCAGCCCCGGTGGCTGCTTACCTGTGTCTTGCGAGCGGCCAGGGCTAGCAGCGGCGGAGGGACGATGAGTGGTGTGCGAAAGGGCTCCAGAGAGGGGCTGCTTAAAATGGCGGCCACTCAAGTGCTGCTGCTGCTGGCACCAACAAAACCCAGCCCCCTTCCTCCTCTAGGCAGGGCAGGGAGAAGCCAGGAGGAGGGAGGGAGGAGGCGCCGCCGCCGTGGGAGGGAGAGGGAAAGAACGTGTGCATTGGCAATCCATGCAGGGATTCCCTGACCATCCACGGGCCGGATCCAGAAGGCAATTGGGCCTGATCCAGCCTGTGGGTCTTAGTTTGCCTACCTATGCATTAGAATAGTAATAGTAGTAGTAGTAGTAGTAGTAGTAATAATAATAATAATTTATTATTTATACCCCGCCCATCTGGCTGGGTTTCCCCAGCCACTCTGGGCGGCTTCCAACAGAACACTAAAATACAATAACCTAACACTAAAATACAATAACCTCTCTCCTCCTTATTATAGTTCTTTAAAACTGTATGTCAGGGATGGCCAACTCTCCTCAATCCCAGCCAGCATGTCCCAAAGATTGGGGACTATAGGAGTTTGGAGTCCCAACAACATCTGCAGGGCACTATATTGGCTATTCCTGTTGCACACAACAACTGTCTTCGGTGTAGTCTCTCCTCCAGTCAAGGCACCAATTTTTGAACTACTCAGAGTTCCTCTCTTCTGTGGCCTGCTTCATAGAAATGTGTTTTTTAATACATATATATTTCCCCCCAGGCACCTACCTACAGGATCTTCTGACCGAGAGTCTGAATCTTTCTTTCAGCAACATGTCTAAGGGCAGCACCAGCTATCTGAACACATTGGTAGACACAGCTTTAGCCCTTGAAACAAAGGACACTTCCCTTGCAAGGTAATGTGTGCCTTTGGTTTTCTCTGTTATTGGATAAGCTTCTTTTGGGTGTTCAGTCTCACGCTCGGTTTGCATGAAGAAGCACTGCAGTTTGATGAACTTTTAATGCCTTTTGCACCTACAGTCTTACTGAGAGATGGATATGAGAGAGGGTTTTAAAGAGAGAATCACGTCCTGTTTTTGTCTGAATGGTTTGTCTGTTTTTACAATCGGAATTGTTTTAGCCTGTGTTTATATCACATAGTTGCAATCAGCAACCTGGGAGCTTACAGTGAAGGGCGGGTAAGAAATCCTAAAAATAAACAGAACAAATAAATGTTCTACTACTCTGGAATGGGTTGTTTATACAAGTAGTTCAAGGCTGCAATTATAAATACACTTACTAGGGTGTAAGCCTCACTCAACCTTCCTGTGAATGAACTTTTCACAGACAGTGCGCTTTCATGAATGGATGGTCCAAAAAAAACCCATAATCCTTTAAAAAAAAAAATTGTGTGTGTCCTGTGTTGTTAATGAAAGCTATTTTACCTGTTGGTGTAATGAATTTGTTTAATAAACAAAATCTATTGCGTATTTAATTGTATATATTTAATTAAATATATTGTGTATATTAAATAATATTGAATACAGTCATACCTCGGGTTGAACGTGCTTCAGGTTGAGCGCTTTCGGGTTGCGCTCCGCTGCAACCTGGAAGTAACGGAGCGCGTTACTTCCGGGTTTCGCCGCATGCGCAGACTCTCAAAATGACGTCATGCACATGCGCGGAAGCGGCAAAACGTGACCTGCACACACACAGGTGCACCGTCGCGTCTTACGTTCTATTCAGGATGCGAACGGGGCTCCGGAACAGATCCCGTTCGCATCCCGAGGTACCACTATACAGTGGTACCTCAGGTTACATACGCTTCAGGTTTCAGACGCTTCAGGTTACAGACTCTGTTAACCCAGAAATAGTACCTCGGGTTAAGAACTTTGCTTCAGGATGAGAACAGAAATTGTGCTCTGGTGGCACGGCGGCAGCGGGAGGCCCTATTAGCTAAAGTGGTGCTTCAGGTTAAGAACAGTTTCAGGTTAAGAACAGACCTCCGGAATGAATTAAGTACTTAACCCGAAGTACCACTGTATTACTTTACAATATGAAAATTTAATTTCTTGTGTGGCCCATGAGTTCTGTGTTGCCATACTCTAGAGGGTCTTATTAGCAGTTTGTGTGAATGAGCCAAAAAGATAAGTGGGGAGAGGGCCACAGCTTTGTGGAAGAGCATCTCCTTTGCATGCATAGGTTCCTGAGTTCAATCCTCACCACTTCCAGGTAGGGCTGGGAATGTACGCAGCCAGGACTCGTGCAGAGATGCTGCCAGCTGGTGTAGACAACACTGAGCTAGATGGGTCCAATCGCAGCTTGCCAAATCCTTCCTTGGTGCACGTAGGTAGCTGGTAGCTGAGCTTCTCCTTGCAGCCCTGAAATCCGGATGCTGTTTGTTGTTGTTGTTTTAAAAAATAATTGTCATTACCAATTCTTTCTAGCTTCATTCCTGCCATCAATGATTTGACTTCAGAGCTGGACGCCGCAGATTCCAAAAACAAAGAGATGGAGCTGGAACTGAGCACTTTGAGGAAAAAGCTCACCTCGGCGCTGGTGCTGGAAAAACGGCTTCAAGAGTAAGAGCTGGTCAGAAGTTTCCTTTATGCTTTAATTTTCTCCACTGAGCTCAGCAGCTTCTGTAGGGTTGCGGACACACTGGCAGCCAGGGTGGTGGTTTTTTTAAACGTTAGCAGTTGAATTGCATCATGTGCCTTTTGATCTCACGGCTTCTCCTCTTCTTCCTCCTCCTCCCTCTATATTTATTTATACCCCACCTTTTGCCAGTGAAGGTGGCTTGCAGATAAAATAAGAACAGCTAAAAACTTAGGGGGGAAACCATTACAAAGCAATTAAGCATTAATAGAATGAAAACAGTACAGTCGTACCTTGGATCTCAAACGCCTTGGCTCCTGAACAAATTGGCTCCCGAATGATCAAAACCCGGAAGTGAGTGTTCCGATTTTCAAACGTTCTTTTGGAACCCAAACGTCTGATGGGGCTTCCGTGGCTTCTGATTGGCTGCAGGAGCTTCCTGCAGCCAATCAGAAGACGCACTTTGGTTTTCGAAAGTTTTGGAAGTCGAACGGACTTCCTGAATGGATTCTGTTTGACTTCCAAGGTATGACTGTAGATAGATAGATAGATAGCTGTAGATTGATATATTCTATTAAAAGCATACAGGTAATAGCCGCAAAACAGCATGCAAAGTGCATTGTGGGCCATTGTGATTCCGGCCTGACTTCCAACAACAACAGAGCCACAAACATCAGTCACCATCATTACATGCATCTTAGACTTAAACATAGGTAAAGGTTAAAAAAGGTAAAGGGTCTTAAACATATAACTTAATAAACATATAACATAATACAGTGGTACCTTGGGTTACATACGCTTCAGGTTACAGACTCCGCTAACCCAGAAATAGTACCTCGGGTTAAGAGCTTTGCTTCAGGATGAGAACAGAAATCGTGCTCTGGCGGCGCAGCGGCAGTAGGAGGCCCCGTTAGCTAAAGTGGTGCTTCAGGTTAATAGCAGTTTCAGGTTAAGAACAGACCTCCGGAAGGAATTAAGTACTTAACCCGAGGTACCACTGTAGAAGCCCTCCAGATGTCCACACAAAATTGATGTCTATATGAAAAAAGTTCAAATGTAGCTGGTGCTGTTAGGTGCACAGATCGTTGTTTTTAATGGGCAGTGGGTATTTATCCTTCCAGGATCTTAAGTCTAAGCTTCTTAGCAACCACAGGGAATTGCTGGGTCCACTTCTGTTGACTTGCTGTTAACCTCCATTCTGTAGGATTAAAAGCTCATGAACATTTACAAATGGTTTTACATTTGGCCATCAAACCTGAGGTCTCTCCACAACTGCCTTCAGGGAAAATATTCCATATTGCAGTCTTTGTTGTGCCTCTGCAAATCCCAGTCTCATGGCAGGCGGGTTTGCCAGGGTATGTTTGGGTTCATTCCAGGGTTGTAGATTCCAGATCCTACTAGCCCTGTTCAATGGAAGTTTGCATGAAGTTTCTTGAGCTGTTCTGGGAGCAGACAAGCAGTTTGGTTTCTGGCCTCCTTGGAGATGATGTAGGCATTTAGCAAAGGATTTCTGCCACTGATAAGAAGTCTTTGCCGTTTTTGTTGTAGTGACCTTAAGAAAACCGAAGAACTACTGGTAGTGGAAAAAGCGAAAGCTGATAACCGGACCCAGAACATGAAGTTCCTGAAGGACAAAGTGGAAGATTTCAAATTCAGAATCAAGGCAGCAGAGGTTAACACAAAGAACCCTTTATTGGTGTTGCTGTAGGGGAGACTCACTGAAATAGGAAGCTTGCTTTTACTAATGCTTTCTATAGTGCCATCTTTGTAACTGCATCTTAGGCGAGTGGCGTAATAAAATATAAACCCCTGCCCCAAGGAGCTTGCAATCTGAATTTGACAGAGTGGGGAGGCAGACGGAGAGGCGTGGGTAACAAAGGAGGAATGGCTGCCTCTGAAGACTGTTCAGAAGCTCCACCTGGTGCAGAATTTGGCAGCTGTTTAGCTCACCAGGTTTCGCAAGACGGTTTGAGCATATAATGCTAATCCTGGTCTGATGGCACCGGCTGTCAATTAGCTTCCAGGCTCCATTGAGAATGATGTTTTTGACCTGTAAAGCTTTAGACGGCTAAGGACTGCAATACCTCAAAGAATCCTTCTCCCCATATAAACCCTGAGATCATCCTCTGAGCCCTTTCTGTGTGTGCCTCCTGCATTTGAGGTCTGGAGGGTGGTAGCACGAAAAGGGGCCTTTTCTGCAGTGCCTGCCTGTTAGTGGCTCCCTTCCCAGGGAGAATGGTCTGGTGCCTTCCTTATACAGTGGTACCTTGGGTTAAGAACTTAATTCGTTCTGGAGGTCCGTTCTTAACCTGAAACTGTTCTTAACCTGAAGCACCACTTTCGCTAATGGGGCCTCCCACTGCTGCCGCGTTGCCGGAGCACCATTTCTGTTCTCATCCTGAAGCAAAGTTCTGGGTTAGCGGAGTCTGTAACCTGGAGCGTCTGTAACCTGAAGCGTCTGTAGCCCGAGATACCACTGTACTCTTGAACCAGGCCTTGCAGGGCTGATTAAAATTCTACTGCCTTTTAAATGTGTTGGGGAGGGGGTTATTGTTTCGTTGTTTTCATTTTAACTATTTGTGCTTGTACAGTGTACAGTGGTACCTTGTACAGTGGTACCTCTGGATGCGAACGGGATCCATTCCGGAGCCCCGTTCGCATCCTGAGTAGAACGTAACACGTGTGTGCAGGTCGCGTTTTACCGCTTCCGTGCATGCGCGTGATGTCATTTTGAGCGTCTGCGCATGTGTGAGCGGCGAAACCCGAAAGCAACGCGTTCCGTTACTTCTGGGTCGCCGCGGAGCGTAACCTGAAAACGCTCATCCTGAAGCATATTTAACCCGAGTTATGACTGTATTTTTATCTTCTGAACCGCCCTGAGATCTTGTGATGAAGGGCAGTACAATCATACCTTGGTACCCAAACGCCTTGGTACTCTGACGTTTCGGCTCCCGAACGCTGCAAACCCAGAAGTGAGTGTTCTGGTTTGCGAACGATTTTTGGAACCCGAACAGCCGACGGGGCTTCCATGGCTTCCAGTTGGCTGTGGGAGCTTCCTGCATCAAACCGGAAGCTGCGCCTTGGTTTCCGAACGTTTTGGAAGTGAAACGGACTTCCGGAACAGATTCCATTTGACTTCCGAGGTACCACTGTATATCAATTTAATAAATAATAAAATGATGGCAATTTAGCTCAGTGGGGGAGCGCCTGGCTTCCATGCGAAAGGTCTCAAATTCAACCCCTGGCATGTCCAAGTAGGACTGTGAAAGTCTCCTGTCAGTGTAGACTATACAGAATTAGGAGGACCAACAGTCTGACTCAGTGCAAAGCATATGTTCGTGAAGCAGAATGGCATTTTTGCTATTTTTAATGATATGGGAACTAGCAAGATGACTTTTTCATCTCTGTCTTTTTCTTGAGGGTAATCCTACAATGCGTACCGTCTGTTGAACAGAAGTCATTGCTTGCCCTCTTATCCTGGGTTTTTTGCTTTGTATCTCTTGGCAGGAACAATTATCTCTGTGTGGGATGGATGCTTCACTGACTCACGAGTCTCTGGTGAATCTCTCAGAGGTGGGTGTTTCGCCTTGAATTTTGACGGTGTTTGAAAATGACACACGCTGGTTGGCATTCAACCTGGATGGTAGGGAGGAAATGCCATTTACCCAGATGGCAGTTGGCTGTGAGCTTGCTAGAGATGGTGAGATCAGCTCCAAATGCCTCTGTGATGCGTGTTTCAGAGAATGCAAAGGGATTCGGGTTTTACATCAAAGGGCGGGCCCCTAGTGCTAACTGAAATACTGCAAGAGAGAAATAATAATAATAATAACTTATTATTTATACCCCGCCCATCTGGGTTCTTGACTCACAAGCTATGAAAGATACAAACAAAAATTGGGTGTTTTGTATTGGGGGGTGGGAAGCCATAGGCTGTAATTGTAAATAATAATAATACTGCCGTCAACATCTTCATTCATTCATTCCCCGCCCATCTGGCTGGGTTTCCCCAGCCATTCCGGGCATCTCCTATTCCCATTTCTTCTGCTTGGCCTCCACCCCTCCTGCAATTTCAATACAGATTAAGACGGGGGATTTTGGCCACTTAGATGTTGCTAGACTACATTTCTCACCAGCCCTGATCAGAAACTCTGAACCAAACTCTCCAGTCCATTCTTCCCAAAATATGGAAATTAAGTGGGTAGATTAAAAAAGGTGAAGGTAAAGGACCTCTGACAGTTAAGTCCAGTCGCGAACGACTCTGGGGTTGCGGCGCTCATCTCACTTTACTGGCCGAGGGAGCCAACATTTGTCTGCAGACAATGAGTCATGTGGCCAGCATGACTAAGCCGCTTCTGGCGAACCAGAGCAGCGCATGGAAACTCGGTTTACCTTCCCGCCGGAGCGGTACCTATTTATCTACTTGCACTTTGACATGCTTTCGAACTGCTAGGTTGGCAGGAGCAGGGACCGAGCAACGGGAGCGCACCCTGTCACAGGGATTTGAACCACTGCCCTTCCGATTCGCAAGCCCTAGGCTGTGTGGTTTAGACTACAGCGCCACCCGCGTCCCGTGTGTAGATAGGCATGCATATTTTGCAGACTGCTTTGAAGTGTCGTTTATTGCAGATCGTGAGGCTAAAAAGCATCCACCCAAACCTTGCATTTATTTATTTCTGGTGGGAGAAAGACAAAGTCACTGTGTGAATGGTTTGTTTTGTGTTTCCATCCATAGAATCTAGCGGAATTAAAGAAGCAGGCGGTACCTTTGAAGAAGAAACTGGAGTCGTATCTGGACCTGACCCCTGTAATCTGCCGTACCCTGCTTCTCTTAGAACTGTAGAATCCTAGAATTGTAGCTCAACTTCCAGCAGAGTTCCCCAATATGGTGCCAATTGACAAGGATCATGGCTGCTGCGCCCCAAAATGCCAGGAAAGCACCAGATTGCCCAAGGGCTAGTTTAAAATATTGGCATGTATCCCTTGGCTCAGTATGCTTTTGGAAGTTTGGCCTGACATGAGGGTTATGGGTTAGCAGACATTTGAAAGGAGCTTAAAACATGATTGCAGAGCTTTCTTTGCTGCCAAGGGTATAGAATTGCTATTATTTCTACAGCACTTGCACATATATGCACGCTATTCTGCTTGTTTGAAAATAAATAAATGTCCGCAAATGTTGCTCCAGTTAACAGTTGCAGTCCTTTGGGTGGTAGGTTGCAGACATATGTGGCAAGAAGGAAGGTGGGTAGGGTTGTTTGAGCGGTCAAGAAACTTTAGGTTGCTGCTGGACACTGAAGTGTCTTTGTTCCAAACTCACTCTTCTTCATTGCCTATCCGTCTACATTTCATGGAATGATTTCTGATAGCACCGGAGTGTGTGCTGAACAAATGCACTTTTAAAACACTCTCTTTTTAAAGTTTTTTGGGGGGGCAGCAATAACTCCATAGACCTTTTGCTTGATTTCAGAAATTCAGACAGGAGAGTGTAAAACCCCTACGTCTGCCTAAATGTCTTTCTACTGCTCTTTTCAGAGTCCTTCTCTCGCACGAGTGAAGATCGAAGAAGCAAAGAGGGAGCTGGTAGGTGCTTTTGTTGGTATTAATACGTTCTCTTAGTTGCACTGGTGGACAGGCTGGTCTTCTGGGCTATTTTGGTGCATTTTTCTTGTTTGGGGATATTTTGGAGGGGTGGGCCAGACCTCTTCTGTCCTAAAGGCAGCATGAGAAATTGCCACCTCCCTATATAAGCTCAAGCCATTGTCCATCTCTGCCTTCCCCTAAAGTGCTTTGTGCTTATCTCTGCACATCAAGCAATGGAGAGAGAGGTTCAAGTGCAAATCTAAGCCTGTCAACCATTTCTCTTTTTCACATTTATTTAAAGGTACAGTGGTACCACTGGATGTGAACGGGATCAGTTCCGGAGCCCCGTTCGCATCCTGAAGCAAACGTAACACGTGACTGCGCATGTGCGGGTCGCGTTTCGCCGCTTCCGCGCATGCACATGACGTCATTTTGAGCATCTGCGCGTGCGCGAGCGGCGAAACCTAGTAGTAACACGTTCTGTTACTTCTGGGTCACCACAGAGCACAACCCAAAAACGCTCAACCTGAAGCGCATTCATCCCGAGGTATGACTGTAAAGAGACCCCTGACCATTAGGTTCAGTCGTGGACGACTGGGGTTGCGGCGCTCATCTCGCTTTATTGGCCGAGGGAGCCGGTGTACAGCTTTCGGGTCATGTGGCCAGCATGACTAAGCCGCTTCTGGCGAACCAGAGCAGCGCACGGAAACGCCGTTTACCTTCCCGCTGGAGCGGTACCTATTTATCTACTTGTACTTTGACGTGCTTTCGAACTCCTAGCTTGGCAGGAGCAGGGATCAAGCAACGGGAGCTCACTCTGTCACGGGGATTCGAACCGCTGACCTTCTGATCGGCAAGCCCTAGGCTCTGTGGTTTTAACCCACAGCGCCACCCACATCCCTTTCACATATATTTACTTGTTAAATTTATAACCCACTTTTTTTCTCCAAGAAGCTCGAGGTGGCGTACATGGTTCTCCCCCTCCTCATTTAATCCCCACAAAACCCCTCTAAGGTGTTATGGACTAGATCATCCCTGACCAGTGGCCATGGTGCACGGAGATTATAGTTCCACAACTTCTAAAAAATTTTCATTCTGAACTATTCTGTTTCCTTCACTACGTTGGCTTGACCATCCTGTCTCTGTTAAGGGTTTTGAATGTCTGAACATTTTTTATTGTATTGTTGGTTGGTGTTTGCTTTGTGTATCGGGTTTGCCGCTTTGCGAGAACATGCTCTTAAAAAGTGGGATATAAATCTATTGGATTAATGATACCTGTCATCCCAATTTTCTTTTTGGTTGGTTTCAGCTTGTGGGAAGCATCTGTATGGTACGTTGCCATACCATACCATGTTTGTGTATTGGGGAGGATGTCTCATCCAAATATTGTGGCTGACTTTTCTCTCCTTTTTCTAGGAAGCTCTTGAGGCCGAGGTTTCAGCAAAGGTGGATATGACAGCACTTTCGGTCCCTTTATCTACCAAACGTCACTTTTCCTAATGACCTTGGTGCAGAAACAAAAGAGCAGTTCTACATTGTAAATTCTGTGGCTCTTGGTATATCTTTCTTATGTTCATGTGGCCTTTGCCCTCTCTCCTTTACTTCCCTTTCTCCATTTTTTTTTATTCTAAAAAAATGTACAGCTTCGTGTTTTGCATACATTTCTCTCTATTTCCCCCATGAGAATGAACAATAAAACAGTGTTTCTGAACCATCCTTTACAATCAACATGTGTAGCAGTCTGATTTGACTGCTGCCCTGAAGGCGGTACTCTTATTGTATACAGGAGCAGAAACCATTTAAGGTTTGATTAACTTTAGGAAGCTTTAGGAAAATCCGAAATCAGTGTGATCAAGCTTTCCGAAAAGACGGGTAAATTTATAAAATACTTGAAAGACAATTGTAAACATTTAACAACACTAGCAGGATCGACTTAAGAAGACTTGTAATGTTGATGATTCTACCTTTTTACATTTTATTTAAATAATATGACAATGGTAATGGGAAAAGTAATTAGGAAAAAGTACAAATGTGATGATATAGTAAAGAATTAAGGTAACCATGAATCGGGGCTGCGGGGGGGAGTCGATCAGCTCAAATGAGCAAAAAGCAATGTGAGTAATGAGGATGTATCTATATATTCACTACTGTCTAGGTTTGTCATTTGCAGTGATCATGGTCTTCTGCATATCTGAGGTTGTTGATATTTCTTCCGGCAATCTTAATTCCGGCTTGGGATTCATCCAGCCCAGCCTTTTGCATGATGAATTCTGCATATAAGTTAAATAAGCAGGAATATCATCATGCCCTTCTTTGGGATTGGGATGTAGACTGATCTTCTCCAATCCTCTGGCCACTGTTGAGTTTTCCAAACTTGCTGGCATATTGAGTGTAGCACCTTAACAGCATCATCTTTTAAAATTGTAAATAGTTCAGCTGGAATACCATCACTTCCACTGGCCTTGTTATTTGCAGTGCTTTCTAAGGCCCATTTGACTTCATTCTCCAGGATGTCTGGCTCAAGGTCAGCAACCACACTACCTGGGGTGTACGAGACATCCATATCTTTCTGGTATAATTTCTCTGTGTATTCTTGCCACCTCTTCTTGATGTCTTCTGCTTCTATTAGGTCTATATATTATAAAATGGAAACTTAATAAAATATTTAAAAAAATTAGAACTTTAACTAAAAATGGCACCTAGAAACAACCAGTTCCATTTCTCTCTTGCCCACTCCCGGCTACTCCCAGTAAATGTTAGTGGGGCCCAATATCAGCACCCCAACCATCTTTGGAGCTGAAGTCTGCCTGGGGTCTTCTGTGCCAGGTGGGCTACAAGTCATTACTTTAAATTTACCATTTTGTCCCAGAGATATGCAGATGACACAACCTTGATGGCAGAAAGTGAGGAGGTATTAAAGAACCTTTTAATGAGGGTGAAAGAGGAGAGCGCAAAATATGGCCTGAAGCTCAACATCAAAAAAACTAAGATCATGGCCACTGGTCCCATCACCTCCTGGCAAATAGAAGGGGAAGAAATGGAGGCAGTGAGAGATTTTACTTTCTTGGGCTCCATGGTCACTGCAGCCAGTGTGGTGTAGTGGTTAAGAGCGGTAGTCTCGTAATCTGGGGAACCGGGTTCGCGTCTCCGCTCCTCCACATGCAGCTGCTGGGTGACCTTGGGCCAGTCACACTTCTTTGAAGTCTCTCAGCCCCACTCACCTCACAGAGTGTTTGTTGTGGGGGAGGAAGGGAAAGGAGAATGTTAGCCGCTTTGAGACTCCTGAAGGGGAGTGAAAGGCGGGATATCAAATCCAAATCCAATCCAGACGGTGACAGCAGTCACGAAATTAAAAGACGCCTGCTTCTTGGGAGAAAAGCAATGACAAACCTAGACAGCATCTTAAAAAGCAGAGACATCACCTTGCCAACAAAGGACCGTATAGTTAAAGCTATGGTTTTCCCAGTAGTGATGTATGGAAGTGAGAGCTGGACCATAAAGAAGGCTGATCGCCGAAGAATTGATGCTTTTGAATTCTGGTGCTGGAGGAGACTCTTGAGAGTCCCATGGACTGCAAGAAGATCAAACCTGCATCCATTCTTAAGGAAATCAGCCCTGAGTGCTCACTGGAAGGACAGATCCTGAAGCTGAGGCTCCAATACTTTGGCCACCTCATGAGAAGAGAAGACTCCCTGGAAAAGACCCTGATGTTGGGAAAGATGGAGGGCACAAGGAGAAGGGGACGGCAGAGGACAAGATGGTTGGACAGTGTTCTCGAAGCTACCAGCATGAGTTTGACCAAACTGCAGGAAGCAGTGGAAGACAGGAGTGCCTGGCGTGCTCTGTTCCATGGGGTCATGAAGAGTTGGACACAACTAAACGAGTAAACAACAACAAAATCTGATAATTGAGTTGCTTCAAAGTATTGCGGGAAATTTAAATGGCAGCACCTCATTTTTGGCACATGAGAGCTGCCAGAAGCTGCTAGTTTTGTGTACAGCTCCCTCATGTGGTGAGCCACGGAGCTGCAGGTAGCAGCCTCAGCCAATCGCCTTCAAATCCTGAGCTGAGACAGCCCACCAAGGCAGGCCATAGGCTCCTTCCGGCCAGGAGGGAGTATAAAAGGCGTCATTCTCCAGCTGAGTGTTTCTTGAGCAGCGTTCTGAGGTGCTGCTGTATCCTTTAGTGCGCAACAGCTGTGGGAAAAGTCAAATTAAATGCTAGGGATCGTCCGGAGAGGAACTGAAAACCAAACTGGCAGCTGTCATAATGCCACCATAATAATTTATGGTGGGGTAATGCGTGCAGTTTTGGTCGCCTTGTCCTCAAAAGGGATATTTTAGGATTTGGAAAGGTTCAGAACAGGGCAACCAAAATTGGATGGAGTGGCTCCCCTGTGAGGAATGGTCGCAGCTTTTAGGAGTTTCTTAGTTTAGAGGATAGGCGAGAAAGAGGCAACGTGATAGAAGTTCTATAAAACTCCGCTTGGCATGGATGGAGAGAAGTTATTTCTCCCTGTCTCATGACACTGGAAGTCACGGGCATCCTAGGAAAGTTCGGGGCAGACGAAAAGTACGCAGCGCATGGTGAAATTATGGAACTGGAGAGCAGTGATGGGTCACGGGGATGGCTTTAAAAGTGGATTAGACCCATTTATGGAGGAGAACTAGGCTGTTGATGGCAACTAGCCATCAAGGAGGCTGTGCTCTTCACGGTTGGAGGCAGCACTTTCTGGAAAACGCCGGAGGGGAGAGCGACTCCTGTGTTCGAATCCTGCTTGCGTCTTTCCCTTCTGGGGTATCTGGTCGGCCACCATGAGGACAGGAGGCTAGGCTACATGGGCGCCCTTTAGCCTGATCCAAAGTGAGGCCAAAATTCAGAAGTGAGGCACTCCCACACATATATAATTTTATTCATATTATTATTATTATTTATTCAATTTCTAGACCTCCTTTCATCCAAGGATCACAGGGTGTTTTGCAATATAAAATAATGAAAATGCTTAGCAAAGTAAACAAAAACAGTACTTTGAAGCTGAAAAGGCCATAGATACACACACACACACACACACACACACACCTGTGCATGTATGCATGTATACCTGAGTGTAGGTACTATCTTAGGTTAATTGATTGTAAGATGCTCCAGGAGCCTTCCTGGTACCTGATGCTCTAAATCAGGCTTCCTCAACCTCGGCCCTCCAGATGCTTTGAGACTACAATTCCCATCATCCCTGACCACTGGTCCTGCTAGCTAGGGATCATGGGAGTTGTAGGCCAAAAACATCTGGAGGGCTAAGTTTGAGGAAGCCTGCTCTAAATAGTATGGTTTTTTTTTTGTGTATGTGTTTTGGCATTTTTTATGTTGTCAACCCTGTGGCCTTCGGAGGAAAGGCAGTATATAAATCTAATAAAAGAAGAATGTGTATATGAATATAAACATACGTATAAACGCACGTGCACACGCATTTCTGGGTCTTCATATATGGGGTAGGTTTGGTTTGCCTGTTTTGTTTCTTTGCAGGTCACTTTGCGTCGCAAGGAGAAAAGTGGCTGCTAAATTTAATAACATATATAACATTACGTGCAAATTTATTGCATTACTTGCTTGTTAGGATAAATAAATAACCCAGCCATAATGTAATCATATATATATGTAGGTATAGATACATGCAGGTTTTTTTTTTCCATTTGCAGAACCTTGTGATTAATGTTCGGTGTGCTTTTGTAACGTTTGACGTGTGTTACCATATTATATTTCATTTCGTGTTGCGATTAGCAATGAACCTTTTCGCTCTCCTGTCAGCGGCCGTTGGGAAAAGCGCGCCAATTTCGCCCTCCCTGAGGGAAACCCGTTGGAGGCGCGCGAGGGGCTCCGCTTTCCCGCCCAATGCGCGCGCGCGCGCGCTCTCCCGGGAGCCGCTAGGCGGCGCTGCCGCGGCGCGCGCTTACCTTGCGTCAGCCGCTCTTCCCCGCCTCCTCCCTCTTCGCCTTTCCCCCCTCCGTCGACGAAGCCGCCGCCGCCGCCGCCGGAAGTGACGCCGAAGGGAGCCGGAGCCGAGGCGAGCCCAGCGGCCTCTCTCCTTCCCTCCCTGCGGTGACATTTCCGCTCCCTCTCCGCTGGGCCGAGGAGGAGGAGAGGGAGAGGGAGAGGGCGAGGGCGAGCCGGTGGTGACGGAGGGAGGACACCCGGCCCCTCATGCTCGAGCTGCTCCCTTCCGCGGGGCCTGAGGCCGGGAGGAGCTTCGGCGGCGGCCCTGGTGGTGAGTGACCCCCTTTCCCAAGCGGCCCTCCTTGAGAATCCAGGCCCCACAGTCGGGGGGGGCACTAGCCGCCCCCTCGACCCATAGGAAGGCTTGGGGGGTGGGTGGGTTCAAGAGCGCGCACGGCGGCAAGTTTTGAGGCTCTCGACCTTGGTCGGCCTCCGTTTTCGCCTTGTCGCCTGGCAACGCTTCATCCGACCCCCCCCCCGCCTCAAATCTTGAGGTTTAAAGAGAGGGGGCAGGTGGAGAGGAGGGCTGCTCTCTTTCAAACCCTCCCCCCCCCCATTCGTTCCTTGGTGGTCCCTTTGCCCCCCTCACCACCTCAAAAGAAACCAGGACTTCTCCCCGGCGTGTAGCTGTTCATTGGGGGGGGGTGCATGCGGGCCAAGGGGGTCAGGAAGCAGAGACCACCCCCCTTAAGGAAACCTGCCCTGTCAGGTTTCCTTAAGAGGAGCTGGTTGGCATGGCCCTGTAATTCTGCACAAGGTTGAGAAATGGGGTGGGGAACGTTAGGGCCAGGGGTTTTTTGGTTTTTTTGAGGGGGGAGGACTGCACCAGATGTAGAATTAACTAGCCATGACTCTGCTGCTTCTCATCCGCTCCATGCGTAACCTTGAAATAGTGAAATGTCGAGGAAATAGCCTCATCTCCCCTCTTTTGTGTTTTCTTGGAAACTTAAGAAAGAAGGGGATGAGCGGCTTTTCCTTGAGTCAGTGCTTCTTTGGGGGTGATGGTTTTCTCACCTGTAGCACATCACACCCACCCGCTCTTTTTTGCTTACCACCATGGACACACTGGCTGCCTCTCTCTGCCTCCCCAACTTAAGTCTGTGCCTAAGGGACATCATCTCAGAAGTTTATTCCTTTGGTTCCAATGGGATCTGTTGTTTAACATGTATGATAAAGAAGTTCTTCTTGGTGGAAAGAGAGGGCCTAATAGAATAGCTGTGAGAGATCAGAGGGGTGAAGTATAGATGGGGAACCTGGGCCTCTGAATGTTGTGACTTCAACTCCCATTACTTCCAGTTAGTATGGCCAGTGGTCAAGGGTGATAAGAGCTGTAGTCGAACAATACCACAGAACCCTCACTCCTGTGGTAAATGAAAACCATGAGTCTCCTTCTATGTGGGTAACTTTGTAATCTTTCTTTCATTTTGGAAAGAAGCAGGGATGCCTCCTTTTCTATTCACTAATGGAGCTTAATGTACTAGAGTGCGCTTTCCCCCAGAAACAAGATTGCAGTGATATGTGTATGTAGAGTAGAGTTTGCTTAGACAGTTTCTATGGGACTCCCTTGGGGCAAGTTCAAATGTAGATATATTGGCCAGGTTTGTACGACACTGTAAACCATAGTTTAATTTATACTGTGAATAAGCTGAATGGCCAACCTGCTGGTGTTTGCTGTTGAAATTACAGGCACTTTGTGCCTCCCCAATCCTGCCTGTCCAGAGCCAGCTTGGCTTCATGGTACAAGTTCTCCAGTCAAACAGTGAGTGGCAAGGGCAAACAAACGGTTGTTGGTTTGGAGAAAGCAAACTATGAGTATGGGCTCGCACATGATGTGAAGCCTGCTTCTGCTTTGTTTCCTCCCTGGCGCACTGAAGGAAAGAGCTGGGGAGCAGTCAAGTGTGATCTTCGGAGCAGCAGGCATTAGCTTGCTGTTTGTTCACTGTAAACCGTTGTATATTTTAAACTCTGGTTTTAAGTGACATGCAGTCCAGGACATTCTTGTTAATCCATCCTAATCCACCTTTTTCAATTGAAAATTATTCCAGATTGGTTGTTAGTTATTATTTCCTTTGCGGCATGGTGATCTGATCTGTACTGACCTCCTATCCCTCTATAAGGCTGCAAAGATATTAGGTGTTAAACCTTTTCCCCTTGCCCTCTTCTCTCCCTCCCTCTCCCCATTCCTTTGAATATTTTATCTGCCACTGTTAGCAAAGGTGGAAACAAGCCAGAGGTGTAACTGAAATACAACTGTCTGGCTTCAAGTAAAGAATTCTTTTCAGCTGGGTTAATGACAGTAAATGATAAATATAGCTGCTTTGAATTTCTGTGACCTGACACATTGCTCTAGTGAAGTTTAATTTGTAGATTTAGCAACTATTTTTACAAGCCCTGTGGGCTGTTGAGTAATAATAGTGACTGCTGTAGGTCACTTAATCAGAATAATTTATAATGTTGGAGGACATCATTTTTTATTCTTAGAGCAAAATGTATGATGTTATTGATGAGCCCATAATTCAGCATCAACAAATCATTCAAAGCAAATGTTCTTCCCGCAATAGCCAGAGGACCACTACATGCTTCTGTTTGTAGAATGTACACAAATTCAAAGGAGAGTTTACTATTTTGCAAGAGACAATAAGCCAGATGTCCATGGACATGATGGGTTTTTTAACATTGGTGAGAGCTTTGATGTAACAGGACAGCAGGAATAGAGTGTGGATGGGCTTTTCTTGCAATAATTGTGGAAACCCAAATGTTACCTTCGTTTGATTATTATTTCTATATACTTAGCTCATTTTAAATTAGTTCAGAATTTAGATAGCATTCTAACATTTGTTGCTTTTCATTCGCAAAGTGTAACATTCCATATTAAAGGGGCAAAATGTGCATACTTCAACAATGCCATTTTTTGCATCAAGTGTTGTCTAGAGTAGGGCGGTCCAACTTTTCATACCAAGTGGACCTACAGGACTTGCGGGCCACACACTGGCCTGTTGCGGAGGTGGGGGGGAGGCCAAAATTTGTTAACCTCACTTGTGCTGCCTTCCAAAAGCTGGCTAATGAGGTGTTGGACTTTGGGAAGGAGGTGTGAGGATTCTGACAGGGTCCTACAGTCCTCCCATCTGCTTCCTAAAGCTGAGAAATTGCTAACCAGGCAGGAGTACTCTAGGACCTTGTTAGAGTCCTCATTCCTTCTTCCCAAAACCAAGAGCCTTGCTTGACTTTCAGGAGCAATTCTTTGGAGAATGTGAGGAGCTGTTGTGGGAAGGAAGCCTGAACTCTCTCTTCTGTATGAGTGGGACACCATGTGCAGTGCTTTATATTCTGATCTGTGACTACAGAATGTGGGTTAGAATCCCAAACGCAAATGAAGAGCCTTCATGTTTCATTTATACACATTTTCTCTTTCTGTTGGATTGACAGTCCCTAAGCTGTCACTTTCCCCTATGTGGATAGGACTACAGCAACAGTTAGTATGAAATGTTGTCTGATAGTGCTGTTTCTACTATCCCCTAGTGCTTGAATGGTACTGGTTCATTTTCTCAAAAGTATTGCTGTTGCTTTTTTAAAAACACATATGTAGGTATATGAATGTTGTTAATTTGCAAATGCTGTAGAGAAGGGGTAGTAGTAATCTGCTGCCCTGCAGATGTTGCTGAACTACAACTCATCATCAATATCATCTCTTTATTTGCAGCCATCTGACCATTTAAATGTTTTATAACAACTAACAATTGACAATTAATAACATTAACAAAGATGCACAAGAATGCAACTAAAAACACAGAATTATAATGCTAGCAGTTTGTGTGTGTATATATAGCCATCATAAGTGGTCTAATATGGATGGCCACATTCAAAAACTTTGCCGCTTGCCCTATGACTGACTTATTGGAGCCCTCAAGCAGACTGTAGATCAGGCACCCCCAAACTCTGCCCTCCAGATGTTTTGGGACTACAATTCCCATCATCCCTGACCACTGGTCCTGTTAACTAAGGATGATGGGAGTTGTAGTCCAAAAACAGCTGGAACCCCAAGTTTGGGGACGCCTGCTGTAGATCCTTCCTAGCTTCTTGTTACAAGGGCAGCATTTATTGTTCATTTGTGGTTTTATTGTTTCTGCCTTCTAAAAAATTGAAAGGAATAGCACGAAACCTTTCTGAAGTATTGCGACTCTGGGGGATCCAGCTTGTGAGGACATTTTGAGTTCATTTGCTGTTGATAACAGGCTCTGAATAAAATAAGCTGCATAAAGGACAAATATATCTTGTTCTAATTGTGGGGTTCTTTCCTTTGTACTTTAGTCTTCCCTAAAAGCAGCAGAAATATTTTTCTGTCTCAAGAGGGGAGTTCTCAACTGATATACTGAGAATGACTGAGCAATAAACTTGAGGAATACTCTCATGGTTCTTCCATAGCTGGAGGAGTTAATTAGTGTCTGTGTTTGGCTAGGTATAAGGATCAAAGAATTAACACTGAAATATAGAAGGCTGCTCAAATGTGTTAAACATAGCTGCAAAATTAGATCTATATCATTGATTATGATAATAACTATGTTTTAATATTTTACCAAGATTGGTGGTGATGGATGTTGGATAACATGATCTGCAAAGCGCCTGCACTGTGTAGGAAGCACTTACGGAAATGTTTCAAAGTACATGTTTACTCTAGCCAATAAAATTGAAAAATATATTAAAGGTAAAGAGAAGATCAAGCTTTTTGGTGTCTTAGAGAATGTAAGCATTGCAAATAATGCTTCTTAAATGGTTTTGAAACCTGACAATTTTCGTCTTTGAATTATTTAAACCTCTGTCTCTTCAGGTTCTAATTATGGGACGCCTCATCCCACGCTGGCTAGTGAAATAAAAGAGAGAGGAACAGAATAGGTGTACCTTTAACCATCACTGTGAAAGTAGTTAACTGAAATGCTAAAAGTGGCATCTGAGGAAATGCAATTACACCTTCCTCCTTCCTCCTTTTGTAGTGTTTCATTTTGCTTTTTTTAAAAGAGAATAAACATGTAAAGGCAATTTCCTTCCAAATGCCCATTTTTCTTTGCAAATATATGCCTTAGTTGCTATTTCTCAGAGCTGCTTGTAGAATGTGAACTTTTGAAGCAGAGAGACCAAGTATATGGTAAAAGGTCTTAGCTATTCTGAGCAATATAACTGACGTGCTTGCGATATGTTGTTTATCTGTGGTCAATGATATGAGGAAGTTGTGTACCGAAAAGAGAAACTGATCCAGAGTGGATTTTTATTACTTGGCGACTTCAAGTGTAATTTTATCAGCTCTTGTTAATGGTGCTAATTTCCTAGTAATGTGTGTGCATGTGCTTTTTGGAGGATGGGATGAAGTGTGAAAAAGACATAGAGGAGAAGAAAAAGTGGGATAATTGGCTATACTTATCTATTCACCTAGTTACGCTATTCAGAAGTCCCCAATTGCACTTGTAATGTAGTTTTTATTACTTTAGATCAGAGGATTTCAATTTTTTTGGGTCCACGGCTCCCTTGACCAACTACATTCTTTTTGCAGCACCCCTGTGGGGCTCAGGAGCCCAGTTATGTCACCCCTTGCCTGCAGAGCTGGTAGCCCCTCACCTTTTTCAAATGCCCTCCCTTGTGGAGTGTGCCTTCACCCTCCTCTCCTGTCCTTGGGAGTGCTTTGGGCAGCTACTGCCGCTGTCCCTGGTCTCTGAGCTGCCTCCCCTGCCCCAAAGAGAGGTGCCTCCCACTGCCCCACAGGGGCCTGGGAAGCACCCCCTGGCTAGCCCCAGAGCCACCATTTTTCTGGAGAGCTGGAGAGCCAGGGCTGCTGGAACAAACAGCTGTGCAAGCCTTTGGAGGCAGAGACATGAGAGGGCATCAGAGGAGGGAAGGAAAGAGGGACAGAGGCCAGTGTTGCCCACCACACCCCTGACCATCATTCAAGGCACCCCAGGGTGCCACGGCACACTGGTTGGAAACCACTTTTTTTTATTTATAAACATCCCTGTATTTTATAGACTGGCATATAGCGCTCAGTTTTCTGTTTAAAGGGTCCACATTTAGGAAGGTATTCAACTAAGCTTTACTCAGAACAGACCTGTTGAATTTCATGGCACTAGTTTAATCATGGGCTACTTTGAGTAAAACTTAGCTGACTGCCACCCCTAATTATTTAAGTGTAATTGCAAAAATAAATGACAGCGTTTAGGATTTCTTCCCTTCTTATCTTGGGATAGTGTTCAGTGTAGGGGAATAGGCAAAGTGGTTGATTTGGATATACCAGACCCAATTTCAGTTGTTTGCTATGTCATTAATTTCACTGGCGCCATTAGCTACCTCATAGCCAAACATACCTCAAGTGGTTGTGAAGATAATGAAAATTCTAGCTGTGCCACCTTGAGCTGAAAGAAAAGTGGAATAGATTTGTAACAAATTTGGGTGTAGGAAGAGTTAATGAACTTTCAGTTTTGGGGTTTTCCCCCCCATATAGCAAACAGTAAAAAAAACCAACAACCACAAAGCAAGTGTGACAAGTCTTTGTGCAAAACTATAAAGTTGAAGGAATTAATGGAAACCTGCATTAAATGAATGGGTAAAAAATGGGGGGGGGGATTGACAAATTTGCAGTACAGCGGCATTTATGAATTGGCAGCTTTCACTCTTACCGGTGCTGATTCCTGTGCTTTCCTGAAATGTCTAAATCAAGGGTGGTAACTGAGGTAACAGCTGGCAGAGGAACAGTTAAGCAACCCCTCCCTTTCCCCCCAAGTCGGCTCCCCTGTGGATGCCTTCCTCCACTTTGCACATCAGCAGCAAACACAGGATTGGGAATCCTGCAGTTACCACCAAACCTCTGGTTTAACAGAGCTTAATCAGTAATATGCTTTTTCACCCATGCAACCCAACCCTGTGCATGCTTATGCAAGAGTAAGACACAGAGTTCAGTGGGACTTTCCCTTTGAATAACTGTATTTGGCTTAAGAGTTCAGCCCTAGAAAGGAAAGATAGTTGAAGTTGGGTTGTTTTTTTTTAAAAAAAAGGTTCATCTCCACTTCAGCAACCCCTCTGCCCACTTCAATTTAAGATAGAGCTTTAGTATTGCTCTTTAGGGCTTAGATAAAACTAAGAATTAGAGTTGCTTGACTCCGTGGGTATCACTGCTATGAAATATCATCCCCAAGTATATTTATAGTGTGCTTTCAAAAGTGAACTAACGAAACCAGGTGATAAAACAACGTGCTAATGTCACTGCTTATCTATATTATTTATATTAGTATGGCTTTTTTTTAAGAGTTCCACTACAGAAGTGCTATTTTTAATAGAACTATTCTCCGTGGTGACGATGAGCTTCTGCTACAAATGTGATAGCAATAAATACCTAGCACCGTAAACATTGTCTGTCTTAGAAGCAATCCAAGATACAATTTATTTTGGGATTAATAAATAAGATGATGCCTCTCATATCTGTTCCAGCATAAACAGAGTCACTATGCTAGCTTTAAGGTTTAGATTGTGAATTTACAATACACGTTTTCCTACGTCAGATACAGACTGCAGCCTACCGTTATAATCAAAAACTTCTAGACAATCTGTTGTATTCAGTAACTTGTTTTCAGGCATGTCTTCTAAAGATTAGTATGGCTTTCCTTTTTGAGAGGAAGTGGTCAAGTACGGTGAATCCCCATGTGTTTCTGTCTATTGTCATTTGCATTTGTTGCTTTGTAGATACTGTGACTTTGGCTCGGTCCAATGTATTGTTTGAAATAGGAAAGATTTTCTTTAAAAAAATTTTTTTTTTTACATTGAAAAAATGTTGCAGACCGCTTTGTCTTGAAGTCAAGGTTAGCTGCCTTTAAGGTCTGTATAAGAGTTACCGGTATGTGTCAGTGGAAAGCTTGTGTGCTTCTTAATTTGATTGTCTCAGAATAACATGACAAAGACACTCTTATCAATTTTATTATACTAGCTCAGCAACAATAATCAAACTATGATCTCCATAGAAATGTTGTTTTGTAATATTAAAAAATACATACTGAAATTGTAAGTGGTGCAATTTGGGTATTTCTTTACAAAACATCTAAACTTCAGGGAACCTATTAATTCAAGATGTTACAGCAGGACTCGTTCTTGCACAATTACAGTTGTTGCCCAAAGCATACAGAAATGAAGTAATATGTGTGAATTTATTTTATAGCATTTGTGTTTCACCTTTCCTCTAAGGAGCTCAGGGCAACATGCATAGGGTAATCTCGTATCACAGCATCTCAGTCCATATTGGTAATCTTTGTCATTTCAGCCTGTAGCAGTAAATTAGGCTGAAAGCTGGTGTCTTGCCCAGAGTCACCCACTGAACTTCATGGTTGAGTTTGCACACGGGTCTTCCTGATCTAACTCCCAGCACACTGGGCCCCATTTAAGTTGCATGTTGAATTAAATGTCTATTTCCAAGGTTATTTGACTTTCCCTTTCTTAAAGGTTCATTGCTAGTTGCCATACACACTCCTAACTCAGGGATTTTTTAGGTGATGTTATCTACAGAGTTCTTTATCCAGGTCTGTGGTTAATTCTAATTTATGTAAAATGCTTGCATAAATCTCACCAGTTTTCAATCCAAATTTTAGTGACCCAAAAGATAGAAAGCTTGTCTTTCCTCAGATGTTAGGGCCCTGAAGGTTTTTTTAATTTTTATTTCCAGAGCAGCATCTTTTAGATTTTAGTTGATTTTCCTTTACTTACTGTGATAAGAAAAATCAAGGCAAGAGCCTCTGAGACATCTGTTTCTAAATGCTTACAAGCTTCTAATATGGAGGCTTACAAAGTAATGAGGGCACCCTTTGCAAAAAGTGTATTAGCCCCCTTTGGCATTTTTGTTTGTTTGTTCCAACCAAGCAGTCTGTTCTTACTTGGCTGTGTTTCAAATGTATTCTTCCCAATTTTGTGTGTGCGTACTGCTTTGATACTACCCAGTTTGAAATGGCATTGTCTTGGGTGCTAGTGCAGCCGTCCTTCGTTGGAACAAAAAGCGCATATTTCTCTATACTTTACTGATGGGAAGAGATAAGTGTATTTGTTTTGGAAGACTTTCGTCTTGTTTTGTATCTGGGACTTACGTAATGGCTTTACCAGATGACTGACTGTGGGCTTGTAATTGAGTTTCATTTTATTTTATTAATGTTTTGCCAGTCCAGGGGGAAAGGGGTGGATGGGCAGTATAGTCTATGTTTTATGGGTGGAGAGACGATCATTGTTGTTACTGAAGGGTTGCTTTATGATACTGTTATTGTTCAAGTTCAAATAGTGAAGGTTAGTGTTATAGGAAGCTCTGAAATAACTCCTGGAGCCTGGTCCTAAGGAGTCCATCTGAGAAAATGATTTGGTTATTTCCTGCCTCCTACTGGTCAGAGGGAAAAAGTATCCAATATAGTGTGGCGCCTGCAGTAATTGCAGGAGGACAACTTTGCAGGTAAGAGCCTAAGTTGACCATTTCCTCAGTGTTCGAAAGTGGTCAGAATTATCCATGTTTTGGATAGTAAGGGGCCTGAAACCTGAACCAAGGAACTTTGGCTGAATCTACTCCAGTCTCTACTTCACAGATGCTATTGTGTTGTCTCAAACAGCTAAGTAATCTGTGCTTGCTTCTACAGTGGTACCTCGGGTTAAGTACTTAATTCGTTCCGGAGGTCTGTACTTAACCTGAAGCACCACTTTAGCTAATGGGGCCTCCCGCTGCTGCCACGCCGCTGGAGCACAATTTCGGTTCTCATCCTGAAGCAAAGTTCTTAACCTGAAGCGTATGTAACCTGAAGCATATGTAACCCGAGGTACCACTGTACAAACATCTTTTAGTTTTACAAGACTATGGAATTATAGAATGCAGTGGTGATACTTGTTTACATTTAGCAGGACTTCAGCGAAGTCTTGACAGTTCAGTTTCAATGAGGATTTTAAAATCATCTGCCAGTTTTCAATCCACCCCCTTTATTTGCCAGTTTTGCCTAGCTTTTTCAATAATGTGTTCCCAGGAATAGCAGAGCCTGTGCTATAGGAAGAATTATTAAAGTCTCTGTTTTAATGTAGCCAGTGTGATGAATGGGGAAAGGGTATGCTTTTTCATGTGTTGTTTGAGAACAGAGTTTAATGCAAGTCAGCTCAATGCAGTCACCTCCATTAACTGCTGAAATTCAAAGTGTCAGTTCTTTGAGGATGTTTAAGGCTATGGGCTTGAACTAGATCTTCTCTTTACATGCAGGACTTCTCTCACTTTTGATGGCAGTTGATGAGTGCTTAATGCTGCGCCATAGAATAAAAGCTGTAACTTTAAAAGTCTCCAATAGAAATTGTAGAAGCACCATGCAGTATGATTAAAGACACCTTTTAAAAAATCTGTAGCCTGAAGAAACATCATGCATCACCTGTTGAATTGCTTATACAATTGTTCTTTGGACAAAATGCACCAACTGGTTTTGATCTTTTAGCACTCTACAAATTAAACTTGATTTAGAATTTTGAATTCAGGGATGTCCAGTTTTGAAAATAAACCTTGACTAGGTACTAGAGCACTGTTAGTGAAATTGTTATATCAGCTCAGTGATAAGGGTAAACAGTGCTGAACCCTCTGAACTTTTAAAAATAGACTTTGAAGGTGTAATTTCTACTTCATTCACCTCATTGACTGTAACCCTTACCCTAATGGTGAGCATGTTTGGAATTATGTGACAGATTTTTTTCTTGTATGGTATTATCAAATTTCAGTTTTTTTAAAAAAGGAAAGGATAGATTTTAACAAGATCATGAGAACTGAAGCCAGAAATAAGCCTTCAGAGAGAGCCTGTGGCCCTCTAGGTTTTGCTGGCTTACACTGATAACTCCCAGCATTCCTGATCATTTGCCATGCTATCTAGGACTAATGGGAGTCGTAGTCCAACAACAATGGAGAGCCACAGGTTCTGCATCCATGACATAGGTTATATTTGGCTTGATTCTGTAATCCCATTGCTCTGGGTGGAATTCAACAATGCGCTAAGTTGAATGCTCTGTCTGAGCAAGCTTACCAGATGGAGTAATCCCTCTCCTTGCACTGTTCCAGGAGGTTTCCAAAGCCAATTTTGGAGTGGGCATGGGGAGGAAAGGAGGGAAAACCCAATTGCGTAAGTAGAAGCCTTTACACAGGGCTTCTCTCGGGACTGATGAATCCCACCCTCTGTTAGGTTGCTTTCTGTGGTTTGCTGATCCGATGATCTTCCTTTCCTGGCCCGTATATCTTCTCCACTGGGGATTTAGAAGCCATCAAGATCATAACTGGAAACCAAAGAGAAATGACAGCTCCTTTTTTTTGCTTCAACAAAGGCTCAAAGATTAGAATATGATAAGAATGAGCACATTGATTTACCATTCAGTTATCAGTAGGTGCAGTAATTTTGTAACATGCAATGAAATGCACCAGTTGAATGACTACCAGTTTGACACTTGGTTTACGAAAGCAGTTTATTTTCCTGAATCATCAGGAAAAACTTGTACTATCTTAAAGGATGTATGTGTGAAAAAACTGTGGAGCTGTTTATTCTTAACACACACAAAGGCCCTGAACTGACAACCTACAACCGCAAGACACATGCAGTTATTTGTGGTATCTTTATACTGACAGGCAAATGTTTACTTATTTTATATTGCATATATTTACGTAAGTGTTTACCTGTCAGTTAGTAGCATTTCAGCTGTCAGAATTTCATGAGAATAATCCAGCACAAAGATACATAATTGCCCAATGCCATTCATTGAGACTTAACAGCATGCAGATAAAATCTTAATAGTTTACAGCAGAAGGATTAGTATCATCAGGTATTGCCCTGAGGTGAAAGCTTATGCCATGCAACCCTGCTGCCACTTCAGCTTAACAAGTCAAATACAATATTGGTAGGATATGACATCTATTAGCTGTAACCTTGCAAATGATATCTCCAAATCTATGAATGCTACTTGTTGGAAATATTGAGCAGAATTCCTAAAATGTTGATTGAGGTATTGACTCCAGGAATGTAGACAGAGATGCTCAAATACCATTTTAGCAATATTTGGTGTCCTTAAAAGAGAACTGTTTCTTACCCCAGAGATCTTAATAGTTTAATTGTCTAGACACTGAAGTTGGGAGGGAGATGTCTAATGTTGCAATGTTAATATTTCAGAATTGTTCATGAGTTGGTTATTTGTAATACAGGAAATGCTTCATTTCATAGCTTCTGTAACAAAGGGCAAATAAATGCACCTCCCTATCACTGCATTTTCCCTCTTGAAGCTGCGCTGCTTTTCCAGCCACAAAGTGGAATGTCTCCATTGCATTGGTGTGATGTACTACATAGAATGCTTAACTTGGGCCAGGGAGATATGATTGATTGATTTTGATATGTTTGTGTGGCACAGAACACCCCAAGTTGACACAGAAAAAATAAGGAGTTATCAGTGGCCACTTGTGTTCTATGTGGTGATTCAAGGCTTAAATTCCACCCTAAATGACATTTATCAAACACAGATGTGTCAGCAGTTCCAAGAATAGGATTCCTTTCTTGCTTACCTTCATCCTTATTTGTGTACATCCTACGCCCAAGGTAGATTGTCATATTGTGAGCCCTGTTGGATCAGTCTGATGGTTCAGCTAGTCTAGCATTTTGTTTCTGGGAGGTGTGACAGCAAGATGTGAAGGCATTGACCCTCTCCTCCTGTATTGATCCCAGCATCTCTTACTCAGAGGTGTACACTCTCTGACATCCCATTTAGCTGTTATGGCTGATATCTGTTGATAGACTCTTTCCTCCTTGATGCTAAGCAGTTGAATGGAAAAAACAAAACAAGAAGTACTATTTCACACTACAGACTCATAAGCAACTTACAATTTCACTGCCATGATATGTGGTAATGACCACAAGCTTAGAATCATAGAATCATAGAATCATAGAGTTGGAAGAGACCACAAGGGCCATCGAGTCCAACCCCCTGCCAAGCAGGAAACACCATCAGAGCACTCCTGACATATGGTTGTCAAGCCTCTGCTTAAAGACCTCCAAAGAAGGAGACTCCACCACTCCACCACACTCCTTGGCAGCAAATTCCACTGTCAAACAGCTCTTACTGTCAGGAAGTTCTTCCTAATGTTTAGGTGGAATCTTCTTTCTTGTAGTTTGGATCCATTGCTCCGTGTCCGCTTCTCTGGAGCAGCAGAAAACAACCTTTCTCCCTCCTCTATGTGACATCCTTTGATCTATTTGAACATGGCTATCATATCACCCCTTAACCTCCTCTTCTCCAGGCTAAACATGCCCAGCTCCCTTAGCCGTTCCTCATAAGGCATCGTTTCAGGCCTTTGACCATTTTGGTTGCCCTCCTCTGGACACGTTCCAGTTTGTCAGTGTCCTTCTTGAACTGTGGTGCCCAGAACTGGACACAGTACTCCAGGTGAGGTCTGACCAGAGCAGAATACAGTGGCACTATTACTTCCCTTGATCTAGATGCTATACTCCTATTGATGCAGCCCAGAATTGCATTGGCTTTTTTAGCTGCCGCGTCACACTGTGGTCAACCAAGTTTGTGGTCAACCAAGACTCCTAGATCCTTTTCACATGTACTGCTCTCAAGCCAGGTGTCACCCATCTTGTATTTGTGCCTCTTATTTTTTCTGCCCAAGTGCAATACTTTACATTTCTCCCTGTTAAAATTCATCTTGTTTGTTTTTGCCCAGTTCTCTAATCTGTCAAGGTCATTTTGAAGTGTGATCCTGTCCTCTGGGGTGTTAGCCACCCCTCCCAGTTTGGTGTCATCTGCAAATTTGATCAGGATGCCCTTGAGTCCATCATCCAAGTCGTTGATAAAGATGTTGAATAAGACCAGGCCCAAGACAGAACCCTGTGGCACCCCACTAGTCACTCTTCTCCAGGATGAAGAGGAACCATTGATGAGCACCCTTTGGGTTCGGTCAGTCAGCCAGTTACAAATCCACTGAGTGGTAGCATAGTCAAGACCACATTTTACCAGCTTCTTTACAAGAATATCATGGGGCACCTTGTCAAATGCCTTGCTGAAATCAAGGTAGGCTACATCCACTGAGTTCCTTCATCTACCAGGCTTGTAATTCTGTCAAAAACGAGATCAGGTTAGTCTGACATGACTTATTTTTCAGAAATCCATGCTGACTATTGGTGATCACAGCATTCCTTTCTAGGTGCTCACAGACTGTTTGCTTAATGATCTGCTCCAGAATCTTCCCTGGTATTGATGTCAGACTGACTGGGCGGTAATTATTTGGGTCCTCTCTTTTCCCCTTTTTGAAAATAGGGACAACATTTGCCCTCCTCCAGTCTGCCGGGACTTCGCCTGTTCTCCAGGAATTCTCAAAGATGACTGCCAGTGGTTCTGAGATCACATCTGCCAGTTTTTTTAATACTCTTGGATGCAGTTCATCTGGCCCTGGAGACTTGAATACATCTAAATTAACCAAGTATTCTTATACTATCTCCTTAGTTATTCTGGGCTGTGTTTCCTTTGCTGAATCATTTGCTCCAAATTCTTCAGGTCGGGCATTGTTTTCTTTATCGGAGAAGACTGAGGCAAAGAAGGCATTGAGGAGTTCAGCCCTTTCTGTGTCCCCTGTTTGCATTTCACCATCTTCTCCTCTGAGTGACCCCACTGTTTCTTTGTTCTTCCTTTTGCTACGAACATACCCATAAAAGCCTTTTTGTTGCTTTTAACCTCTCTAGCAAGCCTGAGTTCATTCTGTGCTTTAGCTTTTCTGACTTTGTGTCTACATGTGCTGGCTATTTGTTTGAATTCCTCTTTGGTGGTTTCCCCCCTTTTCCATTTTTTGTACACATCCTTTTTAATCTTAACTCAGTTAAAAGTTCTTTAGATAGCCACCCTGGCTTCTTTAGGCACCTTCCATGTTTCCATCTCATTGGTATTGCCTGAAGTTGTGCTTTTACTATCTCCCTCTTAACAAACTCCCAGCCATCATGAACTCCCTTTCCTTTTAGTATTACTGTCCATGGGATCTCATCCAGCACTTTCCTAAGTTTTATGAAGTCGGCTTCATAAAGAAATTGAGTCCTAGTATGCTTGGCTGCTCCTTTCCGCTATATAGTAAACTTCAGAAGAGCATGATCACTCGCGCCTAATGATCCTTCCACTTCTACCCCACTAACGAGGTCATCAACATTGGTTAGGACCAGATCTAAAATGGCTGTTCCTCTTGTTGCTTCTCCCACTTTCTGGACAATGAAGTTGTCTGCAAGGCCAGTGAGGAATCTGTTTGACCTTATGCTCTTGGCTGAGTTTGACATCCAACAAATATCCGGGTAATTGAAGTCCCCCATTACTACTATCTCCTTCCTTTTGCATGCTTGGCCATCTGTTCCAGGAAGGCATCATCTATGTCCTCCGTTTGGCTTGGGGATCTATAGTAAACTCCCACAATGAGGTCACTGTTATTCTTCTCTCCCTTAATTTTGACCCAAATGCTCTCACTTTGGCTTTGAGGTTCTAAATCTTGGATCTCTTCACAGGTATACACATCCCTGACATATAACGCCACTCCTCCTCCTTTCTTGTCTCATCTGTTTCTCTGAAATAGATTGTATCCCTCCATTATTACATTTCAATCGTGGGACTTATCCCACCAGGTTTCAGTGATGCCTATTATGTGCTATTTAGTTTGCTGTACCAAGAGCTCAAGCTCATCTTGTTTATTTCCCATGCTTTGCGCATTAGTGTACAGACATTGAAGCCCATTAATCATTCCCCCGTGTCTCTTATTTAAGGATTTTTTCCTCCCACCACTAGGTCTGCGTGCTGTTTGCTCCAGCTTAGATGGCTTCACATTAGAAATTAGAAGTTCATCAAGAAGCGAAGGGGCTCCTGAGTTATTTTAAGAGGTTCCCCCCCCATCCACTCTCTCCATGTTGTTTGTCATTTAAAAACAAAAAACCAACAAATGTCCCCCTACATTTTTGTTTTTCTAGATTTAAAACCCCCCAGGAAATATTGTCAAGCCTTTCCACATGGGTAAAACTATCCAGACTCTTGATAATTTTAATTACCCCTTTCCTCACCTTTTCCAGTTGTATGATCTCTTTTTTGAGATGAAATAACTAAAATTGCTCACTGTGTTGCAAATGCAGTTGCATCATACCTTTTTTTCTCAGCCTGTATTGAGTGTTTGACTAGCTTGGCATAGTAGCTTGGGCTTTGAGCTTTTTATATTGTGCCCACACCTTTTAGATTTTGATGGGCAACACCCTATGCCATGCCAGTGGATGTGATGGAACTTCCTTTTCTCCTGTTTTCTCCATGTTTGGGAGCATCCCTCAACCCCCCAGTGCAGATTAGAGGGGTCGCAAGAGTGAGGAGAGGAAGAGTTAAGTTAAGTCTGTTTTAGCAAGTGGAAATCGGTTGATCTGAATGTGGTGTCCCATTTACATTACTGCCCCATGTTTCCACCTTCTTAAACTTTTATTAAATATGTTGTAGCTTTCAAAATGCACAGGATGTTCTACAGACAGTAATAAATATACTTCCCCTCCTCTTAGTGCTGGCTTGGGTATATTGTCTGCTGAGCACTAAATAGAAGCAGTCTGTTTTCTTAACCCTCATTTGTTTATGCAAAGCTAGCTGAAACAGTGCTCTAATTTCATCCTTTCATCTCTTGTTTCACTCATCATCTAGTTGGACAGAGTAGAGCCCACTGCGTCTAGGGTGGCTGCTCAGGCTAATTTATTAATTGTCTGGTGAAGTGCCAGAGTAATTTCCCAGAGCCTTTGGTAGAATGGGGGCAAAACATTTCCTTCCATAAAAACTTGATTTCTAAACTTAGAACTAAAAACTCGTGAAATATATTTTTTTGAATGCGTGAAATGCTCTACTTGCACAGCATGTTCCATGTGCCTTCTATAATAATCTTCAATCTACAGCATTAGAGAAATCTGATTGTAAGACATATGCAGCATAAGTAATAGATCTATTAAAATTATAAGGCATATGCAATATTATTAATAGATCTGTTAATACTATCTATTAATCCTGCAACTGGGACTGTTTTCTGTCCATTTGTCGTGCTTGTTAATGAACAATCAGTCAATCAATCAATCAAGGCAGTTTACAACATATAAAAAAATTACATTATTACAGACGTAAGTACTCATAAACAATAAATAAAACATCAAAAGGTACACAGCCAAATTGAACAATTTCTAAAATAAAGATACAAAATAATAATAATATCAGTAACAGCAACAATCCTCCCCCCAAACAATACCGCAGATTAATAATAGTCTGTTTAGCAACCTTAGCTTTTGAAGCTGGAGTCAGTTAGGGCACCACCCTCCCAGGCCAGGTGAATAAAAAGACCTGCAAGGCCGGGAGCAGGTCTTCCAGGACTCACGGCCAAGATGAAGCATTGCTCTCTGAATTAGTTTTGTTTGCCTTCAGTGACAACAACATATAGCTAAATCAAACTGGTTACATACGACATCAAATAAAGAATGTTGATGAAGCAGCGATCAATGGGAAATGCAGATGGCAGTGAAGTGGTTAAGATTGGGGTAGGTGGTTTGATTGGGGAACTCAACCTTCCAAAAGGTCGTCTTCCACACCAACTTGACTCAACCTTAGTTTTTGAAGAAAAGATGCTAGCTTTTGGTTTCTTTGTGTTGCAAGTAGTTTTAACTAGATATGAGCGAAAGTATATATCTAGGTGATTTTGCTAGAATCCTGGCTTTGCAGCTGTGGCTTGTAAAGAAAATTGAGGAAGAAAATGTGATGGAAGTATAGAATCATGGAGTGGAGATGCATCATTTTTGCTGCACCCCTCTATTGCAGGGATAGTAGAGCCTATGTCCTTCCAGCTGTGGTTGGATTCCAATTCCTCCCATCACTCTCAACCAACATGGCCAGTGGTTGGGGATGAGCAAAATTGTAAGCAGGTGGACCACTGGACAACTGTTCAGCATGGTGAAATATTTCTTTGCAGGAAGATACTCTTTAATTTCCCCAGGATTTTGGGGGGGGGCCCACACATAACCTACCCTACTTGAACTAGTCATCCTTACCATTTTTGCTGTTCCGCATCAAGTAATACAGATGTGGCTTGTCATCAAAACTCAGTGAGGCCTACTTGGAGAAGCTTGACAAGAAAACTCTACTTACAGCATTCCAGTTCCACCCCAGTACTGTACTTAAATTAGCACTCCTGTTGTAACTCTCAAAACATTTAGTAAGTGTTAGACTTCAGCTGAAATGTCTGGTTTCCTTCAAAGTTATGACCTAAAAAAACAACACTATGAGCCTTTTTTCCAGTTTAAACCTGCAGAAATACATTGCAAGAAAAATGCACTTGTAAAGTTCATGCACTTGTCTTTTCTGCAGTCAAGAATTTGGCTGGACACATGTGAAAAGGCTGACTTTTGATTAAACACGTGCCAGGGTTAAGCAGTGAATCTTGCAAAATTTCAGTCTGTGGTTGGTTACTGATGTGTCAGTAAAAAGAGCTGGTCAGGCAGGCATTTACCGCTGTCCCTTGTTAAATAAAATGGAGTGCTTTCCCTCATGTTTAAATATACAAATGGTTGTTGTAATTACAGTTGTAATTCTAATGCAGCATACTCATAACCCAGAGAGAAGGTTAACTGTCGGCTTATGAGTAAGGAAAATGCATTTGTGTTCCTGCGCAATATACAGGCTATGCAAAGGAGATAATCTTTAGGAGTATCGGCCATGCTTGTGAATACAGATAGGGAATTCTATATAATTCTATATAATGAGAAGAACCTACTGATTCGGTTTCACCTTTCTTGAAAACTTGTTGAATGATAAGAACCTGCTAAACTTTTGCTGGTTTGTTTTGTTTGTTTCGCTTCGTTTAAAAAATATTTTTTTACATGTGAGTTTTTGTTTGCTTTTGTAGTGAGTTTGGTGGTGAAAAACAGCCAGAATGACAACTTTGGGCACTCAAGTCTTCTGTCCGCAGAACAGGTACAGCAGTGACAGCAGTAGCTGAAGGGTGAGTCCTTATCTTATACTCTTCATGTACAACAGCTCTTTTCATCATCTGAGCATGAGAAATAACAAGACAATCCATAATGTATCAATTTTATTAACTGTCATAGATAAGAGGCAGTTATCGCATCAAATAACTATGCAGCAAAAAACTGAGCTTGTAAGTGGTAATTTCTCTCCTATTGCATATTAACTGTTAGATTGGATGGGTTGTATCCACATTCATACTCACAGTCATACTCAGAGTAGACCCACTGAAAGTAATGGACATAAGTAACTTAGGTATGTTAATTCATATGGCTCTACTCAGAGTAGAACTTTGTTAACTACAACTCCATGTGTGTGAATTTAGCCTGAGACAAATGCTGCTTTGGTAGCCACTAGAAACAGAAGTTGCTAAGTTAACTACTCACTCTCACGTAGTTGAACTCTTCTGTGTGTTCTTTGACTAAATATTGTATAGAATCTTTTAAACTGTCTTAGCTTTAGCTATGTATGTCCAGTGTATGTGTTTTGCTTAATTCATTGGTACAGCATGTGTTTTGCATGCAGCAGGTCAGAGTTCAAGAGCTGGGGAAATCTATTTGAAGTGTTAAAAAGCGTTAAAAAGCTAGCGTCAGTCAGGGCAGACCACGAGTCAGAAAACCTCAGGCCAGGGGCCTGAAGTTTATTTGTGAAGAACCTTCTGTGGGCTGCATGCAGTGGCAGGTGTTACCAGAGGCAAAATGGGTAGAGTAGTGGCTGTGACTTGGTACTTTTGCATTCCAGCCTTGCAAAAGTCATGGTTTTTACACTTGCACGCAACTCTCTATCCTCCACTTAGGCTGCAGATGTGTGGGATTGTGACATGTCACATGTCTTTGTTTACATTCAAGCACTGATTGTTGGAGTCTTGTGAGCGGAAATTGAGATACACTGTTCCGTTCTGTATAGCTATTGTTTTTGCAGTTCTCTCTCCGAGGAAGAAAGACGCAGAGAGAAGCCATATTTTCTTTGTTTTGTTACTTTTGATTTTGTGCGAAATAAATTAGGCTTAGATGTTACACCTCAAGGCTCAGCTTCTGTTTGGACTCTGCTAGTCGTGTGCTCATGTCCTTGGAGATGGGTCACATCAGCCTGATGGGACACTGGAGTGATGATGTGCAACGCTGCATTGTAGGGAGGCACTGGCCTTGGCGTTATCACCCAAAAACATAGTCACAGTTCAAGCACACAGTCCACTCAGGCAAACACTTGAGGAGGATGCAGAACAGGGGGGGTCAGGAGTGTGTGGCCTGAGAGATTCCTGGAGTACCTCATTTGAACCCTGGGCCTGAGGTTCTCCAACCAGTACAGACAATACTGACCTAGTTAAATCAGTGGTCTGACTTTATATAAGGCACCTTCCAGGGTTCCTAAATAAGCTGGAAACAGCTAGAGGTCAGAATGCTGCATTGAAGAGACAAAATGCTTAGATAAGCATTTATTTCTTTTATAAAATGTATTTATTTCATGAAATCTGTTTCAGATAAACATGAAGCATAAGATTCCTTTTCATAAAGGGTGTGGATGCTGGGCTAATGAATTCCTAATTATACCATTATCTATTAACCGGAGCTTGAATTAAAAAGATAACATTATGGCTGAATTTTTTCAGGGATAGAAATAAATGTTTTCTTGTATTCAGTTGCCTCTTCTTATACTGTTTCCTCTGCCAGATCTCACAAGTTTATCTGGGTCAGTCTAGGCCAGTACTTGTAAATGAGACCTTAAAGAAGAACCTGAATGTTGCATGAAGTAATGATATCAGTGCACCGTGAGCGGCACGTTTACTTCTAAGCAAGTACTTAGCTTGTCTTCTTGCATAGTAAGCCAGCAGCATACTTCTGTTTATAAATGAGAAGTCTGAAGAACATGCCCCTTAATACTTTTTATAGTCAATGGCTAAGTAAATACTCTTTGCAGGGATTTATATTGCAGACAACAACTCCTGTCATAGAGATATTCACTGAAAGTTATTTTTGTTTCATATTCTCTCTATATTTCTCTTTCACTCTGTGATGAAGTGATCCTTTCCATCTAGCTAGTTTTAGAAATACAGTAATACAGTGGTACCTCTGGTTACATACTTAATTCGTTCCGGAGGCCTGTTCTTAACCTGAAGCACCACTTTAGCTAATGAGGCCTCCCGCTGCTGCCGTGCCGCCGCCGCGCGATTTCTGTTCTCATCCTGAAGCAAAGTTCTTAACCCGAGGTATTATTTCTGGGTTAGCGGAGTCTGAAGCATCTGTAACCTGAAGCGTATTTAACCCAAGGTACCACTGTAATTGTAAAATAATTTACAATTGGCATCCTCAGTGAAGTAAATTTGTAGCTTTCCTGTGTGTATTTTTCTTATACGGTTGCTAAGTGTAAAGCAGCTGATTTTCATGCTGAAGGCCCCCTTTCAATCCCCGCTATCTTCAGGTAGGGCTGGGTGAGGCTTCTGTCTGAAACATTGCAGAGTTGCTACCAGTTATTGTGGACGATACTGAGGTAGATGAACTATTGGTCTGACTTGGTATAAAGCCTTTTCCTAGGTCGGTTCAGACTTGTGTAAGGGGTAGGCAGCCTTGCCCCTCTTTCCAGCTCAACCTTTAAACTTGTTTATGTCCCACTAAAACCAGAGGGGCTTCTGTGTAATGTTTAAGCATCTCTAGATAGTGACATTTGCCATTTCCCACCTATGAATTACCTCTAGTCTGGTTTAAATACCTATCCCTAGTAAGCACATATAGTATAACTATAACTGAAGCACTTTCATTCAGCATAGCTGTGCATGAAGAGTCTTATGGCCACACATGACATGCAGAATCCTAAGAATCACTTCACATGTTTTGCTTTTAAAAGTAGGCTGCTCTCTACTTTAAAACACCTTTCCTGTGGAATTTCCCTGTATCTTAAGGTGATCGTTTCTATAGCACTTCTCATTGTTCAAAGTGATTCATTTCCTCTGTGTTTATCATCAGAGAACTTTAAACTCCCACCCAGCCAGGGAAGGCGATCACAACTTTAGTGTCCCCCAACCAGGGCTTTGTCCACTGAGCCACTAATGTTGGAAGAGCAATGCATTTGTTTGAGACTGGGGGACAGGACAGGGGACATGTGGACAGAATTATTTAGCATTGTGCCACTTCTCTCTGAAAAAAAGTACCTGTATTGCTTTGTAAGCATTACATTTTTCTGCACCTGATTTTAAACTGTAGGAGGCACACTTGACCACTTGAAAGAGCACAGTCATTGTGGAGAAACACTTTATCACCTGGGCAGTACTGGCATAGAAGGCTCAAAATCCAGAAGGTGGTCCCCAAACCAGTGGACATTTCTTTGGACAGAAATGATACTCATAGTAAAACTGTACGGTATTAAAGCCTATGAAATCTGACCATGGAAACCAAATATCTAAAAGGTTAGCTAAAGAAATAGATAAATAGATAAAGAAAAATATTAATGTAGCCACAGAAAGACACGAGTTGGGATGCAGACCCATGTTAACTATTTGATAGAGTATGAAGATTAAGTCCTGATATGGTCTAAATAGGATATAGTCTAAATTTGTCTGCCGTATACACATTTTGAAGTCCTACCTGACCTCCCACCGTCATTATTATTGTGAATGTGAGCAACTGGCATCAACCCTTGAAACAGAGTAATAATAATTTAGGCTGAGATAACATTCCATATACTGAGTTATATGTTTGAGCAGTTGGGTACAGTTCTGAGTCATTCTGCTTCTGGTCTTCTGTCAGGCTCCAGTTCTTTTTCCTAGTACTGCTATTGTCCATAGTTGGCTTGGTAGTGATGGAATAAGGGAGATCAACCTTCATGGCACCTGGAAGCTTGTGGTCTCACTTTAATGAGGAAAGGGGAACTGATCTATTTGCTTACTATTGTGCGCTGATCTGAAAGCCTTGCAAGAAGGAGGCCTTTGCTTCTTACTGCTGTTGATGGAGAGGAATTTGGATCAGCTCCCAGACTTCAATATCAATTGGAGGTGTGTGTGTGCCCAAACTACTTGAGTGAATGGTCATTTCTGCCACTGTTCTGATTCCTGATAAATGGGAAGAATTTTCCCTCCTGGGCCCAGTGCTGCTTCACACCACTGGTACATCACTAAATTGCTAGCAAGAAACCTTGGGCTGGAACTCCGTAGTGTACCCAAATGTGCTCTTTAGTTGGACCTTATGTTTGAAGCAAAGCATGTCTTAACAGAAGTCCCCAAGAGGCTAATTTCTTGACTCTTCAGCACAGCTTGACCCTCTCTGGGAAGTATTGTGGGGGGGGGGGGAGCCTGAAATTTGTTGGGAAAGTGTTAAGCCCCAACTGAGTTGCCAGTTTAAAATAAAGGGCTTCAGTAAACTTATTGATTTCTTCTATATAACCAGCAAGATCCTTTGCACTCTCCCATGGTTGCTTCAAATTCTCCATAAAGTACCGTAATTTTGCTACTATGTCACTGCCAAACCTGTTCATTTGTTCTGTGTGTTCTCCTGCAGGTTGCTTTCCTCCTGAAGCCCTTGGCTAATTTGCGCTGTCCGCTAGACTCTGTGATCCATGCTTTGAGACCAGGAGAGACTTAAAATTTTGAAATGAAGATGGAGGCAGCAGACAAAGTAGAAGAACTCATTGACCCAGAGGTTCCATCAAAACTCCCAGAAAAACAAGAAGCAGCTCTGTGTGAAGAGGGACCTGTAGAACTAGAAATGCATGCCCAGAAAGAGAGCGGAGCTGCTGTGGAGGATTCAACAGTGCTTGCCTCGATGCCATGCTTGCTGATGGAACTGAGACGAGACTCGTCAGAATCTCAGCTAGCATCAACAGAGAGTGACAAACCAACAGCTGGCCGTGTTTATGAGAGTGACTCTTCCAACCATTGCATGCTGTCCCCTTCTTCCAGTGGGCACTTGGCTGATTCAGACACTCTGTCTTCCGCAGAAGAGAACGAGCCCAGCCAAGCTGAAGCAACAATAGAAGGAGATGCTTCTGCGGTATCAGGGTCTACTGTTGGGAGGAAATCCAGGCGGTCAAGGTCGGAGAGTGAAACCTCAACAATGGCTGCAAAGAAAAACCGGCAGTCTAGTGATAAGCAGAATGGTCGTGTCGCTAAGGTCAAAGGTCATCGGAGCCAAAAGCACAAAGAGAGAATTCGGTTATTGAGGCAGAAACGGGAGGCAGCTGCCCGCAAGAAATACAACCTGCTGCAGGACAGCAGTACCAGTGATAGTGACCTGACCTGTGACTCAAGCACGAGTTCATCAGATGATGATGAAGAAGTTTCAGGGAGCAGCAAGACAATCACTGCAGAGATACCAGGTAGAGGATGTTTTTTAAACTGAACTGGTAAAGCTCCTACCATCATTTCTCAGCTGTCCTGCTAAATTTAGAGGAGCGACACTTGAGAAAATAGAAATAATAAACTAGGAGAACTGCAACTCTATGTAAATTGGAGGGCTGCAGTATGTGAAATGTTTTAAAGGTGGGTCCTGGGGTTTTTGAATGTTCTTATTTGCAGAATTGAAAATTTAAAAAACTGGTAATGGTGAGTTGAGTTCCAGACCCTGCTTTCTGCCCCCACTAGTTAACATCAGTGTGGCTTAGACAGACATATTTAAAACGGCCTAGTTTGAAGCTATTTTATTACAAATGGATTATTCTTTTAAAATACTGCAACTGTTCCTGTATCTGCATCTGAAACACCATGGGGCATAGTTTTGCTGTTGGAGAAGGCCATGTTCTCTCCAATACTGAATTTAACGGTGCACTTTCCAACTTCATTTTAGTGCATGATAAACTGGTTCAGCTTCGTTGTGTGTTACAATTAGGTGAGCTGGTTACTTCAGAACCTGTATGAGGAATATTTTGCACATTGATTGCAAATTAATAGCCTCCACACTACCCCTCAGTTTCAGAAGCCAGAGGGTTTCAATGTCCTCTGTTGCATGGATTGCACAATTACTAATATCATTTTTCCTGCTGCATCCATATTGTGTGACTGAGAGGTGAAATATCTTGGCCATTCTTACAATCAAATATTGGAAGGTGCATTTTGGACAGCTTTCCATTTGTTTAAGGCCTGCGTTATTCCTTTATCCCAAATAGCATGAGGAGGAATATGTATCTTCTACTTGGCATATGGCACTCAAAATAACTGCATTTTATAGCAACCTTAAAATAAAATACTATTTAAAAAGCTTTTGGTTTGCCGATCTTTTATGGGTGAACATAACATTTGTTTCTTTGCATGAGAGAGATAAGTTTTGTAATTAAAACCTGTGTCCTCAGTAAAGCTATTTATATATCATGTGGGAAGACTTAAAAGGAAAACTACAATGCTGTGTTTTCAGCTTGACCCTTCAAGTATTCTTTCTGCCAGTGGTAACCTTTTAAAGTTTGATGGATTCTGCCTTTGCACAGCACTTTGGGTTTTACAGTTGCTTATGGATGTAGTCTGCCAGGGCTTTTAGTTGCCCAGCCTCCATGTCACTTTGGATATCATGAGCTTTCTGCCCAAACCCGTTAAAATAAATGGAAGTTGCACTGCAGCAGTGCCTAGTGAGATGCCATATCAGTGAACAAACTAAGGCTTTGCTCTGGACATAGGGTTTTTTTTAAAAAAAGATTGTGTACAATCTTAGGTGAAAGGGACTAATCCCAAGCAGACTGGCTCTGTTGCTGGACTGTACCATTTCATACCATGGACATGGCATAGTTTTCCACATAAAATGCTGGCTACATATAAAAAACTGGCATACTGGGAAGAACGGCCATAGCTCATCTGTTTTGCATGCAGAAGGTCCCAGATTCAATCTCTGCCAGGGAATGCCTTGCTGTCTAATCCTAGAGAGCCATTACTAGTATGTATTGACAGTACTGAGCTTAGATGGGCCAGTTTTCTGACTCAGGGTACAAAGGAAGCTGCCTTATACTAAATATCTAGGCTAGCCCTTTTTCATATCACACTAGTTTTGAACAGGGAATCTTTTATTACACCCACAACAGGTTTTTGGTGGGTCTTGGCTAGTCTGGTGTAGTGCTAACAGAATCTGACTACACGGCAGGCTATCTTATTCCATTGATTTGATGCCCGTGTGCAGTTCTGTGCAGGTGTAAAGTACTGGCAGACATTGTAGACACAATGGAGATAGAGGTGTAGCCTGGGCTTCTGATCAAGTAAGGGGATCTCTCGTACAGTCTCTTCTGTAAAGCAGAATCTCTGCTGTCTAAACCTTCTCTGATGGAACACCAAAAAATGGCAGGGGCCATCTTGTTCAAATGTTTGTATATAGACAAGCCCTTAAGTCAGCTTCTCTCTGCTGAAGGATATGGAAGAGTAGCAAGCTTTACATCATCACAGCCTCCACACAATAATAGTGTGATATGCCCTCCATTAACAATGCTTCTCTCTGGCATGTTTCACTGTGGGTATATTGGTTGTTTGGCGCATAGTATGAAGCAAAGCAATTAAGTCTTTAAAAGTGTGGATCACTCCTCCATCGGTGCCTTTGCCTTGCTTGTTATATAAATATAAAACCTATATAATTGTGATTCTTTTGAAAGTGTGATTGTCAGTTTAAGTAGGGACAGGATTTTGTTTCTGTTGCATTTCTGTTTTAGGGTAAAAAATAAGTCAAGGATTGCAAGCTGGAATTTCAGGTGAGTGCTCATGAGCACACACATAGTTTCAGGAACTTGCAATACATCTTAGCCCTCCTTTTTTTGGCTAGGTGAGAGTTTCTCAGTTTTAAGGAAGGCAAAAAACACCACAATGGGAAATTGGAAGAGCTAAGCGAAAAGTACATAATCTGTACCTGCTTGTTTACATTTTAGTTTTGCTAGTAAACAGGAGAGTAAATAATGTACCATAACCCTAAAGTAACCCATTTTTGGAGAAATTAGTGCAAAAAACACGCATGTGGGGTTGTGGAGGCCAAGTATTTGCCTTCTTTAAGTTACGTGCATTTGGATTTCTTTATATCGCTTAAAAATGTCAAGGCAACCTTTGTAAAGATAAGACCTAGCCACCATTAAATTATCTATATCAGTGTCAGTTTGCATAAGCATTAAGTTGTTTGTATTGAATAGTTTTCCATCTCTTAATAAAATCTAGGTTTGGGGGCCTACAGAGGGTAGATCTGATTGGGGCCTGTTACAGTGAAGTTTTGAGTAAAATTATATTTTAAATTTGAGAGAGCTATTTTATCCAGAGCTGCAAAAATGAACTCACTGACTGTCATTTGGAAATTGAATGGGAGTGACAATTGCCTAAAAACCATAACCATGCACAAAGGTTTCTGCTTGCCCCTCTATAGCTACCATACCATATGTCCTTCTTGTAAGTTGGAAATTAATATCTTTCTTTAATCTACCATTGCTGCAAGCTGTTTTGAAAGTTCACCCTCAGCCGTGTTAGTAGGGTTCAACTACCTCTTGTCCTTTTTGCCAGTGGCAAGCAGGACAAACCCAAGGTGTAGTTCCAGTGCTGGTGCTACAGAGGGGGAGGGAAGAACCCTGCCCCACCCAGCTGGAAACATGGATAAAAGCCTACAGTTTGCAATTAGCTGTATTTTTAATGGGTACAAGTCTAGAGCCAAAGCTCTGGCTGTGGAATTGTAATCTTGTAAATCATGTTATATTAGTGCAGTTCTTCTGTGTTCCGAACAGAAGGAAACACCCCTTTGCCCCTCTTGTCATCCTGGAAGAGAGGAGGATAGAAGATAGCCCAGAATTTCCTTCTGGTAGACATTGCCCTGGAGAAGAAATCTGAATTTCCCTTCAAAAGCAGCTGCTTTTATTATAGAATGCTAGGTTTATGAGAAGAGCTCAAAAGACAGACCTTTCCATATCTAGTTGCCTCTGATCTTTTTAGTCATTGAAGGACTTCACTGTAAGTGAAGATATATTGCTTCTAACAACTCAAGAAGAATGCATCCCATAATAAAAGTCCAGATATTTCATTCCTATAAGGATAGTAGGCATAGTTCTACTGATACTCAGGTTTTGAGAATTTTAACCTCTGCCTCCTAAGAAAGCAATCTATCAGACTAATGTCATACTCTTAATTGTTTGCCATTGAAAACAAATGCAAAAACTATCCTAAACATTATAATTCATCAGTAGTAGTCCCCTCATGGTATTCTTGTGGTAGGTTCCCATAGCATCAGCTATGTGTGACTCTCCCCATATTCTAGCACACTGAGCTAGAGACTTACAAATCAAGTGAGATGCCCCAGTATTTTTCACTGTCAGTATTTCAGAACAGGTGCCCAGTTAAATTCCTAAACTTGTAATATTTCCCTCTAAAATAAATTCTGGACATCACAGTTGCAGAGAATGAGATGAAAACGCATAGGCAAGTCTCAAACCAGTAGTGTGTTGCTGGTCACTTGCTAATCACTACTAGAAATTATCTGTAGATTTTCCTTCCGTTATCCATGCTTCACTTGTGCCTCATGTTTCATCTCTCAGGCCCACATCCACCTTCCATAATCTGTGTCACCTCATTCTTTGCAGAAAAATCTGAGATTTGTGAAGACCTACGTACTACCATTAGAATACAGAATGAAAATTATGTTTCTGCAAACTTAGATGAGCTGCTCAGAGTTCAAAATTAGGGTTTTCTTTGTGCATGTTTGGGATCCTCTCCTTGAGTTGTGGTTCTGACTATCTGCAAGAGCAACTTTTTCCTGTGGGAATGTTTTCACCCACAAAGTCCACATACAGGTCTTTGTGTTTTGGGATTTTCTCCTTGAAGCAGAGTAAACAAAGACTGTGGGTTGGATTCAGACATCTCCCTCTGAATGGAAAGGCTCTTTCCAGTCACAGATAAGGTTCTGATCCATCAGGAGCTCCCACACACTTAATCCTGCAAATGGGATACAGGGAGGCATTTTTCACCAGTGCTTCTCCTCTTCTGCAGTCCCTCCCCCCCCATATGACCCCATACACAATTTTGGAGGATACCTCAACCTCCAGAGCTGCTTTGTGGGGACATAGAGGGCTGTTGGCAAAAGGGAGGAATTACTGAAAAGCCCATTCTCCCCATGGGAACCTAGAGTTCTGCTCCAGCCCTGTGCTTTTCTTTGGCGTAATCTGCTCTGTGTTTCCCCTTCTGCGCTCAGTAGTTGAAGATAAGATTATTTTAATATAATTCAAATCCGTAAAATCAAATCCATGGTGGTCTCCCAGAAGCTAGTAACCTTGAGAGAGAAACAGAACCTTCACCCCCAGAGGCAGTAGATATATCTGATGACCAGATGACGTGGAGAAACAACCACGAATAGCCACCACCATCGTACCTTGCTTGTGAGGTCAGATATTGGAAATGGAATGCTGGACTAGACGGACTATGCTCTAATCTCGCACGGCAACTCTTGTATTCTTACGTTTTTCTTAGATGGAGTGTGCATAAAATTAGATTTGAGTGTTGGTTGTATTCTCATAAAACAAGATTTTGATTCTTACAAAGTTACGCTGCTTTGGCTTTTGTTCAGCGAGGAAGACACCAAACTTAGAAAACAGGGTTGATTTCACCTTCTGAAAAAATGTTTTGAAAGCCAAAAGATTTAAATAATTATGTTGGGGTGGTGGCTTATGAACTTTTAACTGGGCAGGTATCTCAGTGCTTCTCAGAGATTCTATCTACCTGACCAGTTAGAGCAAGTATGTAGCTTGTTCGTGCTCGCATGCCTTAATGTATGGATGTGATTACCTTTTCCTTAATGATGTCTTATGCAATGGCCTCAATGTCTTTAAAGCTGGCTTCAGTCGTGCTGGGGGATCTGGAGGAGCGACCAGGGAAATTCCAGGATTGCTTGACAGGGGCACCGTATGGGATAGGAACTGCATAGGCAGTGTCCTGGAAGAGGCCATGAACTGCTTTGCCGAGATGCAGAGGCAGACAGAGGAGAAGTTTCGCATGTGGATAGAAAAGCTAACCCGCCTTGACACAGATGAAGAAAGCAAGCAGCAGCTGGAGCCCAGGGAACCTAAAGTACCATTAGCTGGCCAAAGAATCTCCCCAGCTACTCAGGCAGGGGTATTTGTGCAGGTGCCTGATAGCCAAGTGCTTCCACAGCCGCCCTTTAATTCTTATGTGAGCTGTCAAAATGCCGACACTGCAACTTTAAATAACAATTTCCCAGCTATCTTTCCTGAAAATGGGAATATCGCAGAACCCAACTTGAATCAATCACAAACTTAACATGGTTCCCAAACCTTTCCTGTTGACCTTTATTGAACTGCAAAAGCTGTATTCTATATGTTTTTTTGGTTCCTTGTTTAGTTTCCTTGTTTGGTTATTGCTTTTTAACTGCCAGTGTTGGATTTTTTTGAAGACAACAGATTTGTACTTAAGGTTACCATTAAAATGCTTCTCCTCTCCAGCTTATCATCACCAAAGCTTGGCAAGATACAATTTAGTGATCTTTTTGTGTGTGTCCTACTGTAGGAACAATCAATGTATTCACTTGTATGCTCCTTTTGCATGCCAAAAGTGTTTATATGTGGAAATACATATTTGGAATTGAAAGCAGCCTTATGTACCCAGACAGTATACCCTGTGAATATTTTCTTAAACAAATGCTAGTATTAGATTGTGCATCATAAACAGGATTATATATTGCTTGCCATATTTTTTGGGTTTCTCCTTTGATCCTGTTGGATTGAAGTTGGCCAGTCTATGGCCGAGATGATTTGATAAACCAGTATTCATAGCCCCTCTTTAGCCTTTATTTTTCTCACAAGTGTTTGCGACATTTAGGAAGCATATGTTTTGGTAAAAACTCACGTTACCCCAGGACCACAGGAATTTGAGAGATAGTTAGAAGCAATAGGCCTGTCTACCCTGGGTTACACTAACTTCTAGAAAATTTGACGTTTTTAATAAAAGAGGTTGAATATTTTTTTTATTGTACCAGCATGACTGCTTTAAACACTTAGGCCACCTGTCCACAAACAGAAAAATAGTAGTTTGGTGTGTGTTTATATATGATCAAATTGTATTTTCATGTTCCATTTAAACTCCAAAAGCCTGTATTGAAGTAAAAATCTGACCTACCATGGAGGAAGAACAAAGTACATTGGCTGCAATCCAGAGAGTCTCTTTAGGCAGCCCGTGCAAGGGTTTGTTGTACATGTCCATCAGGGTCTAGTACAGTGGAGGCCGGTCTGTTACAGGAAATGGGGCATTGCTCCACCAGCTTCAAGTCTGACCTTAGCCAATCCCCACCTGCCTGCTTTCTTTATTTATTAAAACCAGTCCTGGGAGTAGCTGTGCCCATCATTTTCCTTCTCCCTGGCCTTAGTGTTGCCATTGTAGAACTAGCAGAGAGAGGAGGATGGGGACAACACAAATTTGTTTTTTCTGCCTGTCATTGCCTCTGGCTCCACCAACTGATGGTTTCCTTCATGAGCAAGTTGTTGAGCTTTCTCTAGGAAATCATTTAAATCAAATCAATTTAAATCATGATTTAAATCACTAGTCGGTAAGACTTGATTTAAATCATATTTTTTTTACAGAAAGATATTCTTGCTGGTATAATCTTAATATTTACAACCAAACGAAGGTTTCATTTTTGGAATAATAAATTTTCAGAGTGGTTTTTACAGTTTTATGAAAAATTACTGATTTGGTTATACTAGTAGAAATACATAGACAAATAATTATGACGTTGTGAAGTTTAATAAGTTAACTGTTTATATTTGGGCAACTTTTCTGCTGTACTTTATTGGAAGGAGAAAAATAATCATTTCCTTAATAACAATTTAAACAATTTATTTAACTAAAACAGTAACAGTATAGCATATGTATCCATGTTTGTTAACTGATGTGGTTAAACAATTTAAAACAAAAACAAAAAAAAAACCCTTAGACTTAGTTGTAGCGCACATGGAAACTTAAAACAGATCCTTATTTCCTGATGAATAGCCTTTGGCCTATAATGTAACTTAAATAGAAAACTTATCTTTAGAAAGATTTTTTATCCAAAAGCATTTCATTTTAAAAATCTGATTTAAATAAAATAAAAATCCATTTTATTATTATTATTTTTAAACCATTGATTTTTTTATCCACCCTGGTCTCCTTGCCTTTGGCTCTGTCAGTTCAAACTGATATCAGCCACCACTGGTCTAGTATACCTTAGAGCCAACTTTCTTCCCATTTTATCATCATTACATTTAAGAGATCAGAAACTTTCTGGGCATCCAGTCAGAATTGCAAGGTGCACAGATTGGCATTCTTGGTGGCTGCCAATGGTGGCATTCAGCTTCTAAATTTTCTTCCCCATGTGACTCACCCAAGCTAGTATGTCTTCTGGAATCAGTGTAAGATATTCTTATTCAAACCAGGTCTTGGTGGCTAGTAACATGGTAGAACTTTCACATTTTACCTGCCCCACCTCCTTGGGTGACATAAACTACAGCTCCTAAAAGTGTAAATTTAATGGTGCGAGGGATGCACAAGCATGTGGAAAATTGAAGTATGTGGTGCTTATTGTATGACTTTCTGGATTGTGGCCATTGTTTTAACCCATGTTTCAGTTCAAGCATTTTCTAAGCCAGCCTTGAAGGAATAATTGAACTATATCCCTAACACCTCTGGTTGAAAATGCCTAAGCATTATTTCAATTACTGTAATTTGCAGGTTGGGAGTAAACTCTGCACCTGGGAAGTAGCTTTGTGTAGAGTAATGAACCTTATAAAGTTGCTGGTTAGATAAACTTTGTTCTCATAATGGAAACTGAAAGTTTTCAGTTTTCCTTCTCCACTTAGGCTTTCAAATGCAAATCATGTGTTGCTTGCACAGTGTACAGTAGCTCAGCATAACCCCTTCCGTTATAGGCCAACAAAGGTCAAAACAACATTGCTTATAGTTTGAAGCATCTATTTCAGGTTTGCAGTGTGGGCCTAAACATGCTTACTCAGAAATAAGTCTCATTAAGTTCAATGGAGCTTTCAAGTAATTGTGCTTAGGACTGCTTAGGACCTAAAATTACAGGTTGCAAACATTTGCCAACATCCAGAGAACTGGGTGACTGCTTCTTCATGGCCAAGGACTGTGTTTCTCTAACAACACCTTCCTGTACCACATGGCAAAGTGCTCGTGGAATTGAGGGAGCTTTTGAAAGCAGGCTGTAATGTGACGTGCTGTTCAATGACAAGCATTCAAAAATGACAACAGACATTTCCAAGACCTTGGGGCATTCCTAGAATAACTCTTTGGATCCCTGCCTTTTTATTGCCGTGTGCCTGCTCACTGGCCTTCCCCCTTTTCTAATGTCATAACTGATTTTATGAAAGTAAAATAACTTGGAAATATGTACCTGCGTTCCCTGCCCTATCTTCTACACAATGTCTTTTAAGAATAAACGTTGCTTTTAAAAAGCTGTATTTTCAGGGTAACAGTTGAAAGGCTATGCAGGATGTAATTTTATGTAAAAGAAAATATGAATGGTTTCTAAAGCAATTTTGGTGTTAAATCTTTCCTTGTATAATTTTGATATGAGTGTTTTGATGTAAATTTGATATCTTCCTAATATGAAATCATGTGTACATTAACTTGATTGATTTCAAACAGTAGAGTAATTTTTTATAATCTTGACAAGACCTTTTCTTTCCCCTCTCTCCTTTTTTGCCTTGAATAAAACGTTATGAATTTGTCCTTACCTACTTTTAAAATTAAGAAATTATTGTGATTATTTTGTTGAAGTTAGTATGTACCCCTTTCTAGTACCAATAGGCATCTAAGCATTTAGAAATATATTTGGAACTGCATGTCAACTTTACAGGTCTTCCCAAGCACGCAGGGGCTGCTTTTTTTGTAGAACATCATTGCCTCAAGCATGCTCTAAAGCATATTTTTAAAATGGATGATACAGGTGTTTTAGAATCTAGATCAGCTGAGTCAGGTTATGCTATAGGCATCTCACAATGTAATAGTTTTGAGATCGAAACTAGTTGTAACTGGCTATAATCCTGTTAGCATAATTTTATTGTAATTTTGTTCTTAGAAGCCCCTTGCAAAAATTAATATTGAAAATAGATGGGAGTTTTACTGAAGACCCTGAAAGGTCTTTTGATGTTTATGAATAATCATGTTTAGCATTCTGTTCACTCTTTACCTGTGCAGAGCATAATCACCTTTGTTTTCGGTAAAAACCTGTGGTTTCTGTACAGTGCTACCATACCTTTGGTGTCAAAGCAGTACTTTTTGATTATAACTCTGTTTGTACAGAGTTATTCAGTAGACAGTTTGTCTTTAATTTGGTGACCACTGAAAGACAATGGAGATGTAATGCTGTCTCCCTCTTAGCTGTGGAGATCAGGAGTCAGCTGTGCAATAGTTTGTGCCTTCCCTCCTCAGAAGTAAATCCCCTTCCCTCCAGATACCTTAAGGCAGGCATCCCCAAACTCGGCCCTCCAGATGTTTTGGGACTACAACTCCCACCATCCCTGACCACTGGTCCTGTTAGCTAGGGATGATGGGAGTTGTAGTCCCCAGACACCTGGAGGGTTGAGTTTGGGGGTGCCTACCTTAAAGGAAATGTTACTACTAATTACAAGCATGGTTAATTCTAACCACAGTTTGTTAACTTTCAGATCCCAGTACAACAGGAACCCTGGCTTGTGTTAACCATTGGTATGGCTGGTGACACCTTCCTTGCCCATGATTGAGGCAAGAAAAGGGACTTTGCTTCTCAAGAAAGGGGTGAAAGGAAGGCATACAAACATTCCTAGCTGGCTCTAGATACCTTAAGCATTCATAATAGCTTTATGCACCAACCACCTGCAATCTGACCAGTGGATCAGATTACCACCAAGTAGAATATGAAGCTGCCAAAGGTTTGACAATTTGATTGATTTAACTGTGCATTCATCTTTTTTAATCTGTAAGGTATGGGGAAAATAAAAAAAATAATTATTAGTGGCACAATAAATGGAATATGTCCTGGTGGTGTTATTAGAACCAAAGGAGCAACTTGTAAACCTTACCACCAAATAATTTGTGAGAAGCCTTATTTCTAGATGAACATGTAGTTGTCCTATTGTTAGACCCTGCTACCCCTTTAAAGCTTTTCTCCATAGGAGGAAATGGTGGTTCAGGGTCCAGCAATTATATGGATTGCACCTGCTGATCATGCCCTCAGAGCCCCAGAAAAACACTTATAATTTTCAACTTGCACAATAATTTTTTGGTTGCATTGTTTCAGTACTATCATTGCTACAGATTCAAGGGTGAGTGGCCTGTCCCATGTTCTGATTTTGAATACTGACGATGTGGAATAGCTGTACATCGTCTTCATTAAAAAGAAAATAATGGCATTCATGTCATTGGACTTATCCCTCATCATGGCTCTTGTAAGCATTTCATAACAACTTGAGATTGAAACCAGTTCATCAGGCTGAATAGATTTGTTCTGAGTGACAAACTAATCTTTGATACGATTTACATTATTTTAATATACGTCTTGTAATTTAAATAGACCAGTTCCCCTCTCCCTCCTGAACTCATGATGTTAGTATTTCTATATTTTTATCTTAGTCTTTTAAGTAAAAGATTCAAATTTAGGACAGCAATTTATTTCTGGAAACCCTTCACAGCGCAGAAAGAAAAACACATCAAAATCTCCCTCCAGATATTACATTTTGCAGTTTCTTAACCACTGTTAAGATATCAGGAGGTTCTTTGGGCACCCATGTTCCTGTTTGCCTGCCCCTCCCCCTCTTAGTGCCCCCTGGTTGCTTCCCCCATCCCCCACTTTAATCATGATTTAGTTCAAATTTAGCTCATGTAGAGCCATGTTATTTGGGTCTCATCCACCCTTGGCAGCATGTAATGTGCAGCATGATGGGAGCTGTAGTCCAGCAACATCTGAGAAATACCACTTTTGAATGCCCCTTGCAGAGTGTTTGCTACCTATGAACCAAGATTAAAGCTACTTGAAGTCAGGTTTTTATCAATAATTACAAGCTGGGTGTGAAATCGTGTTTAAACCTAGTTGGGCTTTAGCATCAGTTATCTCTGGGGGGGAAAGGGAAAGGAGAAGGAGAGAGAGTAGAGAGACAAATTTTGAAGAGGTACTCTCATCTCTTCCATTAGGAAAAACATCTGCTTTCAGCCCAATGACATGCAAGTCACACTGTGAATGTTCAGTCCCCACCACTTGCACTCACATGTTGTTGTTACCTTGATGTAATTTTGATTTGAGTAGATTATGAAATACTGTACAGCGGTGATGGCCAAACTTGGCCCTCCAGCTGTTTTGGGACTACAATTCCCATCATCCCTGACCACTGGTCCTGTTAGCTAGGGATGATGGGAGTTGTAGTCCCAAAACAGCTGAAGGGCCGAGTTTGGCCATCACTGCTGTGCAGTGTAGCTTCACAGCCTGTGCTCAGAAATCACTTGTTTTGTATGGCAACATGTTTATTGTCTTTCGCTTTGCTATGATAGCAAGTGGTTATGTCCATTTTATAGATTAGGGTTCAAGAGGAGGGGAGGTTATAACTTTCTCAAGGTGCCCGTGTCAACCCTAGATATTTCAATTCAATGTGCCAACATAGCTATGCCATGTCATGTCCCTCATGACTGCTTACAGAAAATTATTTTTCTGTCCACTTTACTGTATGGCATGAAATTATTACTTGGTAAACTTTATTTTTTTTTTATTTGGAGAAAGGAATAATGATCTTGAATTGGTTCTTAATGGATAATACCCAACTGAGTTATATACAGATTAGAAATAAGAGGGCTTACATGATTTATCACTAATATTGGCTATCACCCGTTGCATATACCTTCATGATTTTGTTTGGGTTTTAATATTTAAATCAAGTATAAGCAACTTACATCAAATGCATACTTCCTCCACCCCACCCCAGTGAAAAGATCTTGACGGGGTGGGAGCAGCTTTGTGCAGTGAAGGGTGGAGTAATGTTAATTTCTCTTAAAATTCTTTTCACTTTATGATTTTGGAGAGAATATGGTTATGCTATTCTTTTACTGTATTTATAAATGTGTATTCCTTGCCAAACTGTATAAATTCAGAAATGTAACTACTGTAACCTAGAATTAATATAGCTATTAATAAAATTCTTATTACAATGTAAAATATAAAGCCAACCCTTTTTTGGGGGGGAGGTTTTGTGAGGTTTATTTTAAAATCTAGCTAAACTGCCTCAGGTGCTGCTTGGGAAACTTTTACATCTCCCCTCTCCTTTCAGTTCCATACATCTTTCGCTTTTCACTTCTACCTGGTTTCTGCAGCCACTTACCTCTGCATCTCCTGCATCGACGCTATAATGCCCCATGTTGTTTTATCTCACCGTTCCCTCCACATCCCTGCTTCTCGATCAGCGTATTTATCGATTTATTTTTGTAAACTTCACAGGGCATTAGCCTTCTCTAATCTGGAACCCTCCAGACATTGTGGCGCTTCACCCCCATAAACGCTTTCCATAATGGCTGGTCGTCGGTTATGATGAGAGTTAAGAAGAGCTAAGCTGAATCAGGCCAATGGCTCACTACTCCGGCACCCTGTTCCCACAGTGACCAACCAGATCCCTCTGGGAAGCCCACAAGCAGATCCCAAGTGCAAGAGCACTCTCTCGCCCCACCACCGTGGCTTCCAGAATCTGGCATTCAAAAGCATTACTGTCTTTGACTAGAGGCAGAGCATAGACATCATGGCTTGGTAGCCATTGATAGCCTTTTCTTCCATGGATTTGTCCAATCCTTTTAAAAATCATCCAAGTTGGTGGCCGTCACTACCTCCTGTTGGAGCACGTTCCATCATTTTAGCTGTGTGAAGAAGTACTTTCTTTTATCTCTCCCGAATCTTCTGATCCTCAGCTTCCCCAAGTTTTAGTGCTATGAAAGAGTGAGAAAAACTTCTCTCGCTCCACTTTCCCCATGCCACAAATAGCTTTATAAACTTCTATCATGTCGCCTCTTCCTTGCCTCTTCCCTAAACTTAGGTAAAGGTAAAGGGACCCCTGACCATTAGGTCCAGTCGTGACCGACTCTGGGGTTGCAGCGCTCATCTCGCTTTACTGGCCGAGGAAGCCGGCGTACAGCTTCCGGGTCATGACAAAGCTGCTTCTGGCAAACCAGAGCAGCGCACGGAAACGCCGTTTACCTTCCCTCCAGAGCGGTACCTGTTTATCTACTTGCACTTTGACGTGCTTCCGAACTGCAAGGTTGGCAGGAGCAGGGACCGAGCAACGGGAGCTCACCCCGTCGCGGGGATTCGAACCACCGACCTTCTGATTGGCAAGCCCTAGGCTCTGTGGTTTAACCCACAGCGCCACCCGCATCCCTACACTTAAGTAGTCCCAAATGCTGCTGCCTTTATTCATAGGCGGGTCGCTCCATCCCCTTGATAATTTTGGTTGCCCTTTTGCCGTCCAGCAACAGCTGGAGGGCACCAAGTTGGGGAAGGTGGCTGTAAAGCCTCTGATGTAACCAAACGTTACTGTTGTTTTTGCATGCCCAGTGTAGTTTGCCAAAGAAAGTAAGTAGTTTGAGTTGTTTGTTGACAAAACATTTGAGGAAGCAAATGCAGAGACGGCATAGATCTAGGGAGGTTGAGGCTTCTTCTAAGAACCAGCATGTTTGTGCACCAAGGTTTCTAATGGTAAAGAAACAGACCTGCCAGTGCTGAGGTCTTCCACTAGTAGTAACAATAACTGCAGCTCCCTATGTGCTGCTTGGCTCTACTTGTTTTACTCCCGATTGGAAAGTTTGTTTGTTTTTAAAGAAATCACTTTGTCATCTTTTGCCACTGTTGTAAGGCTGGATTTGCTGATGACAAGTGGTACCTGAAGCAAAATTTTGCAGCATGCGTTCACCTGATAGATGTGCTCCTGTTTCAGGGTTGCAATCACAATACCGTGGTACCTTGGTTCTCAATCCGTTTCGGAAGTCCGTTCCAAAACCAAGGCGCGTTCCAGACTTTTACAAGCACCCCCTAAAACAGCAGTTTAACGTGAATTTTACTACCTAACAAGACCATTGATCCATAAAATGAAGGCAATAAACAATGTACTGCAGTCACACAATTAGTCAGTAGCTGAACTGGGTTCCACACAGTCACAAAAACAAAACAAAAAGAGCCACAAAAACAAAACCGCAAATTAAATAGCAAAAGCAGACAGACCTCAGCATAACATTCAAAATGGAAGTGTGGTGCTCAAATAGGAAGCGTGGCACTCAAAACGAAGCACGTTCGGCTTCTGAAAAAAGTTTGCAAACTGGAACACTTACTTGCAGTGTTTGGGTTCCAAGGTGTTTGAGTCCCAAGGCATTTGAGAACCAAGGTACCACTGTAGGTGGAAGGGATCCATAGCTTCTACTCCAAACTGCTGCCAATGCAGGAAATTCCCTATTACACCATTCCCAGAGGATCTTCTTCCAGCTTCTGCATAAAAAGGGGTATAGAAGTTAGAAAGCTGCTGTTGGTCTATCTAGCTCAGTATTGTCCTGAATTGCAGTGGCTCTCCAGAGTTCCAGGCAGGGGACATTCACAGCCCTACCTGGAGATCCAAGGAATTGGACCTGGTGTCATCTGCATGCAACATGGATGCTTTCCGAATGAGCTTTTCCAAGCCTATTCCACGGACAAACAGCTTCTACCATCACTCTTCCTAACATTTAGCCAGGATCCATTTTCTTGCCATTCGAACCCATTGGTTTGAGTCTCGTCCTCTGGAACGACAACAAAAATTGGAAGAAGAGAGCTGAAAATAGATTCTTAAGTGTCGCTCTCTTGAACTAGTAGCGCTAACCAGGAAGGAGCCAGCGTCACACGCAGAATGCAGGAAACCTGAAAGATTAACTTAAATGTAAGCAGACATATGATGAAAACATGCAAAGGGGTGCAAATGAGATTAAATACAAAAACAGTAGAAAATTAAAGAGTAAGGCAGCACAATGGAGATATAAAAAGATACACAATTTATAATGAGCAATTAACTGAAAAAATAATTGGCAAATAAAAATATTTAACAAAATGGCTGGCACTAAAGCATGCATATTACGTTGCCCTAAACAGCATTTTCCTTCAACTTCCACCAGTCCAAACTAGCTAAAAGCTTACTAAATTCTCCAGTATATAGTAATATATAGTAATGTAACCTAAAGAATAAGGAGCGGATGATAGATACCTATGCAAGGAGGGATCCAAGGAACAGGTTCTTGGGGCAGTGGGAGAGGGAACTGGAGGTAAATGAATTCAATATCCTGAATGGTCCAAATAGGAAATTAATTAAGATCAAAATAGATTTAAAAATGTTTACAGTGTGAAGAGTGCAGTCTGAGCATCCCAGGAAGATAAACAGAACCTTAGGGGAAATAAAAACCAAAGAAAAGGCATTTATTCAGAACGGGTCAGGAGCCAAATATTCAATTCCAGAAGCCTAACTCAGAAAAAATGGCCAGGAGTAGCATAAAAAACTAAAGTGTTCAAAGCTCCCACAGTGAAGGCTGAGGCAAGCTGAGCGCCAGTTGTCCTCAGAAAAACTCTTAGTGAAAGGAACAATAAAATAAAATCAAGTTGTTTGAAAAAGTGAGTCCTAGCACCGAGGTACAGTTGCATTTGGATCTTGACACCTCATTTTTTCCTGTGTCCTTATTTGTTCATTTCTCTCACTCCACTTTTTCTCACTAAAATTTAGTTCTATATTGGTGAATGACGTGTTGGGCGCCTGCAGAAAACAGTTTCCAATTGTTTTAAGATACTTGGCATGCTTTCATGCCTGATGAGGGGACATGGAGATTCATGGTCACTCAGAGCTGCTAAAATGCAGGAGAACAAACCTGTATCTTCTTCATAACTGGTGTATAGTTTTAAGGCCTTGGCAGCATTTCTGCTCCCCATATTCCAGAGTCTAGGCCAGTGTCCCCCAAACTTGGGTCTCCAGCTATTTTTCAGACTACAATTCCCATCATCCCTGACCGTTGGTCTTCCTAGCTAGGGATAATGGAAATTGTAGTCCAGAAACAGCTGGAGACCCAAGTTTGGGAAACAGTGGTCTAGGCAGAGACATTTCCATCTGTAAGAAAGACATGGAGGCCTGCTTAAGCCATGAGCCAGAATTTCTTAAGCAAAGCTTTCCACTCCATAGTTATCTGGGGTGACCACTTTTGCCATTAATGCAGATCTCAATAATACAAAGGAACAAGCCATGCCTTCCTTTAGGATTTTATAAGCTTAAGCAAGCCAATTCGATCCACCACTGTTTTTCTGGTTTTCTTTTCTAACATCCCTTGGTAGTGTTTGGTAACCACAGATCATTCACAATCCCATTGTTTTTGGGGGAGATGGGGAGCTGCTCCATTTCAAAGGGTTTTTTTTTGATACTTCTGCAACCTTGCAGTTTGTCCAGGCATACAAACAACTACCTCTTTTTTCTCAGTGGCCCTATTTCAGCTATGATCGTGAATTGAGTCCTCAGTATTCACAGTCAACGTTTCTCATGGCTACTAGGATAAACAATTACAATCCTACGAGCATCTAGAGGTATTTGCCTATCATGCGCAAGGTCCCAAGCTCAATCTCAGATTTTTGGGGGGGGAGCAGTTGTTGATCTTTTTTTAGGGAGGAGGCAAAAGTGACACACCAAACGATCGCTCAGCAAACAAGAAGAAACTGTGCAGCGATAACTCGGTCTTCCATTTTTGCGTTCATGCGCAATTGAAGAACAGAGCGAGAAGGCAGGGGCGGATGTTCTTTCTCCCCCCGTGGAGAAAAAAGAGCCCACGATCGACCGCTAGCAGTCAGGCATCGACCTGTCGATCGCGGTCGAACCGTTGGACATCCCTGCTTTACAAGAGCTGACACCTTACAGTCAGAGCAGCAGAGCTGGGCTTGATGGGCTAATGGTCTGTCTCCATATGAGGCAGCTTCATGCGTGAGGAACATAATGCTGGATAAAAAATGCCTCTGGGCTGGATATTCCAGGCTCCTCTTAACGTGGCAGGATCCGGCAGCCCCCTTGGTGTGCATTCTGAAATTGCGGATGTGAAAACGCCATGCTGGGTTTTATTTTTCCATGTCAGTTTCTCAATGGAGACGTCTCTCTCTGCTGTTCACCAAGCAAACGTGAGCTGGTTGGCAAATTGTGTTGCAGAGCCATCCTTGCCAAGCCTCACACATTTGCATCGGCTTGGATGCGAACGTCAGTTAACGGGATGAGTTGTGTGCAATTGATTGGCAGTAGGCTCAGGACAGACAAGAGAAAAGTACTCCTCTTAGGAGACTTGTGATTCAGGGAATTTGCAGCTTCAGGATGAAGTGGTGGCCTGTAGCTCCATGCTTGTTTTTTTATTTAAAAGATTAGACAAATCCAAAAAGAATTGGCCTGCCAATTAAGCATGAAGGCTAAATGCTCCATGCTCAGAAGAAGGGAGCCACTGAATATTTCTTGTTTGGAAGTAACACCAGTGGAGACCCACTGCTCTCATGTGTTTCTAGGAGGGTGACTGATTGGTCATTGAGGGAAGCAAGTCTCTGGACCACCTGGGCCTTTAGCCTGCCCAGGTGGGGCTCCTGCTTCTAGATGATATTTTCCGCCTTTGCATCTGATAACCCACTGGTCGTTTGTTTCTCATCCCCAAATATGGAGCTGATTTCCTCCCCCGCCCTTTCTTCAATGCAATTTCCCAAAGCTTTGTTTCTCTTGCCTTCCATTTTGTTCGGATGTGTAGAGTTGCCTTCCCACTGGGGCTTCCCCATTCATTTCAGTGGAGGTGGCAGCTTCCAGTAAGCAATCTCTTGCATGTACCATATTGCTGCCTCTGCCAAAGTTAATGGGGCGCCCTTGTGTACAGGAGTGTGGGGTGTGCACATTGAACTGAAGCAGAGGGTAAAGGTAAAGGGACTCCTGCCCATAAGGTCCAGTCGTGGCCGACTCTGGGGTTGCGGTGCTCATCTCGCTTTATTGGCCGAGGGAGCCGGCATACAGCTTCCGGGTCATGTGACCAGCATGACTAAGCCGCTTCTGGCGAACCAGAGCAGCGCACGGAAATGCCATTTACCTTCCTGACACAATGGTACCTATTTATCTACTTGCACTGGCGTGCTTTTGAACTGCTAGGTTGGCAGGAGCAGGGACCAAGCAACAGGAGCTCATCCTGTCGTGGGGATTCGAACCGGCAACCTTCTGATCGGCAAGTCCTAGGCTCTGTGGTTTAACCCACAGCGCCACCCGCGTCAGAGTTGGGAGGACACTAACTTAAGATTCCCCTCGTTCTATCCCATGCAAGTATGGGGAAAGTGTCAATTTTCTTGGGCACCGGGATCTCATCCCTGAATTTCTACCTATTCTTATTGTAGGCTTCCATTCTGCTATGGAAACCAATGCTTGCCACTAATAAACCTGCATAACCATAGCCATTCCCTTCTGTGTGATACAGAAGTGAAGAACATATCAGAGGACAGTCGGCTTTGCAGACTGAGAGAAATGGCAAAGTTGCAGGACGTTGCGTTGTTAATTTCCTAACAGGACAGCCGTTTTAGCCAGGGCCTAGACAAAAACTTTTGGTGCCATGTAACCCAGTCCTTTGCATATTTACTCAGAAACAATTCCCAGTGTGTTAAATGGAACTTATTCCCAAGTGTATTGCAGCCTGAGTCAGAAAATTCATAAGCTACCCCACCACCTGTACAAAAAGAAGGATTCCTTCTTCCAGTTTCCTCCCTGTACAGGTCTCATTGAATGCCTTTGTATGGCTCCCCTTAAGTCCAGCAGGGCTTGTGAAAGAGATTATTCACCTTCCTGACTTTCCCCTCACCTGCCCATGATCGGCTTTGTTTGCCTTTTGCCTGGGCTGCTTCTGGATTTAGCTTAATGCAAACATGCATAGGAATTTCCCTTTCCCCAATCTCATTTGAGAGTCCAGAACAATCAAATAACGCAACTCTTCCATTGACAGTTTTAGGGCATTTGACTTTTGCCAGTTTTTCTTTTAAAGAAACCTAGTTTAAATATTTATTTTCATAATTGACAAATGTTAATTATTGTTCAGCATGTAAACTGTTTGTTCAATGTATGCTAAAAATTTAAGCTAAGTTATAAGGTGTGCTGTTTGGAAGTGTGGAAGATACAGGAGTTGGAGCTACAGATAGCAAGTTTATGCTTGTATTTCCTACTGATGAAGACTTTCACCCAAGTTATTCTCTGGGTAGGTGATAAGAATATCACTCTGCATGTATATACATTTATTATACATTTTTGCATGATTATACATGTAGGAGTGGTACAATTTTGACTTTACTCCAGTTATTGTCTAAATACAATTTGGCTCATTTAGACCTGTCCGATTCGACTTTTGACAATATTACTGACAATTAAAGTAAACTCATTTGCAAAACATGGAAAAATTATGAGTAGCTCCTTAATTGGCTAGATAAGAAACAGTCAATATTGTACTTGACCCTCGTATCTTCTGCACTCAAAACATTTTTTATTGACCATGTAATGTCAATTGATACCATATTGCACTGAACTCTGATGATATTGTGGGGCGGAAAATTACGCCTTTGCTTAACTCTGCACGCCAGTTCGTGTTGTAACACACATTCTCACTTCCCACCTAAAAAAAAATTCTCACCCTTGCATATAAAGTTTAAAGCCCTATTTTCAACAGCAAATGTCAATCTGCAACTGGCTATGATTCCTCCCCGCATTACAATCATCAGTGTTTCGTGTTGGACCATTGTCCCCTTTGTACATACTAGTAGTTAACCATCCCATTTACCTTTTATTTAAGTTGAATCTGTCTTAATTTTTGCAACTCTGACGTTGTTTCAGGAAGCAGGTTGTTATTGATGCTGGTTTATCCTGAATCTTCTGTACGTTTCTTTAACGTAATTTACAGAACTGATTTCGGGATACTTTAAAGTGGCAGTGGTTCCTTATGGAATTAAGAAACGTCTTGCTAAATTACCTGGTTTATTTAGTTATTTGAGAAATGAAATCCAAAACGTACCAAAATCCCTGTGTTCCTGAACAGAGCGTTTGGTTGGCCACTGTGGAAAACAGGATGAACTTTGGGTCTGCTCCAAAGTTGGGTTCTTAGATTCCTAAAACTTTAGCTTCATTTCCCATAATACGGAACATTATTCTTCTACTATATCGGATTACACTGGGATTTATACTGCATGGTAGCTGGCAGCCATTTTATATAAGAGAATAACTGCTTTTATACTGAATCATTTTTATTGGTCCATCTAGCCCAGTGCCCTCTGTCCAAACTGGCAGTAGGGAATCTCAAAGTCTTCCCCAGCTTTGTGACATGAGAACCTTTCACTGAGGATGTCTGGCAAATCATTGGGCTCCATATCCCATTTGCACACCCACATTAGCCACTGGAAGGATTCTTTTTATATTCTGTTTCAGCCAGGACAGAGTGAGGGTCAGTTCTCTTGACAGCAAAGTGAGTTTTTCTTTCAGAATATGCATTGCAGCCCTGTTTAGGGAAGTTTTTAATGTTTGATGTTCTATTGTGCTTTTAATTCTGTTGGGAGCCACCCAGAGTGGCTGGAAAAACCCAGCCAGATGGGCGGGGTATAAATAATAATAATAATAATAATAATAATAATAATAATACCTCCAGAAGGGGTGTGTATTGCAGACTTTGCAAAATTCAGTTCTACGTGGCATGGCGGTTTTAAAGGGGACAAGTCAGATGCATGGAGAAACAGCTATTAGTGATGATGGCTTTTATGAAACCTCCATTTTTATAGGAGTATATATCTAAATATTAAGTACTGGGGAGCAAAAGCAGAGGAGGCTATTGACTTTATGTGCAGCTTGTGGCCTCCAAAAATATTTGGTTGGCTGCTGAAAGAAGCAAACTGTTGCACTTAGATGGATCTTTGGTCTGAAACAGAAAGCTGCTTTCACATTTTAAAAATCCAAAGATCCATTTAACTTGTTTGCATGCCTAAAGAAACTTTAGACTGATGCCGACACACAGGAACACCTGAAACACACAATGCTTCATAGTAGAAGACGTTTGAAATGGAGGAGAATAGCAAAAACTGTTTGTGATGTGACATTGGGAGTGGGAGGCGGTCTGCTGCTCATTGAAAAAGCAGAAAACCCCAAGAACATTTAAAAATAATTCCCCGCCAGGTTATTCTAAGACTGAGCATTTCAGGTGTCTAGTCTCCAGACAGGACTCTGAACCATATAAATTAAAGAAGGGACTGCCTCTGTGTTTTTCTGTGTCACAAAGACTTGTACCATGATAATGCATGACTGCATGGACTAGCGAGATCCTGGCTCAATGCAGATGAAACAAACCATAATTTGGTTGTTGGGAACACACTCTGTGCTTGCACATGCCAGTTACCTTCTGTGCTTCCTAGGTTACGGTAATCATAAGTTGTTGTGATGTCTGAAACTATGAGTACTTCTGATCGCGGGTTGCCTCCAATCTAGAGTTGGAAGCCCACTTCAAACCATGATTTCTCATTCTGTTTGGAGGCAGACTGTGAGTAGTGATACCCATAATTTGCTTAACTCAGACATTGAGGCAAACTATTGTTCCTAGAAACCAGGATGTGGAGGACCATGAGCAAGTTGCGTGTTTCCGACAGCCAAATCTTGAGTTTGCCTCATTGCCTAGCTTGAACGGTTGATTCTTCAGTCTACATAGTTGCTGCTTTCCCCATTCCCTTCCTCTCTCCCACTTTCATAGGAGTAGATGGTTGTTTCTAAGGCAGCTATATTGAGAATAGGCATGCCGTGCTTTGCTTGCAGTCCATCTGGCGCTCTTCACTCTCCCCCCGCACCCTCCTCTCACTTAGCAACAAAAATACTCTGCTGTAATTTTGGAAAGAATTGATGTGAATTCTTTTGTCGGTGTGTTAGATGAGTGAATCGAAAAGGAGGGTTTGTCCTCATCTGCCCCCCTTAATTGTAAGTTGCCAGATGAAATGTGACATACCTTTTCCATAGCTCGTTGGTAGAGTAAATGCATGCAGCCCTTTGCATTTCCAGTTAAAGCAGTGTTTCTCAACCTGTGGGTCCCCAGATGTTGTTGGACTACAACTCCCATCATCCCTGAACACTGGTCATGCCGGCTAGGAATGATGGGAGTTGTAGTCCAACAATATCTGGGGACCCACAGGTTGAGAAACACTGAGTTAAAGCATCTCAGGTACAGAGGGCAGCATCCCCAGATCTTGGAGGGCTGCTGTCAGAGTGTACCTTGCTAGGCCACATGGACCAATGATAATTAGACTCATTATAAGGCAGCTTCATGTGTTCGCACATGTATGTTTCTGCACCACTTTTTCTGCATCCGTGCTTACAGTTTTCAAAATCTTCAAAAGCGCAGAAATGCTGATGTTTACCAGTTTAGAAACTATATATATAAACCACTCAATAAAATAAAGAATAATCTCTTAAGCAGTGTGCATTACGCAGTATAATGAGATGCAGATAAAATCAGCAGAATTTAAAAGCAGGTACATATCTGGATAGGTCTGGACAAAGTCTTCTTAAAGGTAAAGGGACCCCTGACCATTAGGTCCAGTCGTGGCCAACTCTAGGGTTGCGGCGCTCATCTCGCTTTTTTGGCCGAGGGAGCCGGCGTACAGCTTCCGGGTCATGTGGCCAGCATGACTAAGCCGCTTCTGGCTAACCAGAGCAGCGCATGGAAACGCCGTTTACCTTCCCGCCGGAGCGGTACCTATTTATCTACTTGCACTTTGACATGCTTTCGAACTGCTAGGTTGGCAGGAGCTGGGACCGAGCAATGGGAGCTCACCCCGTCGCGGGGATTCGAACCGCCGACCTTCTGATTGGCAAGTCCTAGGCTCTGTGGTTTAACCCACAGCGCCACCCATGTCCCTTAAAGTCTTCTTAGCAAGCGTCAAAACACAGTATAGCAAGAGTGCCTGAATAGCTCTAACATGCAGGGAGTTCCATGGCATAGTTGCTGCCACCCTGAAAGTTGGGCAGACATGGAATGATTGTTATAAGAGTGCAAGCCCTGTAAATCAAAGTGGTGGAGAAGGCAAGAGAGGCGCACTGCGGTCCCTCAAGCAAGCAGGTCCCAAGGTATTAAGGGCTTTATATACCAATAGGAAAACTTGGCCCAGGAGCAAATCAGCAGGCACTGCAAACCTTTGGGCCGAGGTGTGGTATGCTGGGAGGGTCTCATTCCTGTCAGCAGCTGCACTGCACCATTCTACACTCACTGCACTTTCCAGACCACCAGCAAGGGAATATAAAGTTCAGTTCAAGGGGAGAAATAGGGCAGATCTGTCAGATCTGCACAAAGTAGTCCGATGATAGTTTTAACTGGATTGCTCATGTGGTTAGAGCACGGTGCTGATAACACCAGGGTTGCAGGTTCAATTCCCGTATGGGACAGCTGCATATTCCTGAATTGCATGGGGTTGAATGAGAGGATCCTCAGAGTCCCTTCCAACTCTATGATTCTATTATTCTTTTGTGGGAAATATGAAGTATATTTCATTACCAGTAATACTTTAGATAAATAATATTGGTGTTATGTAAAGGATTTACTTGCATATTACTTCAACAAATGACGTTTATGGTCTACATCAGCCTTCTGCAACCTGGGGCCACCCAGATATTTTGGACTACAGTTCCCATCAGCTGGGAGTTGTAGTCCAAAGCAGCTGGCGGACACCCCATCCAAGAAGGCTGATCTGTATCAAATGAAAGTTGGCAGTTTTGTCACTGCTTTTGATGTATTTAGTATTCAAATGCTAACGCTCAGTCTATAGACAGCAAAGCAGCAGTAGAGTTTGTGCTTCCTCCGAGCCGCTTGCGGTCTTAATAGCTGCGGGTTTTCTTTCCTTCCCAGATGGAGCTCCGGTTGTGGCTCACTATGATATCTCGGACACAAATTCCGACCCGGAAGTGGTGAATGTAGACAATCTATTGGCAGCTGCGGTAGTCCAAGAGCACAACAGTTCTGTCGCTAACCAGGACACTGGGCCTACTTGGAGGACGAGAGGGCTGCTAGAAGAGCTGAATGCTGAGACAGGTGAGTAGGGGAACATTGTCCCAGTTCTACGCTAGCTCCTGCGCCTGGCCTACGCTGTTGTCCCCCTGCCGCGTCTCTTCATCTGTAGCCTGAGGTCATCAGGCCTGCAGCAACAAGGCAGGCAAACCCATTCTTTCCACTGCTCGCTATTAGAAAACTTAAGTGAACACATTGTAAATATGGCTGAACTGGCATGGTTGTTGTTCTTTAGTCGTTTAGTCGTGTCCGACTCTTCGTGACCCCATGGACCAGAGCATGCCAGGCACTTCTGTCTTCCACTGCCTCCCGCAGTTTGGTCAAACTCATGCTGGTAGCTTCGAGAACACTGTCCAACCATCTCGTCCTCTGTCATCCCCTTCTCCTTGTGCCCTCCATCTTTCCCAACATCAGGGTCCTTTCCAGGGAGTCTTCTCTTCTCATGAGGTGGCCAAAGTACTGGAGCCTCAGCTTCACGATCTGTTCTTCCAGTGAGCACTCAGGGCTGATTTCCTTCGGAATGGATAGGTTTGATCTTCTTGCAGTCCATGGGACTCTCAAGAGTCTCCTCCAGCACCATAATTCAAAAGCATCCATTCTTCAGCGATCAGCCTTCTTTATGGTCCAGCTCTCACTTCCATACATCACTACTGGGAAAACCATAGCTTTAACTATACAGACCTTTGTTGGCAAGGTCTGTATAGTGAAAGCGATGGTTTTCCTAGTAGTGATGTATGGAAGTGAGAGCTGGAGACAAGCTGTATTCCAAGCAGGCAAACTTTGCCCCCTAGAGCACCTGTGGCTGACCACTTCTCTGGAAGTCCAAAACAGAAAGATATTCTTCCTTTCATTCCCCAGTAAATACTCTTGAGTTTAATCCCTTTTCTCCCAATACCTCAGCTACTCAAAAGTAGCCAGTCCTTTTGTAATACAAACCAATAGGGTTCAGAACATGTGCACAGTTCCTTTGCAAAAGATAGTGAAAGAAAGAGAGAGAGAATATCTGAACTTCTGATTAAATGCTTCCAAAGGATGAAAGACCATGAGTGAAGCCTAACATTTTTATGGGATTCTGAGACCAGTAAATGCTGGCCCCTTAATGGAAGCCCGACTCATGCAGGTAAAACTAACTTACTCTGACATTTTTATTTGCATGTCTGTGTATGTGATGTGTCACTTTTCCTCTTCCTTCCTTTTCCCCACCTTTTCTGAATGATCTGGTGTTTGGTGTCAATGATTTAGAAAGATATTTCTCTGGAATTTCTCACAAAAATCTTCCAGACCACACAATTGTTCAGGGACACTTTTATATTCTCCAAGGATATTTCACAAAGTTTTGTTAAACTCTGGGTCCTTTCTTAAATCCAAAAGTGCTCTTTGGGTTTATTTTTTTGTAGAGCTAGGCTGATGGAAGGGACCCTCTAGCAGGTGGACAGTAGACTGTGTCAGGTTCAACCTGGTGGCAGTCCATCATTTTTTAAAAAAATATGAAGTGTCTGTTTTTATACAAAAACAGGGTCTGCCAGGAAGGAAAGTCTTCTCCCCGTCCCCGACTCCCAATCCATGGCTGGTATATTTTGCAATGGCAGTGTGATGAATGGGTCTTTGCTTGACGTTGGTGAGAGACGGCTTCTTTCTAAGGATTTCCTGCAAGGGTGATCAAGCTGCTGAATCTTGGGTTGGGTTGTCCTTCTTCTTTGCCTTCTACAGATCACTTGAATGCTGGATTCCTGGCAAGCGGCAAGGCCCCCAGCAGCAACACCCAGGTCAATGAAGAAATTAATATAGCATCATCAGATAGCGAGGTGGAGATCGTGGGAGTTCAGGAACACGCAAGGTACTAATTTCCCTTTTAAGCGCTGAGTCCATCTAAATACTTGGAATTAATTTTTGAAAAGGAAGAAAATGCAGATCAGTTGGTCATCTTACTTTTTTCCGCCTGTGGGTAGGTTTTCTCCCACCCTCTGTTAAGACGACTTGCCCTTTCCCTGTCTTAACCCCGGAAGTGCATACACATTAAACACGGACCTAGTGTCAAATATATGATTGATATTTGGGTGCGGCGGAATCTGCCGAACCCAGAGGCACAGGGCACAGAGAAGGGTGTCTTCATCATACCGTATAGTGTGCGCAGCTGCTACAAGCCGCTGCAAGCTTATTTTTAAATGAACCAAAGCAGCAAAACCATAAGGGAGCAAAGCAAAGGGAGAACCCGAGTCTTAAGGAGATCGTTTTTTTAAAACAGGAAAGAAGTGTTTCAAGCGGCAGGGGAGAAAGGCATTCCAGACATAGGGAGAAGTGGAAGCAGAGGAGGAAGTGAAGTGGAAGCAGAGGAGGAAGTCAATGAGGTGTCAAAAGGCAAGGCAAGAAGCGAGAGCAAAGAACCGTTTGAGCAAAGGCGCAGAGCCCAACTGCCCCTCAGTTTCCAGTGTGAAGGCAGCATAAGATTCCCCGCCCTCCCACTCTACACAGGTACTGGCTGCCGGGGACCACAAGGAAGCCTGCTCAGCATCTGGGCACAGACAGTCACTGTCGTCCTGGTTTCATGCTCCTCTTTCTAGGGAGCGAAGCTGCAGGTGGCCTTGGTGTCTGGCCAATAGCAGGTATCCGACTGGGCGAGAGTTAGCCCTTCACTGACCCTGTAGGACCTTCTGGCCACTGGAACGCGATGTAGCTCTAATCCCAGGTTTCTCCATCCATGGCGGGGGGTATACAGGCTGTAAGCGGGTTCACCTTTCAAATTCCAGAGTCACCTTTTGAACAACGCTAAAACAGTTTTTGGAAATCTGGAAGTGGGAGTAAGTGCATTGACATCTCTGCAAAATTCCATAGAATGCGAAAGGCAGGTGGCCTTTTTAACCCGTGTCATTAAAAAAAAAAGGGGGCACAGGGTGATATTTCTCGTTGCTTTGATCTAGTCAGGCGTGGTTGCAATCTGATGCTCCCTTCCCCTACACAAGCAGGTTAGGGGGGCATTTTTCCCTGATGCTCCCTCCCCCTACACAAGCAGGTTAGGGGGGCATTGCAAGAAATGTGGGTGCCTCCCCATATCCTCATCCAGCCCCCCCCCCCAGCATGTCACTCAGCTTACTCGTTCTCAGGAGTAAGTGAATTGAAGATACTGATGGGCTTGTACTCCCATTGCATCAACTTGTTCAGCACGGAAGACCACGGCTTCTATAAAAACCCTGTAACAGCCCAATCCTTGTAACATTCTCTGTATCTCAGAAATGCCCTAGATGTTGTTCTTGACTGACTAGGCTCTGAGCCAGGCACTGTTTCCTCTGCCTAAACCTCCCACCTTGGTAAATACGAACATGATAATACTGACCTTGGCATGGCTGCTGTATGGATTGCTTAAATAATGACCTTGAAAGCCCTAAACAGCCTCAGCCCTGTATATCTCTACCCCCATCGTTCAGCCCGGACACTGAGATCCAGCGCCGAGGGCCTTCTGGCGGTTTCCTCCCTGCAAAAAGTGAGGTCACAGGGAACCAGGCAGAGGGCCTTCTCGATAGCGGCGCCCGCCTTGCGGAACGCCCTTCAATCAGATGTCAAGGAGATAAACATCTGCCTGAATTTCCAAAGGCATCTGAAGGCAGCTCTGTATCAGGACGTTTTTAATACTTTATGTTTAGTTGTATTTTTGTGTTCCCGTGTTTTATTCCGATTTCTGCCCTCTGCACCGCTTTGATGGTGTTACGCCACAAGCAGTCTAATTTTTAAAATAATAACAATAGCCATAATAACAAGCGAAGTGCTTTGAAACACCCTCAAGTGCTGTATAAATTGTAAGGACGGTTCGGTGATTATCCTTTGGTGCCCATTTCACACATGAAGTTAATTCCTCCAAATTATGCTACATTTTAAAAGCCCCTTTACACCTCCCTCCCTTATCACATTTTAGGCAATGTTGTTGTTGTTTAGTCGTGTCCGACTCTTTGTGACCCCATGGACCAGAGCACGCCAGGCACTCCTGTCTTCCACTGCCTCCCGCAGTTTGGTCAAACTCATGCTGGTAGCTTCGAGAACACTGTGCAACCATCTTGTCCTCTGTCGTCCCCTTCTCCTTGTGCCCTCCATCTTTCCCAATATCAGGGTCTTTTCCAGGGAGTCTTCTCTTCTCATGAGGTGGCCAAAGTTTTAGCTTCAGGATCTGTCCTTCCAGTGAGCACTCAGGGCTGATTTTCTTAAGAATTTTAGCCAATGCTTGGACATAATTTGTCTGTCTCCCTCTCCCTGCTTTGATGCATTCATTTTGGCGAGCCCTTTGCCAAAAAAATTAGGGTCTTAATGCATCTGTGTAAACCAGGGATAGTCAACCTTTTTATATATACTGCCCACTAATGCATCTTCCTTGATGGTAAAATTTCCTTACCGCCCCCCAGTGCTCGATGGAAGGAGGATTCATCTTGTGCCACAGAACCCTCTACCGCCCACCTAGAATCCTGAAACGTCCACTAGTGGGCTGTAGGAACCAGGTTGACAACCACTGGTGTAAACCACTCCTTGTGCTCCAATAGGTGAGCCTTGACGGGAATGTCCTTTGTCTCCCCTTTGTTTTCCGCAGATGTGTCCATCCTCGGGGAGGAGTGATTCAGAGTGTGTCTTCCCGGAAACACGTCTCAGGCCTGCAGTGCACCCGGCAATCTGAACCATGGACAGGTGTGGCCCCCCCGCAGAATTGGTCTTCGCCGCCCGAAGTGGTGGATCTCACGCTGGACGAGGACAGCAGGCGCAAATACCTACTGTAATGCAACTTCACTGTGTTTTCTAGTCACTTAGCCCTCCTCTTCCTTTTGTGGCACAGAAGTTTCTGGTTATCGCCTCGGTGTTCAAAGCCTCTGCTCCTGGCATTCTGGAATTCAGAGTCCTCCGGGAGGGTTTCCTCCTCTTCTGAACTCCTCCCCCCCTCCCCGACACCCTCCAATTAAAATTGCATCATCAAGAACTTTCCTTGAGATATTGACCCCTCTGTAGTCAAAGGGAGCTTTCCCTCTTACGGAAAACTTAGTGGCACTGTACTTCAATAACAACTTCCAGGTTTTTTTTTCATTGTGTGTGATTAATTTAGAGCATTCGTTGACAGCAGCAGTGACACCTTCCAACCCATGCCCTTTAGAGAGCCGTACAATTGCTTTAATTCACCACTAAAACGGATGTCGCTGGTACATGCGGGGCTTTATTCTTATTTTTCCCCTTGCATTTTTTTATTTAAAAAAAATAAAATAACACCACTGGCCCAATTTGTTCATAGCTCTGAATGCCCCCATCATGATTGTAGTATAGCTGTGGGAGCTTAGAAGGGGGCATTCATAATGCAAGTTGATTTGGTTGCAAAACCAGCAGGACTTGATCACAGAAGGCCTCTAGCGTGCACTGAGCGGCTCTATTTAAAACCCTAAAGATTGTTCTCGACATAATTTGTAGCTTGCACACTGCTCAGTGCTCAGTCTCCTCATAATAATGCATTTTATTTTTTCTCTCTAGACTACTGTACTGTTACTGGTCATTTGGCCCAGATTGTTACAGCCTTTTTTTGTTTTGTTTTGTTATTGTTGTCGTTCACCCGAAGCAAACAAAAGCACAAGGAAGCGAAGCATCACAAAAGTACCTAATTCTGATCTCAGGTGTGGTTTTCATGTTAAGCTTTAAAGGTCTGGGTGCAGCCTAACCCGTATCTCTACGTGTTTGGAGGTATGTAAAAGCAGAACATGAGCACCAGAGTGGATCCTTCTGCCCTGGGCTGCATTTGTACAAAGGAATTTTGGTTTTTTAACAAACCTTTAGCACACTATCCTTCCTGTCCTCCCCTTAGCAAGAGAAGAATTAGAGGAGGCTGCTGGGTCGCTAGGGACTCGCCTTCCAAGGGAAGCGTTTTCGCAGCTGGGCGAATGTTTACAGAGTAGGCCCAGTTCAGTCTCTTCCCAGGGTGACTGGCACCTACTCTGTTCGAAACAGAGCAAGAAATAACTCGCGGAGAGGAAGCCTCCCGTAGCTTCTCTGAATATTACCACCCTACAGAGGAAAGCATGAGGCTCTGTATGCAAAGCATGTATGATCAAAAGTAGAACATATCCTGTTACATAGCCCCCCCCCCCCCGGAGAATTACCCAGCACGGCTTTGCCTTCATTCATTTGATTGCTGCCGCAGAAAGAGCAGCGAAATCTGGAGCAGCAAGGGAAGCTTTGCCACATATATGGATCACTTCATGAGGACGAAAAAAGAATGGGAGGGGTTTGGGGTTTCCTTTTGTGTGTGTGCATCTTCAGAGACGAGGTGTTAATCTGTAAGTGTACCTTTGCTTTTCATACTCACATGAGAAATGGCCCTTGATTTTACCTTCTTTTAAAAACTCGACTGAGCACTGCTGGGCTTCACCAGCTCTTGGGTTTATGCCCCTTGGCTTTAGAACGGTTCCCTGGCTCAGATTCTGCAAATGCCTTCTGCAAGTCCGGGCATTTGCTGCAAGCCGGGATTTCTCCTTCCCCACATGCCTTCTGTTCTCTTGCAAGGGCTGATAGGACTTAGACAGCAGCATAATGGCAGCTGGACTCATTGGGCACATTAGATCTTCATGTTTGTCCAGTCACCTTTAGCTGTAGAGTCCATTGCACACCCAGACAAAGTTGTTCTGCTGGATTCCTGATCAGTGTTGGCTTCAATCATTAATGCATTTGGGGCAGTTTCTGAATAATATGTGGGCAATGCCCTTTGTTCCTCAAGACTCCTAGAATGCCTTGACAGTTCGAAACGGCATTCCTGCAGTTGTTTCAGTTCTGTTATAGGTCGCTGTAAAATGATCGTTCCTTATGCAACGGCAGTAGCTGCTGGTGGACCAAACCTTTGCATATGGTAGGGTCACTACTCTGTACCTGGGTTATCAAGGAGTAAGGATATTCTCTCTCTGGAAGGGTAGGACACGCCAAAGCTGAGAAGCAACTTCAGTTCATGCTGAGCCTTATAAGAACAGAAGAGGAATGTCCTGGCATTCAGGCAGGTGGTGTTGGAAGGGAAAAAAGCTGTATCGCCATGCTTCTTGTTGTCTATAAAAGCCCTAGATATCCTATGCATTCCTCAAGTGAGGTTGGGGGGCAGATCAGGCCCTTGGTCCCACTGAGTTTTGCTGAAAGCCAAGCCAAGAGTCTGCACTTTGGGGGCAGTTCAGTCATCATTTACACTGGAGTAGATACAGCCTGTTGAATAGACATTGGTTTAGTGGTTAATGACACACAGCCAGCTTTCAGTTTAAAATCTCATTGTTGTGCAATCCCTGCTTGTGTTGTTACGTTGAACTGAACAACGTTTATGCTTCCCACAAAGTTCTTTATGCTCACTAGATCACACTGCCAGTACTAAAAGTCCCCATCTGATTGTCATTTGAAGGACAGCGTGGGGCTTGTTTGCCTTTCTTAGTTTGGTTCACTGGGCAAGACTTTTGGGAGAGGGTTGCCTTAGATAGTTCTGCAGGTGTGGCAGGTCTTAAGATTGCTCTTGATGCCAGCTATGAGCAGTTTTGCTGACATTATAAAGTGGGAAGGATGTGGTCACTCTTAAAAGAACAACTTGATAACAGGTTTCTGCAGAGGTGATGAGTTGTATCTCCCGCTCTCCCCACACTCTCTATCAATGACCACAAGATGGACTTGGACTCTGGGACTTGGATTTTATTGTCAGATGGAGGCAATCAGGACTTGATTTCTTGAACAGATAATGCTTTGTTGTCCTGGCCACAGTTCCAATAGACACCACTAGGCTTGCCAGCTTTTGATCTGGAGACTGCACCTGTTGCTTCAACACCTGCGAGGTGGTGAGGCCTTATTTCAGACTGTAGGCGAAGGAATTGCATGTTTCAGGGCTCTGCCATCTTAGCAACATCCCCACAAAATGGAAAACGAGGATGTTTGAGAGAAGTCTAGGCTGCAGCTCCCTCTCTGAAGTAGTTGCCCGGGCTCAGGAAACAATTTTTTTTGGAAAAGTATTTTCATGGGCAGTTTCTTCCGCCTTCAGCCTGCAATGTTAACATGATTATGCTAACTTTGGGAACAGTGTCTCCTTCCCCCGAGCTAAAATTGCCAGATTGTGAAATCTGAGTCCTGCTTGCTATGGCAGGCAAAGCAGCATGGACCGAAGATGTACAGCAGACCCAGGCAGTGGTTGCCAGAACAGCAGGGTGGTGTGGCATTACTCACCTGCCATCCATCTCAACATGGAGGTTGCTGGTAGAGGCGAGGGAGGTCAGCGCACTGCGGGAGCAGCAGCAGAGCCAATCTGACGCTGTGTCCACGCCAACCTCCTCTCCTCTCCCTCTCGGCTCTTGGTAGAATCCCCCATGTTGGATAGCCAGGTGGGCAACGCCACTCCACCAGCCGCTACTGTGCACAGGACACATTGGCCCTAAACGGTGTCTTCACCTACCACCCAAGGCTGTTAAAGCTATCAGTTGTGCCTGCAGATCTTTTGCCGCAAAGGCCACCCCTTCTTTTTCTCCTCACTCGCTGGTTCCATCACTCTCAAACTACATTGCGAAATGAACACCGGGCTCAAAGTCACCTGCGCACGAGAAAGCTGCTTGGGAACTGCTTTCTCGTGGCCCTGTCCCATGTGATTGGAGTGTGTGTGTGTGTGTGTGTGAATGGCACAGCCATGAGGCATTGGCCAGCTGCCTAGCTCTTCCCAGCTGGTTGTGGCATGCTGGCAATCAGGTGCGAAACACCAGTCAGCCTCCATGTCCATTTCCAGTTTTCACGCATGCCTGTGACGACTGCATGGATTGCATCATGGGGAAGTAATTTAGATGGAGGTGCATTTGAAAGGCACCGGAGCAAGCTAACCAGGCAGCCTTTGGCCGAGAACGGCTGCTTCATTACTACCGTTAATGAAGTTGCCTTTTGAAACATGAAAATTGGCTCTCGTTAGAAAATCTATGAGCCATGCTGGTCTACTAAGCTGGTAATCCAAGTATCCTCCCTTTTATGCTGGCCAGTACCAGAAGCATCTAGGAGTCCTTCCTTTTTTAAAAAAAGAAAGAAACAGAAGGGGGGAAAAAAAACTTTGTATATGCTGTGACTTCCATGTACATATAAAAAATATGACTGCATTCTAACCAAACTTCCTCCAATTGTGCACTGTGTTTGTTTTTAAAGGAATCATGAACTCCAAGCTTGATAACCAGTTCATGTCTCTCTCTTTTAATTTAAAAAACGAAACAAAAAACACTACGTTTCTTTTGCCGACTTGGATAATTTTTCTTAAAGCTATGTTCTTTTAAAAAAGAAAGAGAAAAGAAACAAAAAATTCAAACCGCAATCACTGGATAGTTAATACATTACTTCTTCGTCTTCTTTTTCCTTTCCCCCCTTTTCTTCTTCATCATCTTTGTCTGAGAGAGCAAAAGGTCGCTGGGACTGATTTTCTCTTTTCTCAATGGATAAGTGAAATTGTAGCCATCGTATGGCTAAGAACAAATGCACTTGATCGTCCTTGCACAGGCCTGTGAAACATGCACCCATCCTGGCTTCCCAGGCACGCCTTGCAAAGCAGCAGGATCTTTGATAAAAATGTGGCGTTTGTGCCACAAAAATACAAATTCTACCCAAGAAATTGGCAGGCTGCATCTTGGGCTCTTTGTTTTCCTTACAGGCCTGGTTTTAGCAGCTCTGCTCTTCTTGCTGGAGCTCAAGCTTGGAATCTTCCAGTGGAGACAAAAAAAATTAAATTAAATGCTTAGAATTTATTGTTTTCAGTTGTGTAACTCTTGAATTAAAAAAGACAAAAAAACCCCACACAAAAATGTTCTTTTTAACACTCATTCTCGTTTCCATCTAGTATTTAATGGTCTTTGGAGAAGAAATAATAATAATAATAAAAAAACAGAGTGTTATAAAATATATATATTTTTTGGTGCAAGATGAGACTTTCTGTTTTTTTTGGAAACAAGTCTGTAGCATAAAGTTTAAACTATTTTAAGACAAAATAAAATAGAGTGGATTATTTAAACAATATCTTACTTTGTAGTGTGTGGGGCTTTGGGGGAGGGGTGGGAAATTTTGGGAGATGGCGTACATGGACCTCACTTACCACTGCTTTACTGTTTTTAAGTTATAATAATAATGATGATGATTATAATTTATTATCACTGCATCAAGCTTCCCTGGTCTCCTACATCCTAGTCCCCACACTCCAGCCACTACACCATGACAGCTCTCTGAAGTAGGTTTTAGGTTGTATTTTCATTGTAAGAGGCTGCCTTATATTGAGTCAGACCAGTGCTCCACCTAGCTCACCATTGCCTATTATTATTATTATTATTATTATTATTATTAATATTAAAATGTGTTTACCGCCCTTCATTTGTAGATCTCAGGGCGGTTCAGAACATCATCATCATCATCATCATCATCATAATAATAATAATAATAATAATTTTATTTATACTCCGCCCTCCCCAGCCAAGACCGGACTCAGGGCGGCTAACACCAAATATAAAAACAATTGATTAGAATACAGCTTAAAAAACAAAATTAAAATACAACATTAAAATGCAGCCTCATTTCAGTGGAGCTCAATCGAAAACTTTTTTGGGGATAAAAACGTCAAGTCTTCACCAAGGCTAACTATCCAGACTGGTCGTACATGGGCTAGAAAAAAGCCAGGGAAGTCCCCAATTAGGAGTTCCAACACAGAAGGAAAAAGGAAAGAGGGAGAGGGGATCAAGTTGATTCCAAGCCAAAGGCCAGGTGGAACAACTCTGTATTACATGCCCTGCGGAAAGAAAATAGAAGATAAAAATACACAAAATACATAATGAAAGTAAGAGCAAAAGCAAACCAAGAATCCCACAACACATTTAAAAGAGTATCAGATATATCTAGTCCAACCCCCTGCAATGCAGGACTCTCAGCTCAAGCATCCATGACAGATGGCCATCCAACCTCTGCTTAGAAACCTCCAAAGGAGAAGAACCCACAGGGAGGGAGACTGTTCCACTGTCAAATAGCTCTTACTGTCATTCTTCCTGATGTTTAATGTTCATCAGCCAAAGCCCTAGTTCAGTGATGGCCAAACTTGGCCCTCGAGCTGTTTTGGGACTACAGTTCTCATCATCCCTGACCACTTAGCTTGGGATGATGGGAGTTGTAGTCCCAAAACAGCTGGAGGGCCAAGTTTGGCCATCACTGGCCTAGTTAGAGAGGAACGTTTTCGCTTGGCATCTAAAGGTGTATAATGAAGGCGCCAGGCGAGCTTCCCTGGGGAAAGCTTTCTGTGAACGGGGAGCCACCACGGGAAAGTGTTGCTCGTGTCGCTACCCTCCGGACCTCTCATGGAGGAGGCACACGAAGAAGGTTCTCAGGTGATGATCGCAGGGTTCAGGTAGGTTCACCTGGAGAGAGGCGATCCTTGAGGTATTGCGGTTCTGAGCCATTAAGGCTTTCTATGTCTACATGTACTGGCAGTGGATCTGTCCAGGAATTCTCTCCCAGACCTACCTGGAGATACTGAGGATTGAATCTAGGAGCTTCTGCAGGCAAACTACCTGCCACGGGACGCGGGTGGCGCTGTGGGTTAAACCACAGAGCCTAGAGCTTGCCGATCAGAAGGTCGGCGGTTTGAATCCCTGTGACGGGGTGAGCTCCCGTCGCTCGGTCCCTGCTCCTGCCAACCTAGCAGTTCGAAAGCATGTCAAAGTGCAAGTGGATAAATAGGTACCACTCCGGCGGGAAGGTTAATGGCGTTTCCGTGCACTGCTCTGGTTTGCCAGAAGCGGCTTAGTCATGCTGGCCACATGACCTGGAAGCTGTATGCCGGCTCCCTCGGCCAGTAAAGCGAGATGAGCGCCACAACCCCAGAGTTGGCCACGACTGGACCTAACCGTCAGGGGTCCCTTTACCTTTACCTGCCACCGCACCTAGGTGCAGCAGAGGAGCTACACACACAACTCTGTCCTGCTACAGAAAGAAATGGAAGATTGGAGGCGGGAGTTGCCATGGCTGCACACCTGTGAATCCCAGGATCCTCTGCCTGAGAACTGGGCCTGAATAATCTTGAGCTCATTTTGCATCTTTGTAGTAAAATCGGTGCCTTTCCAACACGTCCAAGGCTCACAAATGTCAGCGTGATGCTCCAAATAGGACTGTTCAGGTAAACTTGCATCGCCCATTCATTTGCTTTTGCTGTGTGGTCCAGCAGGTGCCCTGAGACTAGCCAGCCCTTCTCAACTCTCGGAGGTCACCTGAGCTATCTTGCTTTTAATTTTTTTCAAAAACCTGTTTGCAAATAGCTCAACAGGTGCAATGCTCAGCTTCTCGGGTGACTCTCTCAGCCTCCCAGCTGTTAAGACACCTTGTGGAGTTTTAAGAAGAGAGTGGTCTTTTGTTTCTGTAACCTAATGGGAGTTTTCCTCATGCCAAACCATGTCTGGTTTGTGTTTCTTTTTTAAGAATGACTTTGCCTTTGCCCCCATAGCCACACATGGCCACTGGGTCTGGTTATCTGAAGTCTGGCCCTTTAAGTGGACACAGACAGACAGAAGGAAGGAACCATCTTTTTAAGAGATTATCCCTCTCCAAATCGGATTTAAGAGGTCACTGGGAGTCTCTGGAAGTGGAAACAATTCTGGGGCTCTCTCATTTTCTCTCTTCTAACAATAAATTACCCACCACCACCACCACCTCCAGACTAAGCCCAGAGCCAAGGTGCAACAATGACAAATTCTGGGGCAGTTTCAAACCACATCCTGAATTTTGCAACCTGCATAGATTATGCAGATTGAACACCTTTGCATGGTTCCTTTTATTTTGCCCCTTCTAGTTTGGCTGACTTTGGGGAGGGGCAGCAAGCTATATCAGGCACTGATATATCCTAGCTCTCTGATCATTGGAAATTTTATTTGGCAACTCCTCTGCCCTCTGAGATCCACACATTTTCAGGCCACAGCAAGGTCTAGAAACTTGCTTTTCAAATGCAGTTGTACCTTGGAAGTTGAACGGAACCTGTTTTGGAGGTCCATTCAACTTCCAAAACTCTCGGAAACCAGAGCGTGGCTTGTGGTTGACTGCAGGAAGCTCCTGCAGCCAATCGGAAGCCCAGTCAGATGTTTGGCTTCCAAAAGAATGTTCGAAAACTGGAACACTCACTTCCGGTTTTCGATCGTTAGGGAGCCAAGACGTTTGACTCCCAAGGTGTTCTGGAGCCGAGGTATGATTGGATCAAGCAAGGCAACATTCTCAGAAACTGGTCTTTTCAAGCCGGTCTTCTATGAGCTTCCTGTCTGCTCACCAGATTATGGCTTACAGTGAGACCCATGGATTGCATGAAGATATGATACTGTAGGACAGGGCCAAAACATTTCCCTTCACTGACCACTAAGTTGTGGGGAACTGTAGAAGAATAGCCAATGCTCTTGAAGAGGAGTATAGATACTGCTTCTGGTTGTGTCTGCACCTTTGAATCTTCCCACTACACTTGCTATCCTCTCCAGCCACCAGTGTGACACACTGCACCCTTTGAGAACTGCTGGCCCAAACTGCATGCAAAAAGTGTGTGTGTGTGTGTGTGTGTGTGTGTGTGTGTAAGAGAGAGAGAGAGTAAATTTGCAGCAAAATGTGAGGGTTAAAAAACAACCCTTCAAGTGTGTGGAAATGTGCAGAATGGATCTTAAGATTGCAAAAACGAGAAACCAATATTGGCAGATACACCCATCACCGGATGTAACAACAACAACAACAATAACAACATCCCCACCCATCTGGCTGGGTTTCCCCAGTAACTCTGGGCAGCTTACAGCATTTTAAAAATATAATAAAAACATTGTGTTAAAAACCTCCCGATACAGGGCTGCCTTCAGATGTCTTCTAAAAGTTGTGTGCAGTCATACCTCGAGATAAATACACTTCAGCATAAGTATTTTTGGGTTGCGCTCATTACTTCTGGGGTTTGGGTTGAGCACATTACTTCCGGGTTTCACTGCCCGTGCATGTGCAGACGGTCAAAATGACGTCACGCGCATGCGCGAAACATGACCCGTGCACGCGCAGACGCGCTGTCGCTCTTAAGTTCTGTTCAGGATGCGAACGGGGCTCCGGAACGGATCCCGTTTGCATCCCGAGGTACCACTGTAATTCTTTATCCCCTTGACATCTGAAGGGAGGACGTTCCACAGTGTGGGCCCCACTACCAGGAAGGTCCTCTGCCTTTCCCCCTGTAACTTTGCTTCTCACAGTGAGGGAACCAGCAGAAGACCCTCAGAGGACGACCTCAGTGTCTGGGCTGAGTATATCCTTCAGGTATACTGGGCCGAGGCCATTTAGGGCTTTAAAGCACCAACACTTTGAATTGTGCTCAGAAAGAAAGGTGATATTTGAGGTTTGCAGTCTGCTTTTCAAACCCTGATCAGTTTATCCAGCAAATATTTGTAGGTGAGGAGCAGCTTTTCCTTCCTACTTCTTCTCTCCCCACTGCTCCCCTGTGTTGGGCAGGATTCTGGCACAGACCAAGCTGTAGGAGCAATGTCTGGTTGATGCTTGCTTTTTGTGGCATACGAAGCCCACCATGTGCCGTCACGCCCAGGCAACTGATGGCTGTAGCTGCTAGGCAGGTGGTCAGCTGGCCCACATCAGCCCTCAAGGCAGCCTTCCCTCCCAGCCTGAGGGGGTCACCGGGTTTGGCATCTTGAATTCCTCTGTGCAAGTCTTGCTCCGCTTTCTATTTACAGCAGAGTGGCAGTGGCATGCCTTGCAAAATCTAAACTCACTAGGTGGCGCCAATGTTAGCTGCAAAGCTTGAAAACTATCTCAAGCTGAAAAATCCAGCACAGGAAAAATGCGATTTGGAAACCACTGTGGCTCTCGAAGAAGGTGGATAGTTTCCGCTGTCCTTCTGTCCTCACTGCTCAAACAGGTGCAGCAGGTTTTTGAGGAGCCCATTTAACCAAAAGTGAGAGTGGGACAGAAAAGCAAAGGTGCAAACCGATAAGAATGCACACATGTATCAGAACA